AAAGCAGGCTTATTTGTGGCAGTTATACCAACTGAACCGTCCCTTTTTGAATGAGGGATTTAACACATTCCAGATTTGCAGCATCACGTTGTTTTTGATGTGTGTTAAAACATACAGAAAAACACATTTTCTCCCTGCAGCCGTGTGTACATTCCTGATTGTTTTTCATGAAAATATTGATGTACAAACTAACGCACAGCATCCAAATCTGAAAAAGCTTCAAGCTAAAAAAAGGTCTGTTAATGGAGTCATGTAGCGAAATGTGAACTCTCGGTACATTGCAACACTGAAACCATGAAAAGAAGCAATTTAAATGAATGCCCTTGCAGGCACGGGTTATGAAGCCAAACAGTTCATTAAGCAGCCTTGTGCCATGTCTTATCTGTGTGACCTTACGCCGTCTTTGTTCAGGTTAGCACTGTTGGCTGGAAACGGTTTCCTGTTGCAGTACCACTGAGGTGAGAAGCTCTGAAAGCTTTTATAGGCTGCTTTGCGCGCAGTGGGCAGGAAGTCCATATATGATCATGCTCAGAAAATGAAAGCTGCACAAAAGACAGCATTTAAAGTTACACCTAGATGCTTTTGTTGAACTCAGATACTGTTTGGCATGCGCTCGGTTTGTGATTTCATGTTAAAACATAAGCAGGTTAAAATCACATGAATGCATCTGTATAAGTACCCCAATTTTTCATGTGCTTTTCAAAAATGGAGCAGATTTGACAACCTCTGCAGACAAAATTGCTTATGCATGGCTGCATTTCCTTATTTGTAAGCAGCAAACCTTTCACTCTTAATTTAAAATAAATAAATATGCAACGTTTGATTTTGTAATACCACAATGAGCTGCAACAAGCCTAAAAGTATTTATTTCGTGAGACTGTCAGGCATTTAAGTCTCTTTATGTGTTGCTTTGGTTGAAATTGCAAACATAGAGGTAAATTTTTATGAAGAATTTTATATTTTCTTCTATTGTTTGTAAAAAAAATATTATTGTAGGATTTCTAGACGCATTTAAATTATAACTAATGAACATATGATGTTAAGTTTACTCAATATATATATAATACATCAATATATCTTTTAGGAATATAAAGGACATCAATATCGACACTTTATCCTCCTATGTTGATAATATTCAGCTACCGGACAATCTCTCCTCTCCTGATGACCTGGCTGCTCTCTACAATGACCAGTTAGCTCACATTTTAAACTCCCTTGCTCCAGTTAAAACCCGTTCTGTTACTTTCTGTCAGTCTGCTCCCTGGTTTTCCCCTCAACTCCGGACGCTGAAAACCAAATCCAGGCAGCTTGAACGCCTCTACAGAAAAACTGGTCTCACCATTCACAAAGAACTATATAAAAATCATATGACTCAGTATAAGGACTTAATTATACAAACCAAACAACAGTATTACTCCTGTCTAATCAACTCCAATCAAGGCAACACTAAGTCATTGTACTCCATTATCAATAAAATTCACCGGCTATGTGATACTCTGCCCCCACACATGTGCTCTACTGCTACCTGTAATGCCCTTCTTCTGTTCTTCAATGAAAAAATAATAATATTTCACCGTGCAATCAACCAAAGCATCCCCCCTACCTCCCCATATGATCCTCCCGAACCAACACAGTTATTTTCCATTTTCCAACTACCCAGTGATTCTGAGATATCAGATATCATCCACAAGTCAAAGCCTTCAACCTGCCTTCTCGACCCCCTTCCCACGGCCTTGGTTAAATCCTGCCTCCCCTCCCTGCTCCCTCTCGTCTCCGCTCTCATACATGCATCCCTTTCCTCCGGTATTGTTCCCTCTATCTTCAAAACTGCTGCAGTTACTCCAATACTTATGAAACCTGGTTCGGATCCTAACATTTTTACTAATCTCTGCCCCATCTCCAACCTACCCTTTGTCTCCAAAGTTTTAGAAAAAATAGTCGCTACCCAGCTCCACACCCATCTGACACTAAACTCCTTCTATGAACCCTTCCAGTCCGGTTTCCGCCCACTTCACAGCACAGAAACAGCCCTCCTCAAAATAACTAACGATCTCCTCATTGCTGCTGATTCCGGTCTACTATCCATCATGGTCCTCCTTGATCTGAGTGCGGACTTTGACACAATATCTCATTCCATTCTCCTCCATAGGTTATCTTCCATCGGCATTGCTAACATCCCACTTCAGTGGTTTCAGTCCTACCTATCAGGTCGCACTCAGTTCATTACTATCAAATCCTCCCGCTCACAGCCCTCTTCTCTCTCTTCTGGTGTGCCCCAGGGCTCTGTCCTGGGGCCCCTCCTTTTCATTATATACATCCTTCCCCTTGGCAATATCTTCTGCAGATTCAATATTCATTTTCACTGCTTCGCGGATGACACCCAGCTCTATTTGTCCAGTAAGCCATGTTTCTGCACTTCCTCCCTCCTCCCTCATCACCTGCCATAAAATCCTGGTTCAGTTCGAACTTCCTGAAATTAAATACAGACAAAACAGAACTTCTTTTGGTTGGTACCAAGAACACCCTCTCAAACTTTGACAGTTTCTCTCTCACTGTTGATAATACTTCAGTTTCCCCCTCTCCCCAGGTCAAGAGTCTGGGTGTCATCCTAGACAGCACACTATCCTTCCAATCTCATATCAATAGCATCACACGGTCAGCTTATTTCCATCTTCGTAACATTAATCGTCTTCGCCCCTCCCTAGATGTCCACTCTACTTCTACTCTTGTCCATAGTCTGGTTACATCACGTATCGATTATTGCAACTCTCTTCTCTCAGGCCTCCCTCAGAAAACCCTCCGTAAGCTCCAGTTGGTTCAGAATGCAGCAGCACGCATCATTACTAAAACTCCCATCTCTCATCACATCACCCCATCCTCAAACAACTCCAATGGCCACCAGTGCACACCAGGATCAACTACAAGATTCTCCTTCTCACCTTCAAGGCCATCCATAACCTCGCCCCTCACTACCTCACAGATCTCGTTCACATCGTCACCTCGTCCCGTTCCCTCAGGTCCTCCTCCTCCATTCATCTCTCTCTCTGTGCCCTCCTTTCGTCTCAGCACCATGGGGAGTAGAGCCTTCAGCTGCACCGCTCCCAAACTCTGGAACTCCCTTCCCCCTCTCATCAAGAACATTAACTCATTCACAGAATTCAAAAAACAACTCAAAACTCACCTCTTCATAACCCCATATCAGCTTTGAATTTTAGAGTGCCTTGTTTGTTTACATATGTTTACTTACTGAATGATTTGTGTTTTTATTCTGTACAGTGTCCTTGAGTGACCAGAAAGGCGCTTTTAAATAATAATAATAATAATAATAATAATAATATTATTATTATTATTATTATTATTATTATTATTATTATTATTATTATTATTAATATCCACTGCAGATGATGGTGGGTGCTCTCGGTTTGTGTGAGGGCACACTGCCACCAGTTGTTGTACGGATGTTACTACCTCATTTGGGCTTTTTTAAATGTTACAGCTGAGAAAACAAACAGGCATCACCAAGAATATGTCCTTCAGTAATGAAACTACATTCAAAGTTAAATAAACAACGCAAGTATTTTATCAGGATTTTTTCTGCATGATCTAGGTAGTTCATATCTTCCTTCTTTGTGTTTTTCTCAACAGCAAACGGATGCTGCACAAAGGCATGAAGCAGCAAGCACTTCCACATCATTGCTGCACTTAATAGCTTGACACATTTCAACACGTCATCACAGAAGCCCCCACGCTAGCACTCGTTGACTGACCCTCACCTCTGCAGCATTCAGACGATGAAGTGAGACTGTCAGGGCTGGTGATCTCATCCTGCACCACGTAGGGTTGAGCATTGTCGGACTTTGGGGTGATCTTCATCAATGGAACTCCAGTATGAGTCATCTGCACTGAACACCCACCTCCAATGTGCAAAGCTTCCCTTTGTAGTGCTGAGAGTGGCTCATAGGCATCAAACAGAAGCCTTAATTGATTACATTAACAGCAAAAACATGTTTCCTCCCCTTATATTTCTTAGATTTGGAAAAAATATCCATATGATTAAAAGAAATTTAATCCACCAAATCAAAAATGTTTGCTGAAAATGTGAAAGGGTTGATCATTTTCAGCTGAACCTGAGAAAAGTAACTGCAAGATGTTGGTGCAGCCCAGTTCAGAGTAGGAAACAGAAAAATATGTAACATAAATAAAAACTGACACAGCTTGCATCCATTATGGGAATAAATGTGCTCAATTCCATTGGTTTGATGTTTTAAACGATCAACTAAAAGTTTCCTGCCTGCACACAGTAATTGAGGTTAATTGTAGGGAAATGCAGCCTCAAAATTACAAGTCTTTCACTGAAAACACAGCAGGTAAGCTGGAAGTGAAAGGATAAAGAGTTCCCCACAGGAAGATTTTCAAAATAAGACACACGATGTGAATTATGCCTCAGAAATTAGTGAGAACTCATGTTGCAACTTAAAAACTCTGAAAATGTTGTGTTATGTAAGGATTACACAAAGTCTTTCAGAGAATGCAAAGTGGGCCTGCTGAATATGAAAGAAAAAATGTGAAATACCAAAAAAAATGTAGAATTCAAATGAGTTTTGACTTTTGTTGTTTAAGGTTTATTGTTCTAATTCTACAGAAAATGCATCACCAACCAAGCAAGCAGTATCGAGTTATTCACAGAGAACACAGAAAGTGACTGGAAACGAAATGTTTATTCAACTTTTTTCAACTAACTTAATGCTTATTGACACCATTCTTTAAAGAAAAAAAAATCTCATTTCTGTATGATTTACACAATAATTATTCTCATTTTCAATAAAGGATTTAAGAAAGTATAATAAAATAAACGGACGTTGCGTATAAAATAAAGGCAAAAGCTCATTAAAACCTGTTTTTATTATTATTATTTATTTATTTTTGAAAATAACGGATTCATTTAAAAAATAAACGCAGTTCACCTCCTAACCGTGCGATGGCAGCACCGAACATTCATGACCCTCACATACTTGTCTCCACGCCCATTTCATTCAAATTTCCGCTTTTTTCACCCACTACTGTTGTTGGCCCAGTTGGTCCAGAAGAAGGTCTTTTTGCTGTCTCGTTGCTTTAATAGTTTCAGACAAGTGATGGCACGGCTTCTTTTGAGAGGAAACTTGAGGAGTTGCATCGCCTCTCAGATCAGAATGGGATCTGATCAGGTAAGCGGGAAAATCGGTTTAATTTGATCTTTTTGTTTTTTGTTTTTGTTTTGTTTTTTTAAGTAAGCATCGTCATTCAGACATGTATGGTTGGACAAAGGCGGTTAACTGGACATTATTTAACTCTCAGTGTGTTTTTTCTAGTAACAAACTTCAACTAAAAGGATGCGTTTATTTATAAAAAGAGTACATTATTTACAGGATTAATTTTAAAAGCTATAAAACTTATTTTCTAAGATTAAGGACTTTTTTGATAGTGCATGCTCATTTTTGACAGCTTGCCCGTTAATATATATTCATCACTGACAATCTTGACCAAGGAAATGTGTAGGGCTTACAACTAACCGTGTCCAGCTCGAATAAAAGTCGAATATTTGTTGCATTTACAGTTTTTTCACACCCATGTTTAAATTTACGTAAACTATTCCAACATTTTTAGCGACACGGTGGACCTTTTGCCCTGCTCCGTAATGTTATGCATGGCTGCCTACACACCACCTTTGACACATATAGCATCTGCCCCTCCCCCAAACACACACACACACACGGCATCAATAATAGTAATTCAAAAGAGTAATGCTTGCCCTTGTCTGCTAAATTTAGTCTGTTTCTCCACACCAGTTCAGTACACTTTTAAAATGATGTATCAACCAACAACAAATAGCCATTTGTGTTTGCAAATGTCTGGAAATAAACAGATATTCACGTGCAGGCCTTACCGTATTTCAGACAGTCATTTATCAAGAGATTTAGTTTGAACATGCTTTAAATTTGTGCATGTTTAGACTTGTACCTCGAAAAAAAAAGCCCAAAGTAGATAATAATATAAAAAGATATTGAGCAACTGCAGCGTTTAAACAGACAATCCTTTTTTTGTAATTATCTCTTCTTATTTATAAGGTTCAGATCACATCTTTGCAAGTTTGCCTGTCTCCTTATCATCTTAGTCATTTTGTTCATCCTGTCCAGTTAAGATTCAGATTTCAGATTTATTGGCCAAGTAAAATTACATTTACAAGGAATTTGTCTTCGGTAGATGTTCGCTCTCTAAAACAGACAACAACCACAATAAATGAGAATAAAATACCTAAAAACATAAGAACATGTATACCCACACACATGTTCATTTACACACACACATATATATACATGTATACCCACGCACGCACACACACACACACATATCCATAAGCATACTGAATAAGTATTAAAAACTGGTTAGAATGCATTAAAGTAGATTGCTATGCTTTATATTAGGGCTGGATGGTAATTCATTAACTACATACATATATAAGGGGCAGATTAAAAGTTCAATAAATGAAAAGTTTATATACTTTTTTTTTATTAGCCTATCACATAGCTTAATTCTAGAGTTGCTCTGTGTTGAACCAATCATGAGGCTGGAAAAGAGCCACACAGACAGCACAGTAGAAGAATAAACCATTTTTTTCATATAGCGCCTCAAGATAGAAATCACAAGGCACTTCACAAAAATGATGAACATATATTTTTAATTATATTGCAATAAAATTAGGACAAAGGAAAAATGCAAAGGAAGAATTTTTAAAAAGTTGCAGCTGGACAAGCTGATGGCTAATGTTTACATCAGGTAACCACTGAAAAATTGAGATAAAAAAATTACTGTCCTGAAAAAAAGAAGAAAAAAGGAGAAAAATGCAACTTGCATCGGTGTCAAATGTGTTGACATATACAGGCTATTTAAAGTCATCCGATAAATGTAAGGTGCACTCTAAATGATATAAAATGCATGTTCGAACAAAGTCTGAGAATATCACTGATCTGTTTTAGCACCCGAACCGGCTAGTGTGAAATGCATGCTTCAGATTTCCCCTAATAATACAGGGTAATAGAAATTGCCAAAAATAGTTTGGTCAGTATTGGCTGATATGAAAAATATTGTGGTGATGGGCATTTTTTCCATATCGTCCAGCCCTACTTCATATCAAAGAACTTCAGGTGGTATTTTGAGGATTCTCATAACTTAGATTAATTAAACATTTTGATATGTGATGCATAACCGAAAGTGTTAAAATAAAGCACATTCCTAGTGTGAGATTTACAATCACATAAAAATATTGTTTTTTTCCAGCTTGGTGAATTGGGAAAGGGAGCAGGGAAAGGTGGTGGTGGTGGAGGCTATGTGAGGTCAGCAGGAGGTGCCTTTGGAAAGCGAGAAGCAGCAGAGGAGGAGCTGTACTTCCGGTGAGATGCCAGGCATAGTGATAATACTGTACTACTACTTTCATTGTATTGTGTTTTCTTGACAGTCTCTGTGTTGCATTTGTTTGCAGGCAGAAGGAACGGGAGCAGTTGGAGGCACTAAGGAAGCATCATTCAGAAGAGATCGAGCACCACAAAAAGGAGATTGAACGCCTACAGAAGGAGATCGACCGCCACAAGGGCAAAATCAGAAAGCTCACGCACGACGATTAAGGGGGAGAGGCCAACTGTCAATTCTTTCCTGAGTAGAACCGCTTGTGAACATGTCGTTATCACTTGTACTTTCTGCAGGTCTTAGTCATGAAAGGTCCTTCTGACTCATCATGCTGAAATAATAAAGTGATTAATCTTCCTACATTGTCAAAATATGCATTTAATTCGCTTTGGATTTTTAAACATTTGGCTTGGTGTTCAAAACATGTGCATTTGTTTCTTCCAAGATAATCAAAATCCCTTTTCAGCAGTTGGATAAAAAGGAAGCATTCTTTTCCATCATCAGTGTTGTGAACGTATGTTTTCCATACTTTCAACAGAATCTTGAACATCAGTTTAAAATTTGAGAAAATAACTATCTGCATACAGATATCGTGCATTTTAAGTAGAAGTAAAATCACCTGTTGCAGTCACACTGCATGTTTTGTTTTTTAGTGTAAAAGTACAACAAAACGAGGATAATTCAATTAAACAGACAAAATACAAATGGACCAGAAAATACTCATGAAATCACAAAATTGATTCGTTATGCTGCGAAATGAATATAAGAAGTCGGGATCACAACTTCACCGCAAGTATTGCCTGCTAATACGTAGTTTTTCGTTTTATTTTTGTTCGTATCTGCGAAACAGAAACCACGGCAGCCATGATTCTCATGAAACCCCCTTCAATGATTTCTCGTTCTGGTCTCGCGATATTTGCTGAGCGGTTGCGTTGTTCGGGCGAGCCGACGACGAGACCGTTGGTGTCTGGAAAAATTGTCTCGTGGTAGAGATATAAGTACACTTTGTTTGGGCATTTTCGTTCGTTAATAAAATTAATAATTTCGCGCGCTAAACCACGGTGTAATTGGCTTCCTGAATCACTCTGGTAAGTTTTGCTAACTATCAGTTTGGACCTTTTATGTGTTTGATATGTGAGAGGCGTTTGTCGGCACCGCGAGGCCTGCGCGTAAGCTTCGATAGTTAGCTTTTTGGCTAACTATCGCTGCTACTTGAAAAGGCACATTTTGAAATCCCCATCTTGCTTTGAAATATAGTCATTAAATCTTCTGTTAAGTTTTAATTGAGTTCGTTTTCTTTTAAAACGTGCATGTAAATATCAGAATTAAACGTATTTATCTGGCTAGTTAGCGGGCTGCATGCGAAGGAGGCGGGGCTGTAGCTATCTGTTGTTTCTTTTTGAAAACCTGGCTATTTTTTATGTAAACGTGTATATATATATATATATTATATCTCATCCTTCATTTAATAGCATATACAACAATTTTAATTAATTGAATTAGCAAATGTCAGCAGTTGCGATCAAAAAGCAAGAAATCTATGAAGTGAGAGTATTTTTTGTTTGCTACAGGCTGAAAACGCAAATTATTATATGATCTCTAGATTTTATAAGTAAAATAATTACGCAAATGCAGATTAATCAAAAGACATGTCTCTCTTGATTGCTATATTGCAGAGGAATGGCTGCTGCTGAGGTGAATGGGAGTTCTGCTCCATTAAAGGAGGAAGAAGAGCCAATGGATGTGTCAATAACACACACAGAAAACTACCAAACACTACTTGATGCTGGGCTGCCTCAGAAAGTCGCTGAAAGTCTAGATAACATCTTCCAGACAGGTCAGTAATCGCTCCAAAATGAGCTGCTAAATTAAAATATATATATATATATGTCTCCAAATTGTTTGACATTTTGTTTTATATGTGTGTGTGTGTATGTGTTTTTACATATGTATATAAAATTTACTGTAGGCTTGGTGGCTTATGTTGACTTGGACGAAAGGGCCATTGATGCTCTGCGAGAGTTCAATGAAGAGGGAGCGCTCACGGTGCTGCAGCAATTCAAAGAGAGTGACCTATCTCATGTGCAGGTATTCATGTTTATAGGTAACATTTTAATATTTGTCTGAAGCTGTGATTGTATCCAAAGTGCTTTATGTTTCATTTGTATTTATATAATTTTTTTGTAGAATAAAAGTGCGTTCCTTTGTGGAGTCATGAAAACATACAGACAGAGGGAAAAACAAGGAAGCAAGGTACAAGAGTCCACCAAGGGTCCAGATGAGTCCAAAATAAAGGTGAATTATTTTATGCACATTTGTATGAAATGTTAAAAGTGAGCTTTAAAGTTAGATCTGAAACTAATGTTTAGTTATTGTTTTTTGTTTTAAGTCTCTGTTGGAGAGGACAGGATACACTCTGGACGTGACTACAGGGCAGAGAAAATATGGAGGCCCTCCACCTGAGGACGTATACACAGGCTCACAACCAGGGATTGGAACTGAGGTAGGAGTGCTTCATATATATATATATATATATATTAGGGCTGTAGCGAAGCCTCGACGAAGTCGACGGCTCGATTCTAAAAATTTGTCGACGTCAGATCCGGAAGTCGACGCACCGCGCCCACTTTTTGCATCCCCAGGAGTTTGTAAATAGAGGAGGAATCTGCCTGTTCTTCCTCTAGTTCGCCCTCTTCTCCGCCTTCACTAACATCTCCGCCAAATACCGAAGACCCGGAACAACGTCCGTCCACTACTAGATTATTTTCCTGTTTTGCCCCTTCGTCTCCCGGCAACGGACAACAACTTCCGGGGTCAGATGCGCTGCTTCGTGTCTATCGCAGATGTAGAAAATCACCGGGAGCGCTTCTCCCTTAATAAAGGAGCTTCTTTCAGACATGAGGAGAGCTGTTTTGGTGGTAGCAGTCTCTCCTCCATGCTGGTCTGTTTGCTGCTGGGTGTTTTTGGTTTATTTAAACTTGGTAACTTGAACTTAATGTTGGTAAAGCTACTGTTAGCATCTTCGCTAACAGCTTCTTGCGTTGGGATAAGCTGTTACGTTTTGGTTTAGAGTTCATATTTTTTGTGGTGTAGATCTCCCTTTTATTACATTTAGAGTGTTGTGGGTTTTCGGTTTAGTGTATAATATCACCTTGAGTTTGGTTTAACCCGTAAGACCACTCGCCTCACGCACATAAGTGACCAAAACAAAGCAGCATGGAGACACTCCATCTTCTACCACCTCTCAGGCAGCAGCCTGCACTCCCAAGTTCTACACGTCATCAGAACATAACCAACCAACACAATAAACGCAGTGTTATACAAAATGGAAGGCCTGTAGTGTTTATTCTCTTACAGTAAGAATTTATCAATTTTTTTTGAGGAATTTATTTGAGATTTTCTGGTTTTTGTTAATTGTGCAATAGAAAAATAATCATTAGATTAATTTTCTAAATAGTCATTAGAATAGTCGACTATTCGATAAAATAATCGTCAGAATAATCGTTTTAAAAATAATCGTTTACCCCCAGCCCTAATATATATATATATATATAAAGTGATGAAATTTTCTGCAAACTCTGTTCATACATGGTGACCAAAATGCAGCAGAGCTTTGATCTTAATTATAACTAAAATATGAAAGACATTTGAAAATGTGCCCAAATTGTTAATCTAGTGATTTCTGGAAATGGACTATTAGGTTGGACTTGGACTTTTAGTTGACTACACCAATCCACTACTTAAAAACACTTTGTTTCTAATTTTCACTCAGTTAGATGCTGATATCATTGATGGTGTGTTTGTTTCTTTTGTTTTATTCAGGTGTTTGTTGGGAAAATCCCCAGGGATCTTTATGAAGATGAGCTTGTGCCTCTGTTTGAGTCTGCTGGTGCCATCTGGGACCTCAGGTTAATGATGGACCCCCTGTCTGGTCAGAACAGAGGTTATGCTTTCATCACATACTGCAATAAAGATGATGCACAAAAGGCTGTGAAGCTAGTAAGTCTTACTCTATAATACAAAAAAAACACTAGTCAAATTTCAGTTCCTAATAACACAAGAACATTTATATAAAGGGATACTTTGCAACTTTTTCGTAGTTTTAAAATAATTTTCATGAGCCAGTATGTGCTAAAATGACCTTTTACAGGCTCTAATTTCCCTCTGGGGTTAATAAAGTATTATTGAATTGAATTAATGAAAGGCCACTCAGCTCCTATTGTGACCAAAATATTCCACTTTCAACTTCTGATTCGTGGGCTGCTCTGTTGGGATTTTAAAAAATGTAGCTGAAATACCTGGCACTGCAGTCTGGTTCCAGCACATTTCCTGCATGTTTTAGATCATGAACACAGCCGATTTGTTAAGTTTAGTGATGAGTCACTCCTGTAGACACTAATGAAGGATGAGGAGACATTTCAACATTTCGATTAAGGTGTTAAAAAGACAAATGCACAGCGAGGAGATAGGTTTTGCTTTCGGTTCGACAAACGAACACTGGGGGGTGCTAAAAGCCAGCAAAACTGCCTAGTTCCCCTTTAAGATAGTAGCTAGTTCACTTTATTAAAGATACATGTAAGCCCATAGCAAAAGATGGATAATTGTGTTTTATAAGAAATTCCGTGTCTGTTGTGTGAAATTTTTTTACCTTTCTTATTTGTTTTCAGTGTGATAACCATGAAATTCGCCCTGGCAAGTACTTGGGAGTTTGTATATCTGTTGCAAACAATCGCTTGTTTGTTGGATCCATTCCCAAGAACAAGACACGGGAAAGTATACTGGAGGACTTTGGGAAAGTGACAGGTTTGTTTTGAGTGCAGTTATAGATTTTATCAAACCAATCTTGACAATACTGGAAGGCTTGTTTTTTTTCACCCCACAGAGGGTCTGCAGGATGTGATACTGTATCACCAGCCAGATGACAAGAAGAAAAACCGCGGTTTCTGTTTTCTGGAGTACGAGGATCACAAGTCTGCAGCACAGGCACGTCGCCGCCTAATGAGTGGGAAGGTCAAAGTGTGGGGCAACCCTGTGACAGTGGAGTGGGCTGACCCTGTTGCTGAACCAGACCCAGAAGTCATGGCCAAGGTCAGTAGTCCATGTTTTCTTCAGAAAATCATTCCCCAGCTCCCAGCGTTAAAAATAGGGATGTGTATCGATGAAAATCTGGCGATACGATACGAATCACAATACAGGGTAGACAATACGATGTATTGTGATACATTCGGCCAGACATTATTAGCAAGTTTTTTAGATTGAATTTATTGTAGGAAAATTCAATAAACAGTCCAAACTGATACGTAACATGTTTAACATGAGGTATCTGAACCATAGTAGAGGGATTTAAATTTCAGAGGTGGCAACAAAACCCATTGCACACTGCTGCTGGCTAGTGGTCAGCATTTGAATTGCACCAAAAGAAAAGAAAGTAAACAAATGTTTGCATGCAAATTCTTCCAGAAACTTCATACACGGCTTTTGAATATCGATGTAATATTGCAGGAAATAATATAGCAATATATTGCTGTTTCGATATTTTCTTATATTCCTAAATAAAAGACTAAATTGTTTTCTGTGATCTTAGGTAAAAGTGCTTTTTGTCAGGAAGCTGGCTACAGCTGTGACTGAAGAACTTCTGGAGAAAACCTTCTCCCAGTTTGGGAAGCTGGAACGGGTGAAAAAGTTGAAAGACTATGCTTTTGTCCATTTTGAAGATAGGGATGCTGCTGTAAAGGTGGTTTTTTTTATGAAATAATCAGCGTAATACTAGTGCGTCATGTTTCTCGGTACTTGACAGTGATGGTTTGCTCTTTGACAGGCTATGGATGAGATGAATGGGAAGGAGCTTGGAGGTGAGGTAATTGAGATTGTTTTGGCAAAGCCCCCAGACAAGAAAAGGAAAGAGCGCCAAGCAGCTCGGCAGACCACCAGGAGTGGCGGGTGAGCCTAAATGGAAACATGTGATTGGTCAGTTGCCCAGAACAACATATTCATGAAATTTTCATCCTGCAGGTATGATGACTACTACTACTACCCACCTCCACGCATGCCATCACTAGGCAGAGGAAGGGGTCGTGGTGGCCGGGGAGGCTATGCCTATCCACCTGATTACTATGGCTATGACGATTACTATGACGATTACTATGGCTACGATTATCACGACTACCGCGGTGGCTATGAGGACCCTTACTACGGCTATGAAGATGTGTACAGCATGAGGAGTCGTGGTACTCGCCCCAGCAGGGGTGGACCTCCACCACCTAGGGCTCGCGGGGCTCCAACAGCACGAGGTCGGGGTGGCTTTGCACAAAGGGGGCCACCCCTTGGAGGTCCACGTGGCGCTCGAGGAGGACGTGGAACCCCTTTCCAACCTCAGAGGGGCCGTGGTCCTCGCGGTGCCAGGGGTAATCGTGGCGGGAACGTTGGCGGAAAGAGGAAGGCAGATGTGTTTACCCAGCCCGACTCCAAGCGCCGCCAGACCAACAACCAGCAGAACTGGGGGTCCCAGCCCATCGCCCAGCAGCCCTTGCAGCAGGGGGCCGACTATTCCGGTAACTATGGTTACAGTAATGACACCATGGAGTTTTCACAGGATTCTTATGGGCAACAGTGGAAGTAGATGCACCAAAAGGTATTTGGCAACGACAACAAAAAAAGAGGAAAACAACAATAAAAAGAAAAAAAAAATCAGGAGATTGGCCACAATTTTTGATTGACTTTATTCTTCATCACGTGTGAAAAAAAAAGATCTGTACGTATCTCAGAAAAAATGGACACACTGCAGAATTGGCTCAAGATGATTGGCTGGAAATGTTTTTGGCTGAAGAAATGAACGTACCCCTTGAGGTGAATCATTTCTTCCTGCTACAGTCTCATTTGGACGTGTCTTTACAAAAATTGCAAAAAATTTACGCTTTTATTGTTACTTTTTGTTCCTGTTTTTTTTTAAACCAACAAAGAACGTTAACAAAAAAAAGTGGACATTCGTTTTAAAATATCTGAGAGGACGTCAAAAAATGCATATGTCCTTAAGTTTTTTGTCCATGTCCCCCTCCCCATTCTTGTACTCCCTTAATTTGTGGTTTCTTGTAGTTGCTTAGGGGTTTGCTTGTAAATAAATGCATATCGTTATAGCTTCATACATCATTTTTTGCGAGGGTGGAGAAAAGAATCCACAAGAAGGAAGAAATCAAAGTTTTGTATTGTTCGAAGTGTATGCATAGCATTTCTAGAGATAGACGAATTGTGTTTATTTGTTTTTTTAACTGATACCATAACTTCCTTGTTTTCATTAAACTTGCCCGGTAGAATTTGGTTTGGCTGACCTTAAGAGCCATAGCAGTTTGTTCTCTGATGTTATTTGTATTTATAACTTTTCCGTTTTGTTCAGTTTCAATAAAACTCAGCTGAGCATCAGTCAATTGTCAAATACTCAAATTCAGTGTTTGTCCTTCACTACTTGATTTGATCCATAACCTCCAATTGTCACATTCGGAAGATCTTTTTTGTCAAATTTTGTCAGCAGTGCAAAAGACTAAAGAACTAGAGAGTTCTGCTTGTCGAGTTGGATTTGAACCCTTTATTCTTCAGTGTTTCGCCCAAATGGCTGTGATCCCCTTACAAGAACACTCATCCTGTAAAGGTGACCGCTACCATTCTCATAGGTTGTTCCCATTTCAGTAGAGCTAATGCTCCTTCAGTAAATGTCTTCAGCCACTAGGAAAATACTCAGTGTACTTTATATTTAATACAAAATTCACAACACTGTTTTCACGTGGATGTAGTTGGAGATTGGCTGACATCTATTAAAGCTTTCACTAAAATTTTAAAAGTAAGAACAAGTTTGGAAAATAGTGAGTTGTCACTTCAACCCTAATAAGTTGACACACTCACCTGGCCTTTCCATTGGATTCGTAATAATCGTGAAACGTAGTATGCAGCTAGTAGTCACCGTTAAAGTTGATGCGTGCTTTTCCACTTTTGGATTCTAATTTTTACGTGTTACGTTTCCAGAATGCGTCAAGTTCAGCAATCAAGACAGGAAGTCAAACACGAAAGCTATGTAAAACATCTGGAAACTTTCAAAATAAAAGTCATGTTGATTTACAGTTACTCAACTAGTACATTTTTACCAGTGAAACCTCTGTAGCCGAGGTAAACGAAACAAAGTAAACCAGACCTTTTTGAATACACGCTGCTGTTTTCTCATTGCAAAACTGCCGAAAACATGTGGGGTCTTGCAATTCTCCGGTCTTTACATGACCAGCTGCGTGGAACGCTTTTGCTGCGGTTTCATGTCCGAAACGCTCCCAGTGGGAAGAGAGCTCTTGGGGAAAACCGCATCTTACACATCCAATGGAAAGCCGGGGTCAGAGCAGCGCATTTTACATGAAATTGATCTTTGTAAAGAAAGTTGTTTCGACCTTAACCAAATTTTTCTCCTTTTGAAGACACCAAGGATCTGTCCATCAAAAAGGATTACATAGCAGAAAACAGCCTTTCAGAATTTTTTTTTTTTTTTTACCTAACAACCAAAAAAAAAACTTAGCCTTTACCTGTTGGTATCATGATGTTGTTTTTTTGTTTGATGTGTCTGTCCTCTTATTCCAACCTGCCTAGGTGGAGAAGAAACGAGAGCGGCACCACTAGAATGAGGAACTCACCTGAACGGTACTCAAGGGTGAGCTAGCCTTGCACAGAGTACTGTCTCCTCTTCTGTAGTTTACTGTGACCACTGGGGATAAAAGGCATAATCCATTGTTTCCTTTTTTTTCCCCTCTCTTTATAAACTCTCCTCTGAAACATCTTGATGTTTGCTAGGAGAGTGGTTGAGTCTATTTTACAGGTTAAAAATAAGAGAAAATATGAAAAATGATTTTTAAGAGGCAAATCTGGGGGTTTTTTTTTTTCTTTTTTTTACTGCCATGATCAGGCATTCAAGGATTTGGTAAGCCCAAAATATATGAACCCATGCAAACACCTGCTGCATACCTTGGCCAGAAACTATATATATATATATATATATATATATATATATATATATATATATATATATATATATATATATATATATTCAGTGAATTATGAAAAGCTAGCTGAAAAAAAACTGCATTTCTTATTTAATAATAATAATACATTTTATTTCAAGCGCCTTTCAAAGGCCTCAAGGTCACTGTACAAGACAAAATATAAGGAACAGCAAGCAATACAAACGACAAGAAATAAGTGCTAAGAGTAATTCCCAAGGGTAGAGTCAGAGCAGTACAATGGATAATAGACTAAAAAGAGTAGATGGAAGGAGGACAGTTACAATGAGTAAGCCAGGTGGAACATGTGAGTTTTGAGTTGAGACTTGAAGGTTGAGAAAGAGTTTATACTGCGGAGGTAAGGCGGTAGAGTGTTCCAGAGTTTTGGAGCTGAGTGGCTGAAAGCTCTGGCTCCCATAGTACAGAGACGAGTGCAAGGAACAGACAGGGAAATTGAAGATGATGATCAGAGAGAGCGAGTGGGAGTGACAATGTGAAGGAGATTAGAAAGATAAGGGGGAGCGGGATTATGGATGGCTTTAAAGGCATGAAGAAGTATCTTCTAGTCAGTTCTGTATTTGACAGGGAGCCAGTGAAGTTGTTGCAGGACAGGGGTGATGTGATCAAAAGTGGAGGTCTTGGTGATTATCCGGGCAGCTGAATTTTGGACTGACTGTAGCTTGTTGAGTGATTTTAGAGGGAAACCGGAGAGGAGGGCATTTCAGTAATCGATGCGACTGGTGACCAGGCTGTGGACCAAAATAGCAGTGGAGTGCTGACTGAGGGAGGGGCGGAGCTGATTGATATTGTGAAGATGAAAGTAAGCAGTTTTTATTGTGTTGTTAATATGAGGAATGAAGGATAAGATGTCTAAGATGACACCCAAGCTCTTAGCTTTGGCGGTGGGGAGAAGTGTGGTGTTGTCGAAGCTGAGTGAGGAGGAACTGGTCTTAGAGATGACTTGGTGCCAATGAGGAGGATCTCAGTCTTACTGCTGTTGAGCTGTGGAAAGTTAGAAGAAAACCAGGATTTGACTTCGGTGAGGCAACTGAGAAGGGAGGATGAAGGGAGCGGGGGGTTTGGTTGGGTAGAGAAGTAGAGCTGGGTGTCATCGGCATAGCAGTGAAAATGAATATTAAATTTCCTGAAGATATTGCCAAGTGGGAGTAAGTAGATTATGATGAGAAGGGGACCTAAGACTGAGCCCTGGAGAACTCCAGAGGTAACTGGCTTAGGGTTAGAGCGGAAGGTGCGCAGTTGGACAAATTGAGTGCGATCAGATAGATATGATTTGAACCAATTTAGAGGAGTTTTTGAAATGCCGATGGTGGATAGTCTATGGATTAGAACTGTGTGTGAGATGGTGTCAAATGCTGCACTGAGATCGAGTAGGATGAGGATGGAGATCTGGCCAGAGTCTGCGGCTCGAAGGAGGTCGTTTGTGATTTTGATCAGAGCCGTTTCTGTGCTGTGGTGGGGGCGGAAACCAGACTGGAAGACTTCGTAAAGGGAGTTGCTGGATAGATGAGAGTGTAGTTGGTTAGCAACAACTTTTTCAAGTATCTTGGAGATAAATGGTAAATTGGAGATGGGACGAAGGTTATTGAAATTGGTTGCGTCTGAGCCGGGCTTTTTGAGAAACTGGGTTAGAGCTGCAGTTTTAAAGGCTGAGGGAACGATTCCAGTCCAGAGGGAGGTGTGAATGATGGAGCAGATGAAGGGTAACAGGGATGAGGGGCATAATTTAACCAGGGTAGATGAGAGTGGGTCAAGCTGACAGGTAGTGGGCCTGGATTTGCATATTAAATCCGAGATATAAGAGGCATCAGGAACTGAGAAGGATTCAAAAAACGTGATATCGTCAGGGGGAAGTGCGTGGGGGTCAGCCGGGCTAAGACTGGTGAATTTGGGTGATTTTATGGTTAAAAAGGAAAGAATGCTATTGCAGGTGTCAGTGGACTAGAGGTGAGGGGGGAGTATGGAGGGAGAGTGGAAAATGTTATGGAGGATTGAAAAAAGAGTTTTGGAGTTTCCATTGTTATAGTTGATGAGATTGGAGTAGTAATCTGATTTGGTATGAGAAATAGAATCCTTATAACGGGCTAGGTGGGCGATGTACAGGTCTTTGTGTATAGAGAAGCTCGTTCTCTTGTAGAGGCGCTCCAGCTGGCGTCCTTCACCTTTTAAAGAGCAAGTCACCCCCTACAAGAAACTTACTTCACTCCCACTTCATGTTTGAAAAATGCAACAAATGCTGTTGCTTGGCAGACCGAGAGGGCGGAGCCACTAACAAATACACACACACACAGGCTCACAATGGCATTATGACATCATAATATACCAGATGACATCATAGCATACCTCTTAGCCAATAGCGGTGGCAGATTTAAATTCAAATACAGTGCAGAATTTTTCCCTGACGACGGCGCAACACTGCCAGTTTTAGGCAGAATATTTAAATTTTAACTAAGATGCACTGAAGTGCCAAATTATTGACAACACATGTCTGTAGCACGATTAGACACTCCTTTATATAGTTTATCAGCAAAAAAAAAGTGATTTGGGGGTGACTTGCTCTTTAATGTTCTGAGGTTAGATGTGAACCAGGGGGCAGAGGTGGAAAAACAGACAGTGTGGGTTTTTAATTGAGCCAAAGTGTCAAGGATGTTTTGTAGCTAAAGCAGCTCTTTAAACTAACACATCTGGTGTGTGTGTTGTTGTTTTTTTGCAACATAAAATGTGTATTAGGCCCTTGTTATTCATTTTATTTAAAATGAATAAGATGCCCATCACGTTTCTGCACAATTAAGTGAAAAGAATTAATAGAATAGACTTTTAGCTTTTGAAACCACTAGATGGCAGTGTGAGGGCTGCATAACTTCACAGGTACAACTGGGCCATAGGAACCAAAAGCCCCATTCCCACCTGTACCGGGTCGGCCCGGGCCGGGTAGCATAAGCCCCATTCCCATCTGTACCGGGTCGGCCCGGGCCGGGTAGCCCCAGTCGGCCCCAGTCTGGCCCGGTTGTTTCCACACATCCTTGTCTTAAGCCCATGTGGGCTGATTCTACCCACCAATCAGAGGCTTGCTCTAATGGAAGGTGTGAATGGGCTGACTCTACCCACCAATCAGAGGCTTGCTCTAATGGAAGGTGTGAATTTCTTGTCAGCAGTGGGTGTGTTGGCCCTGGTCGGCCTGAAGCAGTACCCCTCGGGAAGAGGGCCGAGAATGAGCCTTGGTTGGCCCGGGAAAATTCCAGGCCACCCAGATATGTAAACAACCTACGCTACCCGGCCCGGGCCGACCCGGTACAGGTGGGAATGGGGCTATAGGTTGTTTACATATCTGGGTGGCCTGGAATTTTCCCGGGCCAACCAAGGCTCATTCTCGGCCCTCTTCCCGAGGGGTACTGCTTCAGGCCGACCAGGGCCAACACGCCCACTGCTGACAGCAAATTCACACCTTCCATTAGAGCAAGCCTCTGATTGGTGGGTAGAATCAGCCCACATGGGCTTAAGGCAAGGATGTGTGGAATCAACCGGGCCAGGCTGGGGCCGACTGGGGCTACCCGGCCCGGGCCGACCCGGTACAGGTGGGAATGGGGCTAAACTAAAGCTATTTGAGATACTCTAGTGTCCTTAAACAACTTTTCATTTCAGAAATGTGTCTATATGTTGCCTCTTGTCACCAGGCAGTAAGCTGCTCGCGCCCATGTGACTGAGTTCACAGAAATGGAAGGGACTGATTGGTAAGGTTTCACTACCAACTAATGCTCAGAAAGACATCATGCTATTTAGCGGAATTAAATCCTTGGATGTCAGGTTTACTGTTTTTATGAATAAGCTTTATTGTAAATACAGATGTAATAACTATTAAAGGCATTAGTATCCATCTTTCTGAACATTTGTTGGGTTTGAGCTTAAATTGAGAACCTTTGCCAGATTTTTTTTTTGGCATGTCTGTGGACATTTTCTTTTTAAGTTCCAGGTTACAGTAATTGCAAAGGGTGCAAAGCAGAACCGCTGCAGGATTTCAGACACTTCAGAATGGACTCGCCCACACCAAAGTCCAGGAGGTTCTGCCAGCTGGATTGCTGTCCTCCCTGCAGTCGATTGAAGGTCGAATGTGAGAAATAGCAAAACCTTTTGTTGTAAATTAATGTAAATGTCACACCAACTTGTTGATTATTACAAATGTTCTCATTTAGGGCTGAAAAGGAGGATGTGCCGCACTACACCTTCAGATTCATCTTCCTCAACAGATTTCTTGTACAGAAATTGCAAATACTCAAATAAATGTCTTGGTTTGTGCAAATTTATTTAATATTGATATGGACCATGTGGTATTTCCTTTCAAGTCTTTTTTTAAAGAATAGTGCCCTCAGTCATATAGGTGGAAAGGCTGCTAAACTAAGTATTAAACTAAGTATTTTAGATCTCCTCAGACTCACTGATGCTTCCAGAAATTTTAAAAGGGGGATTGCAAGCCTCAGAGCCTGAGCAACAGCAATTTGAGTCTGTAAATGAACTGCTTTTAACATGACTAGAGATAAATGAATAACGTCCTTCATGGCCAGGTGCCTGTTATGATGAAGCCAGTTTCGTTTTCAGCATCATTCAATAGCTGCTAGGTTTTAGCTATGCTATGTAGCTAGGCTGCATGTAGCTGGTCGTGAAAATGTGAGTCGTTTGGCAGCAGCTGCATTTTGTTTGCTCTGAGAGCGCAATTTATTTGATAATATTGTTTACCGAAAATCTGCAATTTCTTTAAATACGGCAGTTCAGTAAAACGTAAAGAAAGCATTCAAAGTGAGGAAGGACGTTCCGTTTGGGAACACACGGTCACATGACACGCTGCGTCACACGTAAACCCGGGTGAAGATGGCAGCCGCCGGGGGAGAACCGGGAGAGCCCTCCTCTCAAAATGTGTCGGATGAATTATTTCAAAACTTTTACACGGAGGTACAACATAATTCCTACTATTTGATGAATTTCACAGTTTCGGATGTAATGGATTAGTTTCTGGTATTAAACCATAGCTTCTCATGTACACTGCATACGAGGCCTTCGGCTAACAAGATGCTAACGTTGTTGGAGATGTTTTGTAGCTACGTTATTTTTGTGTGGAAACAGCCAGGTAGTCGAAACCTATCCCATAGTCGTGTGTAAAGTTGATTAAAGTCGCTTCAACATTTCCTATAAACCTACAAATTCTTCACCCGGGTGTTTGTAAATTCATTCAGCGTGTGTCATTCTTGTTAGCGTTAGCATCCTTTAATTTTCCATAAACATTACACTCACTGAGGAAAAACTAATGGGAATGCAGCGTTGGATTTGTTTTCATGGGATTCTGTTTTATCACAACAGGTAAAGCAGATTGAGAAGAGAGACTCTGTGTTAACTTCTAAACAACAGATTGACAGGCTGCTCAGACCTGGATCTTCCTACTTTAATCTCAACCCTTTTGAGGTAACATACTGGATCACAAATGTTTCATTTTTTTATGTATATATATTCATCCATTCATTGATGATCCATCCAATGTAAATAAAACTAAAGGATTTTTATTTATTTATTCTACATTTTAGGTGTTGCAGATCGATCCAGAAGCAACAGATGATGAACTGAAGAAAAGATTTCGTGCAGTAAGAACACATTTTCATCTTTAGTTTATGCAAAAACATTTTTATTGCATATAGCCTACGTCTTTAATCCTCTCCTCAGCTGTCCATTTTAGTCCATCCAGACAAAAATCAGGATGATCCTGACCGAGCACAGAAGGCTTTTGAAGGTAAAAAATAAGTAGGTTTTTAAATTTTGTACAATTAGTTGTATTTTTATTTTCACATTGGATTGTCTTGTTTTTATTTGTACAAATTTCACTTATTGAGGTTGCAAATACAGCAGCTTTCGATATTTTTGGGGTCGTCGTGGTGCAGTAACTTAATTGTTTTCCAGTTGTGGATAAATCATACAAACTGCTTTTGGAGCCAGAGCAGAAGAAACGAGCTGTTGATGTGATTCAAGCAGGAAAAGAGTATGTCGAACATATGGTTAGTGGGTTCCATGTTGACCTACCTCCAGAAAAAAAAAAGCTAACTTTTGCCTCCTTCTTCCCCCACTCAACATTAATCAGTCTGGTAAATTTGTGCATTGTTTCAATAACAGGTAAAGCAGAAAAAAAAACAACTGAAAAAGGATGGGAAGTCACAGGATGTGGAGGAGGATGACCCTGAAGTGGTAAGTCTGTTGAATTAACCTAGTGAAGGTGTCAATAATTGCAATATTTTGTAATTTTTTATATATATATAAATGAAACATTTAATAATTAAAAATAAAATATGTGCATATTGGAAAATAATTCAGTGTTTAAAAGAAGCCTTGATTTTCTTTTTTTTCTTCTTTTGTTTAAGTTCAGACAAGCCGTATACAAACAGACCATGAAGCTTTTTGCAGAGCTGGAAATCAAGAGGAAGGAAAGGGAAGCAAAGGACATGCATGAAAGGTAACCTGATTGTTGCAGGCAGCTGTTTTTGTGTTTCTGAACGCCTCTTTAATATTAAATGTTATTTTCCTAAACAGAAAAAGGGCAAGAGAAGAAGAAATTGAGACTGCTGAGAAGGCTAAGCGGGACAGAGAATGGCAGAAAAATTTTGAGGTGGGACCTTGTCCGACAGTTTAGCTCATGCATACAAGCTGGCATTTTTTAAATGTTTGACATTTTGCAGGAATCGAGAGATGGGCGGGTGGACAGTTGGAGAACCTTCCAGTCTAAAGGGAAGAGCAAAGAGAAAAAGAGCAGGTCATTTCTCAAGCCCCCTAAAGTTAAGATGGAACAGCGGGAGTGACGGTGGAAGACTGAGTTGTAGAAGAAAATGAATCTTGTTAAAGTAAAAATGCATCTTCTGTGTATTGTCACCTTGTGTTCTGTAGTCCCATGTGTAACTTTCACCTGGATACAAGTACGGCAAGTTACTTCTGACAAACTGTTGTTTTGTACTTCATTTTCTAATGTACATATTTGTGAGTTGAAGCCAGCGGTCATACCTCTGTTGTGTAAGGAGTTGATGCATCTTCACTGATGAGAAATGAGTGTATTTGCTTTTCTTTAACTTAATAAAGCTTGGTCTTTACCAGTTTAGTTTGCCACGATCTACAGAGCTGAGTGTAAAATTTCTGTAACTTTGAAAATTCAGCAGATGAATAAAGGTTTTAGTTTCATTTACTAATCTGTACATGGGTGACAAATCAAAAAGTCTTGGAAGTAGCAAAACCCCAGGTTTAGTTTTTCGGATGCCAGCGTGGCATCCATGTCATGTCAGATGTGTAAAAATATTTTTGCTTGTATTAACCGTCTGGAGGCCGGCGTTGCAGATTTGCAAAGTTAAAACCTACCTACCTGGTTACTCCACATATGTCATGAGCATTTTTTAAATCAGAAGTACCGCTGAAGTACTTAGTTGTTCGTCCTTTTATCAAAACTTATTTTGAGCCTGAGGGTTAAATTCTAAGCAATTCAATTAAACTATTTAGAGCACGAGTCAGTAAAGTGTTGCTAATTCTTTTATTTTCATCCCACCCCTACAAAAAAAGTGCTTCATTGGCAAAACGGTGTATACAGATTATTTAAAAAATTCCAAGTATTTAAACATCAGTTTTCAGTTCATATCTTCATCTGGTCATCTTTGTGAGGACATTCCTTCAGGATCCGGAAGGTCCTTAAACGTTGCACTTCACATGACTTTGCACTGATCTCCAGCTGAAGCAGTAGTAGAGACGGCGGCGCCTCCAGCTCCGCTTCCCATCAGCCCATCTAGGCTGAGGCCCTGAAAGGCTCCAAAGAAAGAATCCTCCTTCGCTGGTGCTGGTTTCCTGCCAGCTGTGGTGTGCTGCAGGCAGAAAACACAGATTATGACATGACAACTAACAAAACGTCACACTCTTTACCCGTTTACTCACCCTTGGAAGGCAGTGGTGGCTCCTGAAATGTGTCCTCACTGTCCTTTCTGCATTCTTCTTGGCTAATAAGGCTTGCTGACGTTTCCTTTGGCAAACAGCACAGAACAACATTAGGCGTAGCACATGGGCGAGCAGCTTATTCATGTGACAAACAGCCTGATCTTAACTAATCCAAACCTGTCTGGCCAAGAGTCAGTCATTACATTCATGAAAAGGATCTGAAATACTAAAAACTGATTTTTAACTATACCTCTCCCTCTTAAGTTCATCCTGATACGCTCTGAGCCAGGAGTCTGGGACTTTCTGGCTGCTGGAGGGAAGGCTTCTCCTCCTGCTGATGCTCTTCCTGCGTGTAAAACTGCATCTGCGGCCCGACGCACTCCTCTTGGTGGGAGGTTTAGTTCCAGATACGCAGCTGGTGAACTGCTTCAGAGGAGCACCCAGCGACATGAAGGAATCCATCCCGAGTATGAGGTGCGTGGATGTTTCCCCGATTTAAAATGTGGGATTACACGGCCGTGTCGAGTCTCAGCGCACAAATAAAGCTGCGGCAACCTGAAAATTATCAAATACAGATGCTTAGTAATTTGCTGTGAAAATGCATTTTAATTTTCTTTAACAAGGACTTACCTGTGAGGGAGATGTGACCCAATCAGCTCAGCTCCTGGTTACTCCTGTAAAAGCACGCCGTCAGTTCCATGCATCTCTAGCGCTCCTTCTCTTTCTACAAATGTCTCTGCCTGCTCTTATAGAGACTTAACTAATGACCTTGCTGGTCTTCAAATAGAATTACCTGGAGACGCAGAAGACAGTTATCTCGTTACGTGTCGCTAAACAAATCTGTGCAGGTAAAAAGGGTTTACATTCAGCAGGTGAATAAACTGTTATAAGGAATTTAGATCAGAATACTAGCATCTTGATCAGTAAACACGGATTTTGAAGAAAGTAAAAAAGCCTTGTTTTAGACATTTTTATTGTTTGTTTTTTTTGTGTAAAAAGAAAAAAAAATCTTATCTGAAGAAATAAATAAAAACAGCACTACTTGAAATATAATCAATTTTTCTTTTGAGTAGAAAAATCTGACAAGTGCCACTGGCTAGAATTCTTAAAACTAGCCAATTATTCTGTTAGATTTAGGAAAATATTATATTTAATATTTGCCTTATTTTAAGTAGAGCTGTTTCTACAGATAATTTTTTTGTACTAAAAAATAAGACAAAATGTCTAAATTAAAGTATTTTTTACCATCTTGGAAATCATTTTTTGCAGCGTAGCTATCTACAATCACATGCAAATGAGATTATCAAAACTGTGTCAGAGGAAGCCAGACAGATGGTGCGTGGAAAGACTCAAAGGTGCAGAAGTGACGCAGGGAGGGTTCCTTTGCCTTGCCAAAGACGAGTCTTTCCATTGACTCGAGACGTTAAGCTCCTACAGCGCAAAGCTGAATGACTCATTAATCGATTCATTCATTAAGAAAATAGTGCTTTTGTCTGTGCAGACTTTTCACACATCCTTTGGAATCTACCACAGAAAAACAACAATAATCTATTATTACCGCACAATTATCATAAACTTTACATTTAATTTAACTTTATGATTTACAAACACACATCAGCATCATTCCTAGTTACCTTTGTCTATTTGAAGCAAATAAATCAACCTCTTTGTTTCTGGCGCTCTCTAATCTTAAAATTCTCTGATTTTGGCACCAAGTAGAGTCTTTGGCAGAATCCTTTTAACTAATGAGGAATGAGGTTAATAAAAGCAGCAGGACACTGAAACGTTACCAACAGATGGGAAAGCTCGTGACGGTGCAGATGGACATCTGTCGTAGCAGATCGTCCGTGGTTTTCTGCCTCTGGACGACGGAAGGGGATAAAGTAGAAATTAGTTTCCGGTAGAAATGACACCATTAAATAAGCAGAGGTCAAAATGCTATGGAAAGCAGTTAACCTTTGGCAAAGAGTATTTTAATTCTACACAATAATACATATATACAGATTTAAATGCTTTAGTTTCATACAAAAAAAAAAAAAACAATGCTGGGAAACGTGACCTATAAATAACACCAACAGGAGCAGTGTGCTTCACCTCCATAGAGGCTTGTGTCAAACGTGGGAAGAAGAAAAAAAGGCAGTTTAGGTTTGTTTACATGTAGAATAATCCCAGGACTAATGTGTAACCCAACTTATGCACATCAACACACACTCACACTTAGAAAACACAAACATCTGTCAGTAAGTCGGGCTACGGGGAGACCAGTGAGTGGAGTGTTTCCCAGTCGGCTCACTGGTGGATGAGAGCGACCCGCTAACCTAACCGGGGCGGTTCACCATGGAGGGAAAATTCCTTACGGACATAGAGACATAAATAAAAATAAATGGTGATATGTCTATTCTGAAGACACTTGCAGCTTCGGAGAAAAGATGCAAGACTGATTGTTGACGAGAGAATATGTTTAGAACTAAAACTACCCCGGAGAGAAGTTCATTTACAGCTCCGTCTGATTTTTACCCTTTTGTTGGACTTCAGATCTGGAAGATTTCAGCTCCACGTGGGAGGGGAGGTGGACTTAGTGACTTTAGAAGTGTTCCTTTTCTTTAGGGAGATGGAGAGAGAAGGAGTTCACGAGTCAAAAGGAAGACAGGAGCTGCATGGAGGGCTACTTTGGGTAAAGCGACCTTCCATCCAAGCGTTTTTTTCTTTCACGCTGTGACTCGTTACGTTTATTCTGGTCTTTCTCATGTGACTGTAGAGGCGGGTCTCGGGGGAGCAGGGCTCGGAGACCTCCATGCTTTTAGAAAGAGTTGAAATAAAAAACACCTACAAAGTCCGAGTTTATTTGACAGTTCAGCTGCTTCACATGGAAAGGACTCGATCTCCGCGGGGTTCAGTCTTTCGTGTTTATGGGTCACCGGCTGATGTCTCGATTGCCCTCCCAGGTCTTGCTGCCGCCTCCCTCACCGTGACCCATGTTCTCAAAAAAAGGGTGCTTGAGGGAGTCGGCCAGCGCTAATCTCTTGGTGGGTTCGTACTCCAACATGCCCTCGATTAGATCAAAAAACTGATGGTGATCCTCTGCCTCTGACAGCAGGTACCGCTGATGGAAAACAACAAAAAAGGTCAGTTAAGTATAAACACAGAGCTTCAAATGCTAGTTTATTTCCTCCCACTTACTCGTAACGGTTTACAGTTTTCTCTGACATATTTCCCCGACGACGAGGTCTCGTCCCAATCCAGACGGCCACGATGGAAATACTTCTGCTTCCTGAGTGTTTAAAGTGACCAAAGTAAGAACTAAATCTTTTCTATGAAGTTTAAAACGTTCATGTTTGTTCCTTCTTGCCTGGTCTTACGGATCATCCTAGAGGGCACTGGACCCAGGATTCTCTCCATCATGGCCAGATGTTCCCTGTTGTCATGAGTCTAAACAAACAAAAACGATCATCATCAGTGGATATTTTGATCCGTTTTAAACGTTTCAGTCAGAGTTGTTTACCTGAAACAACGTGAAGCCTAAGTAGTACTCAAACAGGATACAGCCAATACTCCAGACGTCACACGGGTGACTCCAGCCCAGTTCTAAAGAACACGTTTGTTAATGTTAGAGCTTAAAAACTGCTTGTTTGGCTTCATTTCTAAGTGACTTCTTTGTTTTTTAAAGTAATCAGAAAACTCAACTAGGCTCAAAGTCGGCTCACCTAGTATGACCTCCGGGGCGCGGTAATGCCGCGTGGACACGATGGTGCTGTGATGCTCGTGGTCAAAAGTGGCACTTCCAAAGTCCACGACTCGAACTGCTGTGCTTTTTACCGTCCGCTCCTCCCGTTTCTGCAAGTTTGGGAACCAATGAACTACATTACAGAACCAATAAAGCTGCAAATTACTTCCTTCTGACTGGTTTCATGATAAATATGATTACATCATGTAATCAGCAGACAAGTCACCTCTAAAAGGAAAACATATATACACACTCAAGTTTAGACCACACGTCGATTTAGATTACAAACAAAGCATAAACCAAAGATTCTGTCAACGTGGCTTCATAAGGTGAAAGAGAAACCCTTTCAGTTCCCTCTTGAGGTCGAACGTGGATACAACAGGGAGCAAAAAATAAATACACTACCAGTAGATAGGAGCCTCCTATTGGATAATCTTTGCATTATTGAACCAATGAATTGATGCAAGTCTGCTTTAGAAGGGTCGGATCACCAAGCAGAAAAAGCATGTAAGGAAAAAACAGAAACGACTACAAATGGGTGAAGAAACATCCACTGAATCATTAAAACCAAGAAGAGCTGCAGGAAACCATACGTTTAAAAAAAACTGAATAATCGTGATCATCTTAAAACCAATGGAAGAAAAATAACAGATGCCACGTGTTCCATGTGCACAGTGCAACGGGAACAGCCGTGAGAAAACCTCCGAGATGTGAGCATCGAGGCTGGCGTCTGGTAGATGGTCCGGTGGTCTGATGAATGAAGTAATGAATCCATCATGCCTACAAGCCTGTGGGGGCAGTCTATGATCTGGGGTTGCTGCAGTAGGTCAGGTCTAGGTTCAGCAGCGTTATGACCCCCGACGATGAGGTCAGCTGACTACCAGGTGGATGGATTAATGGATGTTTCCTTCCCTCGTGACGCAGGGATATTTTAAGACATTGGGAGGGGTCCACGGGGAATCTTTGCTGGAGAAGGCTTCGCACAGTTGTCAGATTTCCCCATCAAACAAGATCTTGGTGAAAAACGAATGCGAAACTGAATGGAAATGGAAGGACGCTCCAGGAGCTTACCGAAACAACGCCAGAGTCAAAGCTAAAGGTGTATCATGTTCACGCGGGGACAAAGACTTGGTTTGGGACACGTCTCTTACCTTCTCTACATTGTAGGTCATTGTGAAGTCCGAGTTGACAAACAGGATATTTTCTGGCTTCAGGTCCGTGTGTGTCAGCTTATTGTCATGAAGAACTACAGAAAAAAATCATCAAAGAGCTCATTTAAGGTCACATTTTAAACTAATTCAACTTCATGCTGCAAATATAAAACATCTGATAATAACTCATGTCCTAACAGTAGACAGAGTAAGAATGCAGCCAGATTTACCCCTAACACAATAAGCTCTGCTTCTCATTGGATCTTTTTATTTGTGAGGGTCTTCTGAGGTAAACGTAGCTTACATTTCACAGCTAGGCAGATCTGGTAGGCCATGTGCCTGACCTGACCGATCGAGTAGGGAAGATAGTTGTTCTCCTTCAGAAAGTCAAAGGTGCTGAGAGCCAGCAGCTCAAAGGAGATACACATGTGGCCGTGGTAGTCGAACCAGTCGTACATCTGAACGCACAAGCTGCAACACAAAAAGATGTAACTGTGTAGTATTTGTATGACAGAGTACTGGTGTGACCAGGTTAAGGGAATGCTAAAAAATGCTTCCCATCACAGAACAGTCTGAACTCACAACTTGTTATCCGGATCCTTCTCATTTATCTTCTCCAGTACGTTGATCTCCAGTCGAGCTGCTTCCTTGTATTTCTCAACATTCTTGATAATTTTCAAAGCAACATGAGCTCCTCCCCTATAAACATAAACACGGAAAAATCTCAACGAGTGCAGCTGGATGTGAGGAATGGTAAAAGCACCACTTTTACACCCTAAAAAAACTTTTAAAAAATATAAATTATCAGAGATTAGGGGAGTAATATTATATTTATGCACTGAAATATCGCAATATTACTCACGAATATACTGAATTGATTTTTAAAAGCAGTGTACGGATTGTTAGTGAGAATTTACATGCAAACGTTCATTTTGTTTCTTTAGTGGTGCAATTCAAACTCCATCCACTAGGTGGCATCATTTTCTTGCCATCTTCATTCCAATGGCACAAGATATCAAGATAACATTGGATTTACCTTGGGAATGTCTTGCCTGAGTTTTCCAGTTAAATTTAGTCTTAAAAACTGCAATCAACACCTGGCTTTTATTATCGTGATTATATCGCATCATCTTCCTGTATTGTGATAAATATTGTCGCCAGATTCTTCCCAGTACACACCACTAGCAGATATGCACCGCCACCATATGTTTTGGTAAGAGTACAACATGAGTGCTTGATCCAAGTCATAGTTCAATATGGGGTCAGTACAACAGGAAGAAAATGGGAAAAAAGCCAAATGCTACTTTGGTTTTTGGCTTTCAAATGGATGATAAGTACCAGGACAAGAACACAAACGCAGTATAAGACAAATGTTGGTCTCTGGTATGGGTGCATCCATAAAGAAAAAGCTGAGATCACTTAAATAAACTCCAACTTTTCACCAACAAGTAGCAAAAAAATACTAAAAGAATTTGATGTGGTCAAGGAAATAATATTGAAAACTTAATCTACTTAAATAGGCTTTTTGCATATTTAAACTTATCAAAAAATAAATTGTTTTACAAAAAATAATAATTAAAAAAAAAAGAAAGAGATTACCCCTCGACGGGAAAAGCCAAAGGAACTTTGTTTCTAAGGAAGCGTATAAGATTTGTAGTGTTGAAGGCAGATCGGTCTTTTCCACCAAGTGAAACGCCCGGTATGAACACGACAAGACGCTGTAGGGACAACTCTCGCTGTGAATTGGTGCTACATAAATAAATAAATAAACAAACAAACAAACGTTACTCTGCCTTTGTTGTCCAGATTTAAAGAATCCAAAATGCAGATATTTTCGCTAAGGCGACACGTTAGAGCTGTATTGGCCTGCTAGCTAACAGCTACATGTTAACAGTGTCTGAATCCCCACTAGCTGGAAATTGTGCGACGTCATGGTGTCGCCCACGCAACAACGAACACTGATGCAGTGGAACTTGTTAAAACTAACACTACGCCATTGTCTTTATGTATATCAGGATGAAGTTAAAAGGTCTTGCTTGTTGTTTTACAAGGTAAAATTGTTTCTGTTCTACACTATTATGATTGTCCGAAAATCATGTGATCGGATCAGAGCATCCTTAGCTTTTTTTAATTTGTTATTATTTGAACTGATGCACACCTGCGATGGTCAATGCACCGCATCACCCTCCCGAAGGTGCCTTCCCCCAAAGTGCTGACGATTTCATCTGCAACACAACAAAAACAGAAAAGGAAAAGACAGGGAAGTGGAAGAAGAAGAAAAAAGGAGCATTAGATATGTGGACTCAAGCAGGAAAAAACTGCAGATAGGCGAATCTTTGCTAACACCCATCACTTAAAATAAAAAGCTCCCTATTGACTGTGCCAGGTTAAAAAAAACAAAGTCTAAGATAAGTGAATGCAACTTCTAATTAAAACATAAGGGGGCAATTATAAAACACCTCATTTTATGACTAATCTGTAGCTGTGTTGTCTTTATCTAAATAAATAGATGGCTAACAAACAGATGGCACGGTTGATACGGATTAGCATTTTTAAAACTGTTTAACTCGGGAAAAGTTAAAGACCAAGTTCACTCATCTTTTTCTACACATTTGCAGCGGTCTCTGGTGTAAATTAAATAGCCTGGCCTGCCAGACTCGTCCTCTGTTTAATTCTGCACAGAGAAAGAGTCTGGTAACTCACAGGCAGAGGCACAAGAGGGGCGGGACTAGCCAGCTCAAAAATAACCAATCAGAAAAAAAGACTGAAATGCTGACTGTACCGCGTAACGCTGTAGTTTTTTTTAGCTGTAGTAATAAAAGATGTCTGGCAACGGCGTAAACATTTTTTTTTTAGAAGAAATTCTTTTACTGCTCCTACATGTTGTTATTTTAAAGACATTCAAGTCATTTAGAACAGATGAAAGAGCTGCAGCAAACTCCACCGCTGTCTTCGTTGTTTCTGAGAAACTGAGCGTCGCTGTGTGTGACATCAGCGACGCTGTAGTTTTTTTAACTGTAGTCAAAAATGGCGTCTGGTGACAGCGCAATCATTTTTCTTTAGAAGAAAGGCTTTTGGCGCTTCTACATGTTGTTTTAAAGACGTGTCCAAGTCATTTAGAACAAAGGAAAGAGCCGCAGCAAATTCCGGTTCAGTCGCCATGTTCGACAAACTCGGCGTTGTGGTGTGTGACGTACGATACTCAGCACTGATTGGCTCGGTTAGAATTCTCACGGGGTGAGGTTATTTGTATAGGAGCGTTCCCAGACCCTTTTTCTGTGCAGAATCAAACAGGACGAGTCTGGCTGGCCAGGCTATAAACTAATGTCTCGTGAGTCGACCTCTGTGGAAAAAAAATGTTGCAGTTTAGTTTCAGGAAGCAGATGTCAACCAGATTAAAGGCGAGCAGAAGAAATGGCAAGACTTAAGAGTCGTATTTCCTAAAAGTCGGACATCTCGCTGATGATTTATCTCCACAAATAACACAAGCCTGGAGGAGTTCTGTGTGGTGGAGCTGCTAATGCTAACAGTTAGCTTCTACCAGCCGAGATGTGCTCTGGTCTCTTCAGAACAATAAATCAACAACAGCCTTCCCCGTCACGAGCTAAATTGGGCAAGTTCATGAATGCTAATTTTCAGTGTGTAGAGCTGACTGCCTTTGCTAATCTGAGTTTTCCCATTCCTATTAGTGGCTGATGCAGGAAACGGATCTTTTCATGATTAACCTGCGTGTTTGTTTTAAAGTGACAGATCAATTCCTAAAATAAGTTAAAAAAGTGAACTTGGCCTTTAAATTTAAGTTAAAAATGTACATGTTATAATTGTACAATTCAGAATTGACTACTTAAGTGTGTGTAAGTTAACTAGAATCCCTAAAACATTGGTTGTGGAAAACAGCTAACTTGAGTTACAGCTATATAAACTGTAACTGACTTTTAGGCTACAGCACAAGAAAACAAACAGCTAAAAACTGGATTCTACGTTTTGTGAAGTCAAATAAACCTGTGAAACACAAAAGAAATGCTCCACAGAGTTAAAATCGTAGAACAAAAAGGCAGAATTTATCTAAAGTTTCTCTCAAATTCATCAACACTCCTTTTGCAATCCACCCAGCTACTTCAGCTAGAGCGAAGAGCATTCTAGCAAGGCATCATCATCATCATCAGACAATCCCATGTCATGTAAATGCTCTATGATTATACTCATATGGAGAAGGGTTACGATAGAGTAGTGGCAGTGAGTACATCTCTCTTGCAGGACGTCCCCACTCCGACAGATCAGGTGCCCTTCCTCGTCGTCCCTCACACTCAGTGCCCGCGTCCGGCTGGTGCTCCGCTGTATTCACACCCAAACCGCCATCAGCAGGTCAGAACACGACCAGAGGGGACAGGGGTTTCAGTAGCAGCCACGGCATCAGGTGGCACAGGTAGATGAGGAGGGAGGAGGAGGGTGGTGTTGTGGTTGTAGGTGGGTTTCGTGGTCACGTGGCGATTCACGCATGACACCACGTGAAGGAAATATATAACGATAGGGATATAGTGCAAGGGAACAAGTCAAAGATCACATCTTCTTTCCCCCCTTCAATTTATAACCACAGCTGCTCAAAAACAAAGAGGCAACTGGCTTTTCCATTAATCAACGCAAAAACCAGTTAAACCAGTGGTAAAACTAATGCATCAGGCTAATTTCAGATTAAACAAAATAAAAAATGACTGGATCATAGCAGCTCCAGCAGGAAATATTTCTAAATAATCTATGCCAGATAAAACTCAAGACTAAATCATGATTAGAGTAATTTACAGGTGTGCATAATCACACTCCACATTTAAACAAACACCTATAAAACCAGCCCTTTTACATGGTAAATCATCCAAATTCTAATTAAACCTACATTTTGTATGGAGTTGGGGAGAACATTTTTATTTTTCTAATGCAAACTTCATTTAAACTTAAAACTGGGATCTAATTTAACATTTTTAACGTTACATCAGGGATTTCACCGTGGACGTGAACAAAGTTCAAATTTTCATTTTCCTTCACTAATATACAAAAAGGGTTTTAAAAAAATAAAAATGTTCTACCAAAAACAATAACAGTGTTTAGCAAAACAAATAAAAACATACTGAGAGAAATAAAACAAATCATAAAGAATTCACTACTTACCGAGTCCACGGGCTGCAAGGGAAAACGGTTAGTGAAAGACAGACTGAAAGAGGTAGAGGTGGAAACTAGAGGCGGAAATAGAAAAAAAGAGGTACAGAACAATCTTGGACCTGGCTCTACTCACCGAGGAGGAAGCGCTATAGGACCTGGTTCTACGCCGCCTTCGTTTGTGCTTACGCCTGCTGCCTTTCCGCCGATATGAATCGTCCCGTTCGCGCTCCCTCTCGCGGCCACGCCTGTAGTCGTACATGTTCGGGGAGAAGTCTCGTGGGCAGTAGCTCTCGGCTGCTCCATGTGGCTCCCTGTCTCTGTCGCGATCTTGGCTCTGATCCAACCGTCTGTATCCCTCGTAGTACCGTCGATCAAAAGGTCGATGTTCTGTTGAGCGATTGTCATAGCTGCGACTAAACACAAGGAATTCATGTTAAACAGTAAACTGTGTTAATCTCATTATAAATGTAACATCACATGCAGACGTACCTCCTTGAGCGCATGTAGCTTTGTTCCTGTCTGTGCCCTCGCCCCCTTCTGTCGCGGTCTCTGTCACTACTGGAGGAGTTCGTAGGTGATCGTCTGTGCCGATATCTTCGTCCTCTGTCTCTGTAGCGATCTGGGTAGCTGCTGCGACTGTCTCTATCAGACGATGAGTACCGTCTGTTGTGAGGCATCTAGTGGATTGTTGGAAAGGCAAATTAATCAGAGTTGAAATCAAAACCTTGAGGTTGGCAATACATTTAGCCAAGTAATGAAAGTCAGCTGTTTTATCAGAGGACATCGGTAGAAAACATGAAAAATCTCACAAATAAATATTTCAGAAATCGTAAAATTACCTCAAGCTTCAAAATGATTATTCTACATTACTGTAAGTTTGGAATACCAACGAACAAGCAAACTGCTAGCTGTCATGATGAGATCTACTAGTGTAAAAATGCAGTTTTATTCTGTCTGTTTTTGAATAGAGGCTAATGGAGAAGTTACGTTTTCATTGTTGTTCTAGCAAAAGGCAGTTCCTATTGAACTGAGCTTTATTTTAAGAAAGGGATCTGTAAAATTGTTTAAAAATAACTAGCTCGCATTGCTTTGCATAGAAGTGACAATCCTTTTAATCCAAATTAATTTGAACTCAAAGGCCTGAAAATGTGTATTTTTATGGGACTTAGCAGAAAGTTTATCAAACACTAAGAAAAGTATCCCAAATTCAAGACCGAATGGTCACTCTGAACCTAATGTTGTGAAGAGTGACCTCTAAAAATATAGCAACATAAAATAATCAGTAAGACTAGAAGAGAAAATAACGAGCATCGTCTCGTGTTTCGAGACAAACCAGCTAGCCTTGGTGCAGAAAGAGAAAATAGCAGCTACGTCAAGTTGGAGCGAGATTTTTGTGGAATGTCACATCCCTACAATGTGTGTGCTTCGACACATAAATCAAATTAAAGCACACAAAGCATAACGAAGACGCTACGTTAACAATAAGTGTTTCAAACGACAACTCCTTAAATAACGTTCGCTAAATCCAAGACCATGTAAAATGATTAAATATCTCGCTAAAATTGCTGTTAACTTAATTAATTTGACTAAGCATCATGAAAATAAACAATAACACTCTGGACAGCTGCAACATGGAAACACATAAAACGCGAAACATACATTTTATTATGTTAAAACTGGCTACTTAGCGAGCGGGCAGCGGTTAGCTTACAGCGCTAGCAGAGAGCTAATGTAAATAATTTGACCGCCATCTTAGCTACGTTCGTCAGGTCCGCGGCAACTAATGCTAGCTGTCGTGAGAACCGCGGCATAACCAGTGCAAAAACAGCGTCCCGAAATTCAAAAACGAATATAGTCACCGTTTTAGCAGCGAGGCCTGTTCGTTTATCCCATAAAAAATCCGTGGTGGCAGTTGGGTGTATCTACTATCTAGTTGCTAAATCGTCAGACCCTTTAGCCCTCCGGTTCCATCCACCGTCTAAGTTCTGGTACAAACTAGTGTGTGTTGCTGTAACGCCTCCTTGCGCTGTAACGCAGTACCATTCCTGGAGCAAGGTGTATGGCAAGCAGTTGAAACATTTAATTGAAAAAAAAAAAGCAATTCCTCCTTGTCAAAATGCCCTTTCTTGTACTGATAAATAAAATGCCTTTTCTTGTACTGATAAATACCATTTTCTGTTCAAATATATATATATATATATATATATATATATATATATATATATATATATATATATATATATATATATATATATTAGCACTTTGAGGGATGGTTTGGATATTCTAAGTCTTTTTCTGTGAAAAACATAAGTCCATTTATCATCTTCCTAGTGGTAAGCAACTTGATGAGCCTCAGTCTAGAGAAAAAGACATGCTGTGACTATACAGAGTACCTACTTGCTAGTTTGACTTATGTATGTTGACTTAAAAATGACTCAAATCTCAAAAAATATAGTCCTTGCAAAATTTTACACCACTATAAATTTCACTAAATATAGTTACTGAATTCACGAGAGAAAAATGGAACATGAGATAGATGGGTGGATTCGTGCTGCGTCTGCAGTGATGCAGGCGCTGTATCGGTCTGTGGTGAAGAGAGAGCTGAGGTGGAAGGCAAAGCTCTCAATTTGTCGGTTTATCTACGTTCCTACCCTCAGCTATAGTCACAAGCTTTGGGAAGAGATCAAAAGAACGGGATTGCGGATACAAGTGACCAAAATTAGTTTTCTCTGCAGGCTCTCCCTTAGAGTTATGATGAGAAGCTCAGTCATCTGGGAGGTGCTCGGAGTTGACCCGGTGCTCTTCCATGTTGAGAGGAACCAGTTGAGGTGGCTCCGGCATCTGGTTAGGATGCCTCCTGGACGCCTCCCACTTCCAACTAGGAGGAGACCCAAGAGAAAACCCAGGACACGCTTCAGGGACTATTGCCACTTACACACTAGCAGAGGCTCCACTCCACTCTGCCTACCCAAACCTGGCTGTGTTCGTTCCACACCGCCTTAGGAATGCAGATGTATATGAGCACATGGGCAGTCTGTGTCCTGTGATGTCATGAGCGCGTCTCTGTGCACGTGTGCAGGGCAAAAGAGTGCGAAGAAGTCTGTGGTGTCTCCATTATTAAACAAAGGCGGCCTGAGCAGTCTTGCTTTTGTAGATTCTGATTACTTTTGCATCCTGCTTTGCTGTCTGGCAGCACTGTGTGTGTTTGTGTGTGTGTGTGTGTGTGTGTGTGTGTGTGTGTGTGTGTGTGTGTGTGTGTGTGCGCGCGCACCTCCTCAAAGCAATGAGTAAAACGGCGTTAACTCCACAGCATCCAGAATAATGAATTGTGCATGTAAGCCCCCACGGGCTGATTCTATCTGCCATTTGGAGGCTCCCCTAATGGTACACTTAATTTTGAGCAGGCCAATCAGTCAGCAGTGGCTGTATTCAGCCCTGTTCGGCTCCAGGAAGACCGCTTCGGGAAGAGGGCTGAAAAGACATCCGGTTGCACGCGGGAACAATTCCAACCCAGTCCAGGCGCAGTGGAGCCGATGCTAGTGAGAGAGAGCCATATGTCTCTCAGCTGGCGTAGGGACACCTTGGGATTCCCCAGGAGGCGCTGGCCCAAGTGGCAGAGGAGAGGGAAGTTTGGGCCTCTCGGTTTAGGCTGCTGCACCCCCGCGACCCTACTCTGGATAAGCAGCTGAAAATGGATAGTTATTGAAATTATATACCACATTATAATTGCTGTGGAGCAATATACTGTAGTACTTTTGTCTAAAATGTCATTATTTTTCCATTTAACCACAAAATATTTGTGCTTATACAAAGTACAAAAATATTTTTTTTCATCTGGTTTTAAGGCATTCAAACAGGCTGTTCAAAGAACTTTCTACAGCCGATAAGATATTTAATATTTGCCTTTCCACAGAACCCCCATTTTGAAAAATGTAAAATGTCAACTGCAGATCAAAAAATATCTTTGTTATGCAAAATGCAGCAACACACTTTTCACGTTTTTCAGCCTTAACTGGAAGGATTCATCCATACCCGGAAGTGCAACATAAGTTAGCATGGGGGATGAGATTGTTTATGAATGTCATGGTTCTTTGCAAAGACAATGTTGGGTCTTGGGGCCTCGTAGCAGGATTAAAACACATTTACTTTGGGTTTAATTACAAATAATTCCATTGATTATGTTTTCATGGTTCCATGGGAATGAATGCATGTGTCTAGAATGGTGTGTACATCCACCAGGAATTATTCTATGAATGCTGATTTTCTTGAAAGGTACTTTTTCCAAAGATACATAGAAATGTAAATCAAGGCTCTTTTTATAAGTTGGCTTAATGAAATTAGAATCCTTATTCTCAATCAAGCTCATATTAGCAGTCCTTCTTAGAAGCATCGACAAATGACCAGTAATGTGTTATTCTTTTATTTCACCAGTTGAAAGACCTGGTCAACGAAGGCAGTGTGAGAGTACAGGGAATAACAAACAGCGGAGCTCAGTCATTTATTGGGTGTATTCAATATGTCCAGCTGTGCATTTGCCCAGAGTTCACATCAGTAGTATAAACACTTGTTATTGGCCTAAGTTTATTTACCAGAACAAAATTTAAAGTCTTGTATTTCATCATCATCATCAAGTTTATTTATAAAGCACTTATAAAACAGCATGGCAGCTGACCCAAGTGCTGCAGTCTTGTATTTCAAGAATGATCTACATAAGGGCTGCATGGTGGTGAAGTTTATAGCACTGTCACTTAGCAGCAAGGTCGCCAGTCCAAATCCCATTCAAAGGCTTTTGGAGTGAAGTTAGCATGTTCTTGCCATACATCAGTGGACTTCCTCCCAGACATATAAATGCAAGATGAGTACATGACCATTTGTCATGCTCTTCGTCTCCGTGTGTCCTTGTTGTAGACTGAAGATCTGTCCAAGGTGTCCCTCACTGGAGACACAAGCTCCATGCCCTACCCCAGAACAATAGATGGACGGACTTCTAGAAAGGAATCCAAAAGGGTCCTAATGAAGGCAACTGGACTTCTTTGGTTTCTTCAAGTCTTTCTCATTCGATAAGCTTGGTCAGTCCTGACTGGAATATGGGAGGGTCAAGCTTATAAACTTGATAAACTTAATAAGCTTGACACTCCCATATTCTAGTCAGAATTGGCAAAGCTTTTCAGATGAGAACCTCTTGAACAAACCAATGAAGTCCAGTTGCCTTTATTCGAACCCCTTTAGATTACCATGACCTGGATGACTGAGAACCTTCACCTTCTAGAAGGATAATGATAAACCCAAATACATCCAAAATTAACATTTGAAACTTTGTTGATATAACGTCAACAGATGAGATGCGAGTCTCTTGTGGCGTTCAAATGGTTCACATTCATTTTTCAAAATAATGTGTGGTTTTGGACAAAAAGGCAAACACAAAAAAAAAACATATTTTCTAAGAATTGCACAAAAGCGCAACAACAACAAAAAAAACCTGTAAAAAATACATTTTAATCAAATACTTCTCAGGCACAATGAGGAGGACCTTTCAGCTTTTGTTTGCTAAATATGTAAAAACATAAACATTTAACAGCACATTAACTGGATCCAAGCTGGTTCAAAGGGAATGTTCTGGTTGGTTTAAGGTCAAAGAAATAAGGTGCAATGATAACTGGCACTGCTAAGAAATAGTTACAAAAATATTCCCTCTGATCACAAAATCCAATACTTTCAACAGGAAACCTTTATTTCCCCTTGGAACTAAAAAAAAGAAAGAAAGATGACTGGCTCATTTCTTCACCGTCCCATTGTTCTGAAAAATAAAGGAAAACTGGGCATTAGCAATCACTAGAAAATGATTATTTACCATTAAATGAAAAACATTCAAACCTTTTTCTCATCACTCTTTTTCGCCCCCATTTCCTCATACATTTCGAGCATCTGTTCCAAGCGTATTGAGCCTCGGTAGAGCCACTCCTTATGTTGATCCACCTGAGCAAAACAACATAGAAACTGCTCAGCCGGACAAAACTAACACTAAAAAATAACAAATAACTAAAGCAAATGACATGATACTGACCTCAAAAATGACTTCAATCAAGCTGCAGTCAACTTGCAAAACTTCAACCTTCTCTTGAGTACCATTATATAGTGCCCTCATCTTCTGTCCAACTCTGTAATGGGTCTGAGCTGGGAAGGGCCACTGACGCAGGTAGTCCCGCATGAACTCCCTGTGGTTGTTATCGGGAATGTCATCCAAAGGGTCCGCCACTGTCGCAGAAAAATGTGGAAAGATGACCGGAAAGTCTTCCACTCACTTTGAAATGATTTTTAACATTATTCACATCTCTCTCAATGGTGCAGATGTTTTTCTTGTCATTCAATAAGCTACGCTTTGAATATACAAAAGTCAAAAGTTAATTTGGGGGTGACTTGCTCTTTAAAACTTTTGATTATTAAATTTGTGGTCAATGATTTTGGTCATCAGCTACCAAAAACTAATCGACTAATCTTGGCAGCACATCTTTAACCCAATAAAGATTTGAATATCCTTGTTTTTGAGTATTTTTAATTTACAGAATTCAAACTAATTCTAGAAAAAACATTTTACATTATTATTCCTTACTATACAGAAAATATTCCTCCTTATTTTAACTGCATATTCCTCAGTAGGGTCTCAGAGAGCTGGTGTCTAACGAGGGACACCCCGGACAGGTCACCAGTCCATAACGAGGACACACACAGACAAACAACCATTCACTCACTCACTCATTCCCACACACCTAGGGACAATTAAGTCTCCAACTAACCTGACATGCATGTTTTTGGTCTGCGGAAGGAAACCGGAACACCAAGAGAAAACCAATGCATGCATAGTAGAACATACCCACTCTGAGCAGAAAGGCTGCAGCCAGGATTCAAGCCTACAACATACCAACTGTTGCACCACGCAACCCCATCAGAGAAGATTATTGATTAAATTAAAGACATTTAAACTTACAAGGTTGGCACACCAGACGAATTTTAGGTAGGGCAATGTAGACAGGTGTGTGATCATCAGTAAACACCATGAATCTAGAAGAAAGGAAGAAATAACAAGAAGCTTTCTCTTGAGTCCATGTAAGCTGGGTAACGTGTTAATCTAAAACAACCCAAAAAATTACATTAATCGTAAATTAGAAACACAAACAAACCTCATGTGGTTCTTCCTGCCGGGGACCTCTGCTACAATACCAGGCATGAACTCACCGTCTTCAGTCTCGATCACCACTCGAGCACCAGTGGACAGATAACTCACTTTTGGCTGGTGGGCCAAGGCAATATGGTGGCCAGAGACGAGGGCCCTCCCCTTCTCTTCAAAAGCAACTTTGTATTTCACGCGGCCGTCTTCTAAGAATAAACAAAAAGAAAGGTTCTACCAAAAGGATTTTACGATCCTGGCCTTTTACTTAAACTGCATTGTCATATTTTTGTTAAAATAAAAGTTTTTTTTTAAATCTATACCGAGTTTTTTTTAGTCTCCTAACCATATGATTAAGTCTAGTACTTTTTGGCACGAGCTCGTGTATTTTAACGTTATTTTTGGCCCGTTTTAAACTCATGCTGCACTTGTGAGAGTGCGTGCCGTGACGTACGCACATTCACGAGGAGGCGTATTCTCCTTCAGTTGGCCTCTAGATAGGCTCTGGTAGCAACAGGAAATGTACATTTGAAGATGAATCCTGCCAGCAACTCATGTCCGGTTCTCTGTTTTAACATTTTACCTTTTGTAATTATTTCGGTAACTTTTCCTGCATGCCAACTCAATGCCTTCCTTCTCGCCACGACTTTCATGTTTACAGTGATCTTTTCTAGAGGAACGTTTGGAGGATTGCTGGTAGTCGTAGAAGATTTCTGGCTCACAGAATCCCCCCCTATCAGTGGAAAAAAAGCACAAAAAATGTTAATTATTACATTTGTTTAAGGTTAGGTGTCTTACACATTAGAATAATCTAAGTAGTTAACGTTTAAATGTCTCATTCCACCTCCACTGCCTTCATTCACTTCTCTTTCCTGAGTAACAAATGTCACATCTCCACCAACACAACACAACACATGCCTGAACGTGTTCCACTACGTTGTTATTGCTAACAGTTAGCTTCTACCAGCCAACACGTGCTCTGCTCTCTCCTGGTTACTAAATCAACAGCCTTCCACGGTCACAGGTCTAGGTGTGAGGCAATAAAAGCTCATTTTCCATGTGCAAAATGCAACAACCAAGATTTCCCAAGAGGACACAATGGAGGTGAATTAACCGACCGAATCGTTTTCTTGTCAGTTTTATTTCTGCGGCTGGATGGGGGTTGAAGACATTTTTCAGGTTCAGCAAACGTACATTCAGAATTACTGACCATGCATCAAAAAGAACAAGTATTACACAGTTTCTCAGTGAAAGAGAGCTTTAAGTTCGAGACTCTTACCATTAATGTTTGCAGACGATGTGGAAGGTTTTACTGCATGGCTTTCTGAATTGGCTTTATCTTGGGAGGTTATTTTGTTAGCTTGTTGCATTTTCGATTTCCTAGACTCATCTGTTGTCTTGTCAGCTTGTGATGTTTTTGATTTGGTGGACTCGATCTTTGTCTTGTCAGCTTGTGATGTTTTTGATTTGGTGGACTCGATCTTTGTCTTGTCAGCTTGTGATGTTTCTGGTTTCCTAGACTCATCTGTTGTCTTGTCAGCTTGAGATTTTTTTGATTTCCTAGACTCATCTGTTGTCTTGTCAGCTTGTGATTTTTTTGATTTGGTGGACTCGATCTTTGTCTTGTTAGCTTGTTGCACCTTCAATTTCCTAGACTCATCTCTTGTCTTGTCAGCTTGTGATGTTTCTGATTTCCTAGACTCATCTCCTAATTTTTTGTCAGCTTGTATTGTTGTATTCACTTTGTTGAACTCTGCTGTTTTCGTTTTGTTAGCTTGCGGCGTTTTTGATTTGCTGGCTTCTGAAACGTTGCATTTAGCATTAGTAGCTGCAGTTGCTTCCAATGCTGTTTCCATTGTCTCGTTTTCAGCGCCGCGGCTTGTCCCATCTGAACTTGACGTTTCTGTTTCACTTATAACAGCTTGTCTTCTAGTTCCTCGAGAAGTTTGGCGAGATTTCACCAATGTCCTGCTTAGATCCATCTTCCTTCTTTTAGCTGATTTAGTAAAATCTGAAATGTCCGAGCCACTTGAGTCAGGTTCTGGTTCCCAACACATTTCAGACTCAGCACTGCTTAAAGATTCACATTCATTGCCGTCAATCTGAGGCGGTTCTGGATGGAGGTCAGCTTTGATCTCAGCTGCACTGAGCTTAGTCAAAACCACCTTGACTTCTTTCATTGTAACAATAATAGATCCCTTAGCATCATGGTCGCTTGTGGCTTTAGAACTGAACCAATCTGGCAGTGCATCCTCTAAAAGGTAAAAACAAAAATAAAACATGGGTTACAAGTTATGAAAAACAGGGACAATCAGACGAGCGATTAAATAAAAAGGAAATAGTTTTTTCATTACTGGAAATTGGAGCATCACTACAGCCAGAATTAAAGTCGTATCCGATGTACTCCAATCCCAGCATGGAGTACAGTTCCTTTACAGATTGTTCAAACGCTGACACAGATCTGAAAATATTTCAACGAAAGCAGATTAAACTAAAAGGATGAACACACACAAAAGTCACAAAGTCACAATCCAAACAAAGTTTCAGTGACCAGTGAAAGCGGGTCTCTGTAGAGATGACGGGATGCTTCGGAAGAACAATACATGCATCATACGGAGGCTATTCCTCACTGAAAGTCATGAGCTGCTGATATTTTAAATGTCCCTGAAGTACTCACACACACGGCCTAATTACTACCACTCCTACAGTCGAGTACCAGAACTCCAGGATTCAGGGGAAATATTTTGTCATGAGAATAATTAAGGCTAAGGGAAAATTGTTATAATAATAAAAAAAAGCTCTCAATTCCAAACAGGACTAGCAATAAGAGACTGACAGCACTTACTTGCAGAGGGATACAAGTTTTTCTGTTTGTGTTATCTTCCTTTTCAACAGAGACTGTAGCTGACTATAGTAGTACTCTCTCCCCCCAAAAGACGCCAAACAGGACTTCTCCACCTGGTCTCTGATCCACATTTGGAGCTCCTTGTAGCTCATCTCCACCTCATCTTCCTCCATAGTCACTGCAACAACCAAGATTTCCCAACAGGACACATTGGAGGTGAATTATCTGCAGTACACACTTGAGATGGCCTCATCTTGCTCTGTGTAGTATTTTACTGTTCTTAACCATTTTTATTTTTATGGGATTTATTTCAGGTAGATTGACTTTACGAATGGCATTATGGTGTTGATGTTGAATGTGTAGACTGTGCTGTGTTGTTCACTCTGACTGCTGTCGTTGTGCTCCAGATTTCCCCAAGAGGGATAATAAACTAACTGGACTGAATTATTTAGCATCATCAATGAACAGGACCCCCTAACAATGTCTTAGAAAAATTGTACCAATCAGAATCATATAAGTAAAAATCCAAAAATATTCAATTTCCAATGGAGGGATCGCAACTAGTGTTGCATTAAATCATTCTGTACGGCCGTAGTTCCCGACTTAATCTGTGGGAATATTATCCAAAGCAGGAAAATCATCTCAAAAAAAGAGAAACCGCCTGAAGCCAAGCTCATGGGAAGAGTTACTCAGCACCATGAAGAAAGATTAACATCATAATTAGTGCTTGTTTTAAAGTTGTTCTTCTGCACTTCTTGTTTTTAACTTAAAACATCTCAAAATGAAGCCAACATGACCATACCATCTTCACCATTTTCCTCATCCGATGTAGCATTCCTATTGTTTTCTGTCCTTGATCCAGGCTTCTGAAGCTCCATCATTCTCATCTCCAAATCGTCCTGCTTCTAAAACACAAGTAATGAAAAAAGTCTCACACACACTTCTGATTCACAGCAAACGTGTGTTTTAGGTTGCTTTCACCACCTAGAAAACCCAATAACAGCCATGGCTGACATAAACAGGAAATAATCTTTATATAGTCCTACAGATTTATTCTAGCCTCGAAATCTAGACAAACAGTAACAAAAACAAAATGATTGTTTTGGTTTGGTGGACGACGTGATGATGCAACGGAACGGAACAGCTAAGATGGCGGCGGCAGCTCATTTGGAAGAGCTTTGACATTAACTTTTAACTATTTAGATTTGGGTGAGTCAAGAACAGACTTCTTTGACAGCTTATGGCGGACTGTCACGCTGACTGACATTCGTAGCAGTGAGTATGTCACATTGACAGTTTGAAACCAACTGTAGATTCCGCCCCACGACTGGAATCAGTTGTGGCAAGGCTATACAGTATCTGCAGAAAGTATTCAGACCCCTGTCAATTTTTCACTCTTTGTTATATTGCACCCATTTTCTAAAATCAATTAAATTCCTTTTATTCCTCATTAGTGTAAACACACCACCACATACTGAATTTCTGCAGTTTAATTAAACAAGACAAACTGAAATATCACATGGTCCTAAGTATTCAGATCCATTGCACAGGATTTAGTAAAAGCATCTTTCCGAGCTAAGTGAGTCTTCTTGGTATAGATGCAACGAGTTTCATACACCTGAATTTGGGGGTCCTCTCCAGTTGTCTGGTGAACGTTGGTGGACAGCCATTTTTAGGTCTCTCCAGAGACGCTCGATTGGGTTTAAGTCAGACTAGGCCATTCAAGAACAGTCAAAGAGTTACCGTGAAGCCACTCCTTTGTTATTTTAGCTGTGTGCTTATGGTCATTGTCATGTTGGACTGTAAACCTTCAGCCCAGTTTGAGGTCCTTCATGTCCAGGATATCCCTGTACATGGCCGCATTCATCATTCCCGCATTCGTTGTGTCCTTGCAGCTGGTTTTCTCCACACACACCGCTTAGAAATAAGGTCAACAGGTTCTATATTGGTCTCAACAGACCAGAGAACACACACACACGGCACAAATCAGCCCAAACGTATCACTAACCACTCCACCGTGGATTTCTGATGTGAGCAGCTTCAGCAGCTGCATGGCGAAGCTTCGGCTCGTTTTATTTAACGTGCTGTACAACACGCGTAAACGCGTTTTGCAGCGTCCGATCACATAAATGGCGCGAAAATACGATCTTACGTGTTCGTAGTATCTTTCCTGACCAGTCTGAGATGTTATAACATCCTGTAAAGCGGAATCTTTCGCTACTTCAACCGTTTGAGTTTCTAGGCTACGCATTTATAGGACATTTGGATAAAAGTGTAACTTATTATAGTTTCGTTTTGTAATTAAACTATTTTGTGTGTCTATTATTAAAATGTATACTTTCTCGCTGCTTCTAATACATTTCTCAAACAGTATTTTGGCTTGTTCGACAATAAACGCATCTTACCTTCTGGTTCTGTTACTTCTTCTACGGCTTCTTCGCCGTACACAAACACTCACAGAATGGCACGCGGGCGCCCCCTCTGTTTATTAGTATGTCTACACCTTCGATCAAATCAATATCCTAAATATAATTTATTTATAATTAATAAATATTTACTCGGTGGATAAAAAACTGCTCTATTTAAAAATGTAATTGCAAAACACTTTTTCAGGTAATTTAAATTACAGATCTCCATGTGAGCATTAGACGAGTGTTTTTTAGTCACTGTACACGTTTTAGAGCATTTTGCTGAATGCTGTGTAGGCTATCAAAAATATTAAATCGCGCGTTTAAAAAGTCTTACCAATCCAAAAAGGGACAAAATAACTCCAGTCTAATTAAAATATAAACAATGTTGTCTTTATCTAAAACAAATTTAAAAACTCCAAATTGTTACACATATACATACAAGAGAAGAGTGATTAAATCTCTTTGTTTTTTCTTGTTTGGGTTTTATTATTGTTTTATTGTATTTTATTACGTGTTTTCTGTAAAGTGACCTTGGGTGTCCTGAAAGGCGCTTTGAAATAAAATGTATTATTATTATTATTATTATTATTATTATTATTATTATTATTATTATTATTATTATTAAATCACTTATAATCAAAGCAACTGTTCTCACTGAAAATTATAATTAACTCAAACACATTTCTGAATTTCAACACAAAGTAATCTAATTTAATGTTTAAGGGATAAACATTTGGGGGAAAAAATCCAACCAAACCCTAATCTGAACTATTTCAACTAAAGCTTTGTAAACGGAAGTCCGCTGCAGCGCAGGGACTCCCCTTTACTCCTTTTCTCCACAAGCATCTGGCTGCAGACATCAGATCAATAATACCTAGCTGCAGCCCCTACAAACCACGCCCCGTACAAAACACGCCTCCACGTGCCTGTTGAGCTCCCCTGGTGGTCAGAAAAGGGAAATATATAGACTAATATTTACTGGATGCACGCAAGTACTTGTCAAAAAAACTATAATACATGTAAATGTTGACATGTAAAAATATATCTGAATGGATTTTAAGGGAATTTTCTGTTACATGTTTTAACAAATTTTACACGTCTGAGCGCGACAATTTTTGGTCTACCACATTGCTGTCGTGAGTTTGCTGCTTATTAGATGAGGAGTCATAAACGGTCAAATAAATAGCCTATTGTTACGTTTATTTTGGCCAAAAGGCTTGCATGTAGCCCATTAAAAATTATATAAAAATATTTTGCGTCCATGACGTCTTCCCCCACAGCAAATAATCAGAATCAGAATCAGAAAAACTTTATTTATCCCAGAGGGGCAATTTAAAAAAAAAATAACAGCAGAACAGCATGATGTTGGACATACGAACATTGAATAAATAGGCAATAAGGACGTAATAAAGCAGCAAGAAGATGGATAAAACAGAAAAATATGCAAAAAACACTAAGTAGGTGAATAAAGTGACTAAAGTGTCGTCTGTATAAAAGTTAAATATATGGAGAGCCCAGGGAGAGGGTTTATCGGGGGATGGTCTTATCTTATCTGCTTGAGTTAAAGAGCAGAATGGCTTTGGGGACAAAGGTGGCTCTCCTCCTCTCAGTCTTGCAGGAAATGCAGCGTAGGTGTCGCCCAGAGGGGAGCCACTGAAATGCGGCGTGAAGAATGTGAGAGGGGTTGTGGAGGATTTTGGCTGCCTGTCTCAGGGCTTGTTGATAGAAAACCTGAGCAAGAGTTCCGACAGGCAGGCCAACGATTTTGGAACACACTGATGCAGTGTGCTGCAGTCTGTTCCTGGAGGCTAAGGGAGTAGAACCAGCAAGTGATGGAGAAGGTCATGATGCTTTCCAGGAAGGCACAGTAAAAAGTCATCATGACTGAGGAGCTGACTCCAAAGGAGTTGAGCTTCCTAAGGAGATACAACCGTTGATGGCACTTTCTGAGAATCTCTTCTGTGTTAGCAGAGAATTTCAGGAGGTTGTCAAAGGTGGTTCCCAGATACTTGTACTCCTCCACTACCTCCACTGGGTTCTCGTGGATAATGGTGGTTACTGAAGCAGCCGGATCCCTCTGCCTCCTGCAGAAGGTCACCACCATGTCTTTGGTTTTGCTCACATTCAGTTCAAGTTTGGAGCTGTCACACCATTCTACAAACTCCTGAAGAGCAGGTCCGTGGTGTTGCGAGGAGCCTGACAACAGTGATAGGAGGACTGTATCATCAGCGTATTTCACCAGGTGACAGTTGGGATGTGTGGATCTGCAGTCGTCGGTGTAGAGGATGTAGAGCAGGGGGGAGAGCACACAGCCCTGGGGGGAGCCGGTGGAGGTGGAACGGAGACCGGAGAGACAGTTGTTGACCCGAACTTTCTGAGTCCTGTTGGTTAAAAAGTCCAGTATCCACAGGGTTAACTGGTCATCTAAATGAAATTGGGAGGAAAGTTTAGTAGCCAGGGTGTGAGGCTGCAGAGTGTTGAATGCTGATGAAAAGTCAACAAACAGAAGTCTGGCGAAGGAGTCAGGGAGCTCCAGATGTTTGTGGATGGAGTCCAGAATGAAGATTTTTGCATTATCTGTGTGCACGATAAGCAAACTGGAGTGGATCCATCAGGGGCTCAGTTGCTCTCACAATGTGCTCTTTTATTACCTTCTCCATGGCCTTCATCACCAAGGAGGTTAGCGCTACAGGACGAAGATCGTTAGGAGACTTTGGGTTGCTTCTTTTTGGGACAGGGGTAACTGTGGAGTGTTTCCACAGCTGGGGGACGATGTGACTGTCAAGCGAGTGTTGAAATAGAGTCTGGAACACATAGCTGTTCTGCACAGTGCCTCAGAACTCTACTACTGATGTCAGGGCCGGGTGAGCTCCTCTCCCTGGTCCTCCTGAGGGCTCTCACCACGTCCTCGGTCTGGAAGGTGAGTGCAGAGCTGCCAGGTTTGAGTGAGGATCTGGACTCCTCAAGCTGGGTGATATTGTCTGTCTCAAACCTGGTGTAGAAAGCGCTGAGGTCGTCAGGGAGGGAGGTGGGGTTGCCTCCCTCCACCTGGATGGTTCTGGAGGCAGTGACCACAGTATTCGCAGCAGCCATGGTTTTGAGCCCCTGCCAGGCTGAGCGAAGTTTTTTTTTCCACATTGTTTTTATATTTCAGTTTAGCAGCTTTAATGGCCCTCTTGACCTCCCTATTGACTTCTTTCTTATCCTGTGCAGAACCGGTAAAGAAAATCCTCTTTTTTTTGTTAAGGATTTCTTTTAGCTCCTTGGTGATCCAAGGTTTGTTGTTGGGGTAGATGGTGACTTTTTTTGAGGGGATGATGCTGTCTACACAGAAGGAGATGTATGATGATACTGTGTCGACTTGATTGTTGATGTCATCAGAGGAAGAAAGAAGGCTGACCTAGTCAGTGGCCTCAAAACATCCTTGTAGGGTGAGAATACTTTCCGCTGTCCACTGCTGGATGCTTTTGGTCACCTTTTTAATCCTCTTGATGACTGGGGTGTAAGCAGGGGCTAGCAGGATGATGTGGTGGTCTGCTGAGCCAAGAGGGGGAGGGAGAGTGCTTTAAATGCATCTTGGTACCGAGCCAGAGCATTTGTCCAGTCTTCCCCTGACGTGTGCTGCATTTAACATACTGTTGGAAACCTTTAAGCCAACAGGACCACATCATCTGCAAAAAAGCAGAGACCTGATCCTCAGGCCACCAAAATGGATGCTCTCCACACCTTGGCTGCACCAAGAAAACCTGTCCATAAAGGTTATGAACAGAATCTGTGACAAAGTGCAGCCTTGGAGGAGTCCAACTCTCACTGGGAACAAGCCCGACTTACCGCCGGCAATGCGGACCAAGCTCTGACACCGTTCATACAGGGACCTAATAGCCCGTATCAGAGAGCCTGGTACCCCATACTCCCGGAGTACCCCCCCACAGGGCCCCCCGAGGGACACAGTCAAACGCCTTCTCCAAATCCACAAAACACATGTAGACTGGTTGGGCAAATACCCACGCACCTTCCAGGATCCCCCTAAGGGTATAGAGCTGGTCCAGTGTTCCACGGCCAGGACAAAAACCACATTGCTCCTCCTGAATCTGAGGTTAAACAATCCGACGGGCCCTCCTCTCCAGAACCCCTGAATAGACCTTACCAGGAAGGCTCAGGAGTGTGATCCCCCTGTAGTTGGAACACACCCTGCGGTCCCCCTTTTTAAATAAGGGGACCACCACCCCGGTCTGCCAGTCCAGTGGGACTGCCCCCGATGTCCACGTGATATTGCAGAGCCGTGTCAGCCAACACAGTCCCACAACATCCAGAGCCTTAAGGAACTCCGGGCGGATCTCATCCACCCCTGGAGCCTTGCCACAGAGGAGCTTTTTAACCACCTCAGTGACCTCAGCACCAGAGATTTGAGAGGCCAACCCAAAGTCCCCAGACTCTGCTTCCTCACTGGAAGACGTGTCAGTGGGATTGAGGCGGTCTTCGAAGTATTCTGCCCACCGATCCACAGCGTCCTGAGTAGAGGTCAGCAGCACACCGTCCCCACTATAGATAGTGTTGGTAGCGGTAGCTCCTGGAGCAGTGCTCTAACTGCTGGCAGGGAGCAGCAAGAAGGAGCAGAGGAACATGCTGAGGGAGGCTTGTCAACCTCCGTGTTGTCCAGGAGGGAAGAAGGGCTATGGCAGCCAGCCTCGGCATACTCCTCACGTTTGATGTCATCGTCCAGTCGGTTGGAGCTAGCCGGCGAGCCTGGCCAACGTTGAAAAACTGTAAAGCCTGATTTGTGCTTCTCCATCTGCGTCAGTGCGGAGACACGCAACTCCATTATTCATCCTTGCGTAGGGCTCCGGCAGGCACGCAAGTACGTACGGAGTCGAGCCCACTTTTTTAAACATCCGTCGAACGAGACGGATTACGCAAGCTTGTGATTGGTCAGGATGCCGTTGTTTACAGCGCCGCCATTGCAAAGAGAGCCGAGTTTAACTAGCGGCAGACACGGAGAAGCTTGAAGAATGCCTCGCGAAAAAATTCTAAAAATATGAACGTTTAATTCCCCCGTGACTGGAGGAGTGAAAAGATGCGCAGCAAGCGTTTTATTTGTGGACGGAAATGACAGGAAACATGGGTTTAGAGGTGGGGAGCGCATGAAGAGGTGGGAGAATGAGAGAGAAATATGTCCGTGTTAAAAGTCTCTTATATACACAAAAAACACAATATAAACACACTATCTTGGACCGATACATGACAGGATACCACAGAACAGTGCTACGCCCTCTGTTGTCCTGCCGGGCAATTGCTTTGCAACGCTCTCCAGGAGACGGAGAAGTATGAGAGCAAAACGCTTCCGTCAAAACGTGCGTGTCTGTCCCTTGCGGAGCTGATGGAGAAGCATAAACCAGGCTTAAGGCCTTGTCCAGCGAGTACGTGTCAGCCACCGGAAATTCCTAGTCTGCGGCAGTGAAGTACTCAACCCGGCAGATCTTTTCAGCCATGGGCAGAGCGGCACAAAACGGGCACGAGGCCTGGGGGGTCAAGGCCAGGCCAGGCCAGCGTGATGAGCCCCGAGACAGACCTCACATTTGGCGTGCAGGTCGCCGCTGGAGATGCAGCCCATCTGGCAGGCCGGTCAAGTCCTGATGTCGCTGGACATGGCTAATGAGTAGATTAATGCTCTTGGATAATTGTTCTTTAATGAAAGCTCTTAAGCTTGGCTTGAAGAGATAACGGAGGCAAACAGTGGAGTCGCTCCACTTACAGCCACAGGGGTGCCCACCATTGGTGGGCGTATATTTAAGATCTTCATGATTGGCTGATGCTGAGATCACCCTTCCAATAGCAGCTAGCTTAAAGAGCAAGTCACCCCTTACAAGAAGCGTACTTCACTCCCACTTCATGTTTGAAAAATGCAACAAATGCTGTTGCCTAGCAGACCGAGAGGGTGGAGCCACTAAAAAATACACACGCTCACGACATTGTGACATCATAATGTACCAGTTTACATCATAGCATACCTCTTAGCCAATAGCGGTGGCAGATTTAAATTAAAATAAAATGAAGAGTTTTTACCTGACAAAGGCACAACACTGACAGTTTCAGGCAGAAATTTTAAATTTTAACTAAGATGCACTGAAGTGCCAAACTATTGACTACACGTGTCTGCAGCACGATTAGACACGCATTTATACAGTTTATCAGAAAAAAATAGTTGATTTGGGATTGACTTGCTCTTTAAGGGCTAAGTCAAAGCAGAATGCAGAGTTTGCGACCTCTGTTGGCAGAAAATAGAACATTCTGGTGAGTTGCTGCCCTCTAGTGTCTGAAATCTGGTACTACGTGTTTGTCCTTATTTTAGCCTGCTCCATTCAAAATAAAAAGTGCTGGGGTTTATTTGAAATCACATTTGGAAATTAACCGTGAAGAGACTCTATGGAGACTCAGTTCCAGTCTTCTTAATCAAACTCAATTCCATAAATGTGTAGAACAGGAATTTAAAAAATGTATGAACCACAATGACAATGGAGATGTTTCACCTAGTGTGTTAGGGGATGCTGCCAAGGCAGTTCTCAGAGGCAAACCGATGATGTGGTCGTTTATTTGGAAAAGCATGAAAGCAACAGGCTGACAGATTTATACATAAGATAAAGAATCCGCAGACCAATAAGACACAATGCAACCTGGAAGAAATACAAAAATCATTTATAGCTTATTACTCAAATCTATATGGCCAGCCCCCAGCAGCAGATTTAACAACTGCAGACTAGATTTACCTTCTACCGCAATGGAAAAACAAACACACTTAAACGACAAATAACAGAAGAAGAAATTAATAAAATGTTATCAAAGTTATAGAGGAATAAAAAGCCAGGTGTCCCTTCAGAATAAAGTTTTTAAGCATGTTATTATAATACCATTACAGACATCCTGTTTTAACTATTTTCTGGGTGGCGGTAAGTCCTATATCTTTGAAACATTTCATTCAGCATCAAATTTTGATGTGTTTTGTTTTATGTAACTGTTTTATTTGCAGACATAACTTGGTTGGTGACGTAAATCCAACTTTTAGTTTCAGATCTGAGGGCTTCTGAGGGCCAGTATCTCCTCTATCTTCAGGTATGTTGGGTGTTCTTCAGGGAAGAGGTTTCTCTGTGTGTAACAAAATAAATAAATAAATAAAAAAATACAATAATTTTATACCAAAGATTAACTCTCATGGGATTATTTTGGGTTTATTTGTTGCTTTTTGGTGTCCAGGTTAGAAGACAAAAAGTTTTTTTTCTTTTAATGAAGAATATAATTACTAACTAATTAAGTAGTAAAGCACAACTAAACAATGAACAAATATTTCTACATTAAAAAAATAACAAAAAGTTCAAAAACTGCAATTTTTCTTTCCTTTTTTTAATTTTTTTTTAAAATATTTTTAATCACATTTTCTAAAAACTTATCCTATTTTGAAACTTAAATGTAAACTGTTCTATGTTAAATTATGTAGTTTTTACATGCAAACAAAATTTCAGCTGCTTAAAGAGCAAGTCACCCCCAAATCAGCTTTTTTTTTGCTGACAAACTATATAAACGAGTGTCTAATTGTGCTGTAGACATGTGTATTCAATAATTTGACACTTCAGTGGGTCTTAGTTCAAATTTATTCTGCCTAAAACCGTCAGTGTTGTGCCTTCGTCAGGGAAAAATTCTGCACTGTATTTGAATTTAGATCTGCTACCGCTACTGGCTAAGAGGTACACTATGATGTCAGCTGATACATTATGATGTCACAATGTCATTGTGAGTCTGTGTGTGTGTGTATTTGTTAGCGGCTCCGCCCTCTCGGTCTGCCAGGCAACAGCATTTGTTGCATTTTTCATACATGAAGTGGGAGTGAAGTAAGTTTCTTGTAGGGGGTGACTTGCTCTTTAAATGGAAGAGAAATGCACCTGTAAACGCAGGCGTAACAGGCTTCTTCCCTTTTCCTCCTGCATCTCCAGCATATTCAGAAACAGAGGAAGTGACTTCTCTGTTATTCTGTTTCCTACACACACACACACACACACACACACATACACACACACACACATACACACACACACACACACACACACACACACACACACACACACGCACGCACGCACACACACACACACACACACACAATAAACTTTGTATGATGTGTGTTTGAAAAACATATGAGGATTTTAACACCAACATTTGACCTGTGCAAACAAAACCTTAAACTATTGATGGATTTCAAATTCAAAAGTTAAAATGGTAAATGGCTTGTATTTGATATATATTGTATACGATATAAAATGCATCTTTAAGATCAGGTTCCACAGAAACATGATTTTATCTTGGCAGATTTGAAGCTGGCATGCTGTTTTAAAGCTGCTGACCTGACAGGTTGAGGGAAGTTAGCAACTTGTGTCCAGGGAGGAAAAGCTGCCCGTCCTTGCTGTACACAGACTTGTCCAGCAGGAGGTGCTCTGTTTCCTCTGATTCTGCCTGCATTTTCAGATGTTCAAACATGATGCATCAGTGAGTAAATATTTCCACCATTAAACACTACATCGGTCAAACCTCATTCAGAGATCTTGAAGGATCCTGAAGGAAAAAAGAAGAAGAAAAACCCTAATTAAATATTCTTTTTTAGTCATAAACTCAAGAGAGCGCTTTACGTACCTCTTTGGCAAGTTGTTTTCCTGGATTTCCAACCTCTGCCTCAATGTCAGCAACTGGGAGGTTTAAAAAAAAGCAGCAATGAGAAAACATTTAAACAACAGCAGAACATATAATATGAATAATTACTTTTTGTGTTGGCAGTTTCTTTTTTCCCAGTTGTTTTCTCATTTTTTCTGGAAGATTCCTTCTGTTTCTCAAGAAGCCACAATCCCTTCATTACTTAAAACTCTCATACATCTCATTATTACATTCTTTTGGTTACTCTACGGATTGTTTTTCATCGTTGTAAGTTGTTTAATGTTAATATTTCACCTGTTTTCTGGATGTGTCTTTGTGATCCATTTCACTGACAACTTTCACAGGCGATTGCACAGAATCGGACTGAGGACGCTGAAAAAAATCCACCACAGGGGTCGCAGGTCACTAATCTGTAGTGTTAGTTTTAGGATTAGGCATGTCACATCAACATTTTGTTCTACAAACATAAATATTTGAAATGATAGAAGAAAGCTTATTATTGTCACACTCACAGCACGTATTCTTTGCAGAGTTAGCTTCCTCCTCTCCACAATCTCCTCGTGAGTTAGGGGAAAATCCACAAGTATCTGAAAGTGGATAATGCTATTTAAAACAGAACATCTTTACTAAAGTTTTACATAGATTGTTGTCTAAGTGTTTATTGTAAACAGATCCTGCAGCAGGGCAGAAGGGCGGAGCAATTGGTAGCACTATTGGCTTGCAGCGAGAAGCTTTCTGCAAGTTAGTTTGTTCTGTCCATGCATGCACAGGTTCTCCAGCTTCCTCCCACAGACCAAAGCATGCATGTAAGGTTAATCTGAGACTCTAAACTGCCCTAGCTGACCTGGAGACCTGTCCAGGGCGTCGCATAACGACCAACGAAGATAGACACCAGCTCTCTGCAACCCTGCTGAGGTTAGAGCATTTCAGAAAATAGAATGAAGAATAGATACTGCAGCCAGATGAGCAGCTCCCAAGTCTCCGATCATATTGTTGGCAAGTGAGAGAAGAAGCAGCGTTCGATTCAGCCGCAGGCCCTGAAGCAAAACAAACAAGAGGAAAACATCTCAGCAGCTTTGATGGGAGCATGCAGGGAGAATATAAAATCAGCTGAGGGTTATACTTGAGCAATATGCGCAGCACCCGCATCTCCGATCCAGTTGAATGCCAAGTTGAGGTACACGAGGTTCTTGTTAGCAGATGTGGGGGTGGAGAGAGCCGAACCAATCAGACGAGCACCTTCATCTCCGATCCGATTGCATCGCAAGTGCAGTTGGGTGAGGCTTGGAAAGAGACGTGACATGAATTGGACATGTCTGTATTCAAAGAAGAGGTTAGGGTTGAAGGTCGGTAGATGTGACTCACACACAGCTTTCAGTGAAAAGAAGGTGAAAACTCTGGTCTTGAAGAACATTTCCCTCCAGAGACACGACTCTGTAATGACACAAAAATTAAGAAGTTGTTTTTAATTAGTTTATCAGCAGTTCTTCTGTTGTTCCTGACTTAAACTCAAGTTTTCCTTCTAAACCACCAACCCAGATGTCATGAACATGATGCAAAAGTGTTCTTAAACAAATACTCCGGGTTTGCGTTGCATTACCTGAGACTGGAGCACAGTGGGAGTGTGTTTGCGAGGGAGGCTACCATCTGATCTGTCAGTCCTGCATGCCAAAGCCTGCCACACAGTGGACAAGATAACAGAAACAAACAAGAACCAAACAGCAACAGCGCTAACCTGGCTTGCTTCTATCAACCTGCTCATTACTCACTGAAGGCTCGCTATCTGGCTCAAGGAAGGAAGCATCTTCTGCAACACTCTGAAGATCCGCTCGTTCACTTTCCATCCTGAACTCATAACAGATTTGACGATGTTTTAAGATGTTGTTTGTTTACATGTGCAAAATAATGGGTAAGATCAGAATCATTTTGGTCTTACCAGAAATCGTGATCTTTTTGGCACTAAGAGGATTTTTATTTTCCAGCTCAACATTTATCTGCGCCACTGACCAGTGGGGTGAATCCTGTTTGTCTTCTGGAAATAAAATGACGCATTCATTATTAAATAACAGCTAAAATGCAAAAAAGTAATCAAATCAAATCAACTTTATTTATAGAGCGCTTTCACATGGCCAGAATGGACAAACAAAGCGCTGTACACCAATAAAATGCAACACAATAGGACAGAGATATGACCACTAAAATACATTAATAAATCCATTAAAATACACTAAGAAATCCCTGTAAAATACCGTAATAAATCCTATGAAAATACAATAAGAAATCCATTTTAAAATACAGTACAAAAACCTGAGTGCCAGTTCACAGTCCATATCCGGCCTACTTCCCCCAAAAAAGTAATGACTGTTCCACATGCATGCATTCAACAGAACGCTTACCAGCATCTACTCCTTCAGATCTGGTGATGGTGGAAGATTTGGTGCAGACCTCTGGGATATTTTTCACACCCAGAAGAGCACAGAGCTCAGGGAAGTCAGTCTCCACGTTTCCTGTGCACTGATATTCATCTGAAGGATGGTGGGGATTAGGGAATTAACCAATCATGTCACAAAAACAAACAAACAAACAAAAGCACCATAATCAGCCTTAGAGTTTAGCTTACCAAAAGTCAGTGCAGAGTCCGTTGACGCTGCTCCTGTAGAAGAACAGAAACCGGTGGTCTGGTTTGCAAGAGATACATCTAACCCAGATGTAGCTATGTTTTCCAGTTTACCATTAAAAAATGAATGTGTTACTTGTTTTTATTATAATAATTAATAAATAATTTGTATATTGTTGGTAGTTATGTTTCTAAGTGAGTAAAGTTTTGGCTAAAGTACAATACATTTCATGTGATCAAATCTACAATGACTAATTTAAATTTAATGAAATCTTGACAGTAGCTGGCGTTATTGTTTAAATTGCTGCTAATTTGTCTGTTCCCGACTGCTAACCGGAGTTTATCAAGCTTACCTTTAAACATTGTTGTATATTTTAAATGAAACTAATTTTATTCGGTTAATAATCCAATACCGAATTTGAGTATGCAAAAACATCTGTTTTTGCTAGTTCACCGTGACCCAGGCGAAACTCGTTACCGCGGCAACCAGCTCTAAGCAGTCTTGTAAGCTATCGCGATATTTTAGCTGTTCAAAAACACCTTTACAAATTAAAACTTGATAGTGTTTACAACTAGTTACTTGGGTTGGCGGTAATTATGTTAATAAAAACAGTTACTTTATGAAATTTGTCTTTAAATTTGTGAAAATTATTCAAGTGAAGAAGCCGGGTTTCATTTCAAACGTTTTTGTTTGCTCAACATTTATGTTAATGAGAAAATGTGTAGTTTGGAAATATCCATCGAAATGCTGTTGAAAATAAATTAAATGATGCCCAGTTGTTGAAAACTATTGGCGGGTTTGCATTTATAAAAATCGGGAACGTCTGTGGCTGTGTCTCAATTCAGGGTCTGCATCCTTTGAAGGATCTACTCGGCCGACGTAGGATGCAGACCCTGGACTCCGGTGTCGGTACAGGATCTGCTCGGGTGCAAGATCGGCTCGGGGTCCTTCGACTGCCGATGACGTCAAAGTACGGCAAACCGACTTGGACAAAATACACTACACCTCTATACTGTTGGAAAGAATTTAGCACTTTCGTTATTAAAATAACGTTTCTTAATTTGTGTTTATAATGGTATTAGTAAAATAAAACACTATATCTTATTCATAATGTTGAACTCCTCTTTGAGCACATCCCTTGAAGAATCATAGGTATTAGCAACACCTGTGAAATTGTATTTGCAGGAAAGAAGTGTGTCCCGTTTATTTAAGTATTTTGTGTTTAGAGTTTTTGACGTCTTGTCATAGACTGTAGCTGCTAGCCAAAACACTGGAGTTAAAAGTTTTCTGGCTTTACTAAAAAACCTGTCTGTATTTATTTGATTGATGGTATTTTTACTTTCTATAAGACTCCAAATGTAATCATTTGGCACGTTTCTAAATCATAATTAGTAATAATGTAATCGGCGATATTAGCATTAGCATTCCTATGGGTTTTTCCATGTATATTAGCATTGCGCTAACCACTCGCTGCCAAATTGAAGCCTTTGAGATTAGAAAATCTCCTTTTGTCACATCGCAATTTAATTGCACATGCAGTTAATCGTTCAGCCCTAATATACATGCAGCTCTATGCTACAAGTGTATTTTCAAAGAGGTAATGATGGATTTCTTTGTAAAAGTTGTCCATCTTTCCAATAGAAAGATTTGCCTGGACCAACGTAACATGATAACAACGTAACGTGATAACAACGTAACGTGATTACGTAATTCCGTAAGGTTCATGTTCAGCCAATCAACTACTTAGACGTCATCGGCAGTCGACGGACCCCGAGCCGATCTTGCACCCGAGCAGATCCTGTACCGTCACCATCTTTTCTTCTACGGGAGCCCATTAGGACAAAATGCTTTTACTGATTGGTTTGTAACAAGTGGTTACAAAACGTTTGCCATTCATAAGCTTGGCTTTGCATTTTTACCTCATCACTCTTCAGTGATGAAAGTCTGATGTGCTTATCATTTTGCAGGGATTTTTGACCCTAATGGTCATATATGGAATTAAAATATTGTGCCAATAGGATCAAGAAAAACACTTTGGAGATCTAACAAATATTAAGACATTGAGAGGAAAAAAAATCGCTTCAAAAGAAAAACTTACTACCTGAATCAGCTTCTTAAAATGATCAAGAAAAACACTGATGGTCAAACAAAAATTAAGAAATTGACAGAACAAAAACATTGACTAAAGGATGGTTTAATTGGCACATTTTTCTTTTTAAATAAATCATAAAACTATCATAAAAAATCTATGATGATGAAATACTTAGCATGAGGATGCAAATAGGAGGCACAAACAAACAAAGGGGGCAGCTTTCTTTGTGGTAAAGAAAACAGACAAAATCATTTTATAAAAACTTCCACAGTGTAATTTCTTCTTACTTTTCTGCAAATGTATATTAATAACACATGCACATCCATGCACATGTATAAAAATGCAAATATACATAAATAATAACAACACATGACACTCATTTCTGACAAGAATGTAGTGCTTTTTATTAAAAAACAAACAAAAACAAATATAAAACAAAAAGTAAAAACCAACAGCATTTTTCATGACTTTTAAGAATTATAATTACAAACTTTTCACCAGTGGAAGAAGGTTTTTTTTTTGACAAACTACACATCACAAAATGTCTGCCAGTCGCCTTTTACAATGCTTGCATCTTATTTTGTGATTGTCTAAAAAAATAACTAAACGGCTCACACAAAACACTCAAATACAAGTACAAGGATCATACAATGACTGCTATCACAAAACGGAATCCTATTTAAAAATAAAACAAACAAATAAACAAAAAATATATATATTTATATATATTGGATGATATTGGGCTGACCGTTTTACTTTCGTTTATGTCAGCATTTAAAAATATTTCAACATTTTCATGTTTGATTTTTTTTTAGTGTTCAACACTTTGCAGCAAAAAAAAAAAAAACAAAACAAAAAAAAAAACAAGGAGTGCGTTTCTCCCTAAAAGTATTAACAAAATTCTGTGACAAAGTTGTTGCTGAGCCAATGTCGTATCCAAATGCCTTCCTTCTGTGTCTGTCTGACATTCTTCTTGCACATGAAGCTGAAATTAACTTAAAACGCAACAAAAACCTAAATTTCATGTCATCAGGACAATTACGGTGAAATTTTTCTTTTCCGACATTACAAAAATTATTTCCCATCGGAGCTTAAGTGTCTTCATTATAGTAATACAAACGGAAGAAATCATACTATTATAATAATACATTTAGGACTGAGATCTGTACAGTACAATAATAATAAACAAAGTCCATTTTAAGATATTGCTTTTGAAGACACTCCTCAATGTAAAGTGTGTATATTTACATAACTTGGCACTGTACAGCTTCCCATTTTCTCGTTCTCATCACATCTGTCAGTTAATCACAATGGGACATTGCATCCTGTCCCGTTTTAGCAGAGCCATTTAGGGAACCATCAAAATCTCATCAAACACCACCATAAAACAAAACAAAACAAAAATGATAAACATTCTCCATGGCAACCAGGGACATAGTCCAACCAACCCACCCACAAATTAAAGAAGGGATCAAATATACAGTATATGCTGCCCCGCCCAGCCCACAGAATATAAGAAAATATGACCGTCACGATACATTTCATGTTAGGTATTGTTTTCCATAGTTTTCTTAAAACTGTTAATTGCCATCGAGCCCTTAATTTTTTTTTTAAAAGGTATATTTTCACAAAATCTGGCAGACACACTAGAAGTGTACATGCATACACACTCACACACACGTACGCGAGGCTGAGTAAGGCGCTACAGTTAAAGCCGCTCGCCTCATCCTGGCCTGATTTAGTTTAGCTGGTGAATCGTGTTGCGTCTAAAAGAGGGGAGAAGAGGTCGGCCTCACGGGTGAGTAAAAATAATAACAAGACACTTAACAAAAGCGGAAACTAACCCCCTCCCACAGGTCTTTGTTCCTAAATGAGTTACTACAGTATAACAGGAAAAATATCAATAATGAACTTTTTAAACTTGTTTTTTTCGGACTGCAGCCAATACTGTGAGAGTGGTAGTGTGTTTCATTAGATACTTTACAGAGCTTCACAACATCCATGGTACCAAAAGTGCAGTTGTTCTCTCTCTCTCTCTCTAAAGCGCAGCATCACTGATCAAATGCTAACATCTCTCCTATGACGTTTTCCACCAGCTCCCATCGTCTGTTACATTAAGTCATTGCAGCTAAATCCCAGTAAGGAGAACAAGTGTTTCTGCATTTACACTGAAACTAAACAAACAAGAGAAGCAACCGTTCCCTATTTAGTACCGCTTGTTTCAGTTCTGGTGCCTTCTAGTGGAATACCCATGTTTGCAGTGTTCGATGCATTTAAGTGCATGGGTTCTGGGTTGTTTTTTCTTTCATCTCCTATATGGTTGTTGCATGAAGCTTAAATAAACAAGAAGACTGGGTCAGCTCTCTCCCGCAGAACTCCTGAAAAGCTGAAACTTTCTGGGACTCGGCAGCATTTCTAAACCTCCTTCCACCTTCTCAAGAGGTCAGCTAGAATAGGCCGTCCCTCCAGGGAAGCATTGCATAACGGCAGGATGAACAACAATGCTCGTCTCCCTTCATTTTAGAAAACAGTGAAAGGCGGTGTGGTGGAAATGAGCGTCGGAACGTTTATTTTCTGCCAACAAACTCTCCAAATCCAAGCGTCCTTCGTCGTAACCGTCGCCCTGCCCCCTCCTCTAGGAGATAGGAGACATCAACAGCTGGAAGGAGAGAGAGCGCAAAGTTAACGCACAGTCATTTTACGTAAAAGTACAATTGCGAGGTTGTGCAGGATTGTGGGGGAGCTGGAGTTTATAGAGGCTGGAATCAGTCCGTGAAAATCCTGCCAACACTTAATAAAAGGGAGAGATTTCCCAGCACTGCCAGCTGTTAACAACAAAAACAGAGACGTGGCTCTCTGATGCAGAAAACCAAATAATATAATTTGTAACGCTGGGTAGACTGTAGTAAAATAAACCACATGAAAGCAACTCTCTGCACAATCTTTGCAGCGTAGGTGTGCTTTTAAATGTGAATTCAAATCAAGAGGAGAAACATCTGAATCAAGTGCCATCACTGTTTATTTTCAGGGTATCTGCAGGTTTAAGGGAGCCAAATTTAAGACTTTTTAAGAACTTTTTTAAGACCACTTTGACCAAATGTAAGCAATTTTTTAAAATTTCATTTAAGCTATAATTTCCAGCTATTGCCTGGAACCGGTGCTAACCACGTCGCGAACGTGGGATTAGCCATCCAGTTACCATTACACTAGCACTTCCCCATGGCGCAAGCTCCCACTAGCTTAACCAGCTAATGTGCTCATCTAAAAATAGCCCCCTTTCACAACCAACTGAATGTGTACGGTTCCGCTTACGCCAACATCGTACACAAAAATGCTGAACACTAACTAGAAATTCACAAAATTTTTATAGAAATAAAAATATCTTGCTTATTGGGTCTTTGGTCATTTAAAACCTTTGGAAACTGTATTTAACGATTATTTGTCGTTTTTAGGGATTTTTAAGGCCTTAAATTTGGAAAAGCAAATTTAAGACTTTTTAAGGACCTGCGGATACCCTGATTTGGAACAAACTACTCAACAAATTCCACAAGTTTGTGTTTTTACTTAAAATGATTTCACGTTTCCTGATGCGTGTGCTCTTTAGGAATCATCAACAAAAACCGCCTCAAACACGTTTCTGCCGCTGCTCTAAAGGTTTTCCTCAAACCCGATGCTTTTTAATTAACACTCACATATCAAACAGCATAAATCCAACCATTTCATGCAGAAAAGCAGTAGAAACTTCTAGGACCTACCCCCCTGCTTCATTCCGACTCCCTCTCCATTCTTGTTGGGAGTTCTGTGCAGCAGATCCAGGAGGATCTTGTTGAGCCGTTCCCTCTGGACCTCTCTCCTGCTCAGAGCTGGGTGATGTAGAGGGGAGGAGGCTGAAGATGATGGAATTTCAAGCATCTCTCCCATCCTCTCTGTGGAGCTTTCCTCAAGTCCCTTGCGCACCTCTGCCACAAGTCCTTCCTCCTCATCTTCATCCTCGTCGTCTCCTCCTCTTCTGCCCCGTTTGGGTTTGGCCGACAGAAGCTCAGGATCCTCCATGTCTAAGTCCTCCTCTGCTCCTCTTCCATCTTCTTCGTCAGGTGGGAAGTCCTCGCCCCGCTCGCAGGAAGAGCCGTCGTCCTCGCAGCCGGATGCATCTTTGGACCGTTCGCTCTTCCAGGCTGATCGGCCGCCGTTCCGCTTGTAGTTGTCGGGAACGTAATGAGGCTGTGAGAACGTCAAAAACACACGCAGATTACGTTTCTGACAGGCTTAACGGGCCTTTAGCTAACGGATAATCACATAAACACCCTGAAGCCTAGCTTTAATCTGTCAAAAATAAAACTTTTTACAAACCAGGTTTTTCATTGTATTGTCCCTTCAGGTAAAAAGAAACCAATAAATGAGGATGTGCGGTTCTTCTCATTTGTTTCAGGCTACATAAACGGCGTGAAAATGATCAAGAGCTGTTGTTTGGTTGTTTCTGTTTGTGTTAAAGGAGAAGCAGACACCAGGAGATCAGCCCGCTCCGTCTGGAACCCACTTTTCTCACCGAGAAGTCTCTTTTCGGCGTCAGGCGCTTTGGGAAGTGGTTGAAGGCATATGGCTTGGTGCAGACTGGGTAGCGGTTCCGGTGGATCTTGTAGAACAGGTGGGCTGACTTGTCCAAGCGGTAATCACAGATGTACACGTCCTGCTCCTTCACACCCTTCGGCCGGCCTGCAGGAAGAATACGCGTTTAAACGATGGAATCTTAACTCCGACAGCACTCCTGCTGCAGGTACGTCGTTACAAGCATTCTCCGCTTTGAGGAGAGAATCAAACAAGCAGCAGCTTCCTTTCACCTTTGCAGTAAGTGTAAAGATCGAGGACGCAGCACGTTGCCACCACCGCCTCCAGAGGGATGATCTCATACAGGGGCATGCGGAACAACTCGTTCTGGTAGAAACGCCGGGATGGAGAGTGGTGCGTCTCATGAGGACGGAAGTAGTGATGACCAAAAACAAACCGCTCACCCCTTTAAAAAAAAAAAAAGAAGAAAAGATAAAAATCAGATGGATTCGTCCCCCAAATAGGTCTCCTTCATGAGGGACGTTACAACGTTCAAACTTACTTCTCATTCTTCCAAAGTTTCTCAATTCGGAAGATGTCGAGTTTGTCTCTGTTGACGTGAGGAAGCAGGCGGTAAGACTGCCTAACGGGCTGACCTTCAGGTGAGCGTCTGCTGTCTCTCATCAGATACACACAAGCACCTGTGAGCCCCACACACACACACACACACACACACGGGTTATTTCTGCAGGAACAAAGCCTGACCAGGCGTTTCCGTTTAAAGATAAACCAACCTTAACAGAAAGGTGAGTTAAAACCGGCTTAAACCACTAAGACAGCAGTTGAACCAACATAAAGATGGTCAGGAAGCTGTGGAGTGTCTTAACAGAAACTGGACGTTTTAAGGTGCTATGACCTCATACTTGTTTTTTTTGCATACCTTGGTGTAGCAGCAGGTCGTCTCTAAGTAGACAGATGTAGTAGATGGAGCCTGCCTGTGCATAGCTGGGCTGGGGTATCATGGGAACTTCCTGCAGTGGCGACAACATGGAAAATGAGAAGAAAGTGGTAAACTGGATCTACACAACAGTCATTTTTCAAAAGAATACACCTACCCTGTCTACAGGCCGAGGGTCACACTGCTCACACAGATAGTGCTCCACTTCGGTCTCCAGTCGCATGCAGTCACAGTGCTGCCACACCTACAATCAAAACAATTATTAATATTCATGACAGGTTACAGGCCAGTGGGATCATCTGCTCCAACATTACAAATCTTCTTAATATCTAAAAATTAGAAACAATCACAAAGAACCAACGTCTCAGTCTCCTTGGAAAATCTAATTAAGAAACTTCTAGGTAAGGGGGCAGGAAAAATGACCACTAAAGCCGGTAAAACCCACCAGAATAAAGCATCATAAATATTTTTTCCGATTATTTTTACTGAAGCTACCACAGCAGCTACATACCAAGCACTTTTCACACTGGATCATCAGGCCTTCGTCTTTGTACATTCCACAGATGCAACGGATGACGTCGTCGTCCTTGTCGTGAGAGCCCGGCCCCCCTCCGTGGTGGTGGTGAAGGTCGCGCTCCTGCGAGTCAGAGCTGTCCGCTTCGCTGACCGTCTCACCCACAATCTCATCGATCTGGACCGCAGCTTCGTGGCGAGCGCTGTAGTAAGCTTTACGCAGCCGGCAGACGTCCCTGCCCACAGACGACTTCTTACCGTAATATTTCTGTTGAGAGAGCAGAAATTATGCTTTAAAAAATTAATTTATAAAAAAAAGTTAGTGACGCGTGCTCTTGCAAGACAAAGGTCAGCGACAGAGAAATGTATCAAAAACTGACCGAATATTCCTGAAAAAGCTGTCAAGGCTCCCATCGGTTGATAATAACTCACATCCTTCTCACTTTTCTTTTTCAAACGAACAAAAAGAGACTTGTTGAGAAAAAGTGATTCAATTTTATCCACTTCAACATCCTTTGAGTGGAAGAATAAATCACCCCAAAGGCTTTTCAAGTGGCACTTGTTTAACCAGAAAGGCTATGCAGATGTAAATCATAAGGGACCTATGGAGTGTGTGTAGAGGAGGATGAGCAGGCGAGAAGATAAATCCATTTGGGAGGAGCATTTGTGTCAGGCAGGAGGAACGGCGCTACCCCCAACAGTCATTGTGATTAGTGTTTACGGTAAGCGGGCGCTGAAAATCTGAAATTATGCAGAAGGGATTGACAGATTCTGACCCACCGTTGTTTATTTTTATATTTCTAATATTACTAATCTCCATGGTCGTCTCATCTGATCCATGTCTTGGACACTGGGACGAAGACGGGGGCGGAGCGGTCAGCTGACGACTACCTAGTGGTAAGTTGGCTTTGATGGTGGGGGAGGATGCCAGGGGGAACTACAGGGGGATCACACTCCTTAAGCCTAGTTTATACTTCTCCGTCAGCAAGTTTGAGCTCACGCACGTATTGATGGTACCAGAAAACAGGTACCTCTGTACTGACAGTATTAGGGTTGTCACGATACTAACATTTCAAACTCGATTCGATACTGGGGGAAAAACCCGATACTCGATTTTGATACTATTTAAAAACACCAATTTATTGAACAAGTTTATTCAAAAAATAACATTCCTCAGTTTATATTGCAAAAATTAAATGTTAAGAATTAAGTGTGTAAAGTGCTTAAACCTTTCAAGTATCGGCATTTTTTAAAACTTGCATACAAAAACTGGCGAAAGTTAACACTTTAAATCATGAATTGTCTCACTATATATACACTATTTGCAGAGTGATGTTTTGCTGCGTAAACTCTGTTTAAGGTGCATTTTTGTCATAAGATGTAATGCCATATGTTTTGTTCTGTACTTTTGAACAACTCTGTTGGTCAATAAAGGGAGAAAACGAATTTCTCCACAGTAGGACAAAGGTACATCTACCGGTAATCTTAATAAAAACAGATTGGCGCACGACAGTGACGTCATTAAAAGCGCCGGTTAGATTAGCCGCGGCTAGTCTGTTTACGCCTAGAAATCCCAGACCCGCTCCAAACGAACAGGGGAATCACGTTAATGATTCCTAACAAAACCTTTCGACATGAAGATGTTTTGGTGCAGATAATGTCTTATTTCGAGGCTGCACCATGGGTGCCCGTCCGCACCCCTTATATGGATATACACTGACGGCGATTCGCTGATGGATCTACGGTAAATACCCCGGGGAATCCAAGTAGCACCAAAGTTGTCAGCGTGAGTAAACAAACGTACTGCATGCTAGAAATTAAGTCCGGGTTGCAATAAACAGGAGTTTCCTTTAACCCTTTGATGCATGAATTATGAAATCTTCAACCATGATTTTTTTAACAATTTTTTTCATTCATCTTTAGGTGTGAACGAAACAAATTTCATATTTACATATTTTTTGTAAAATGTAATTTACAAATAATTTATTACATGTCCACCTCAGGGGACAGTGTGCAATCTGAACATGAAATATGTTGGCTTGACTTACTGAAGTCCAAAGGGAGGGGTTCAAATGCAATAAAGTCTTCAACAGCTGTGCTTAATAGCAAAAATAAATAAATAACAATTTTAAGTACCTGTCCACTGTAGTGACCATTATGCATCAAAGGGTTAAGCACATAAGCGTGAATATACAACTACGTGTCGGACTTGGTATGCTAATTAAGTTGGGCTGTGAAGCGCCTCCCAAATTCGCTGTTTATGTTTTTGTTTATTTATTTGGCAGACAAAACTTGGATTGGAGACAACTCGCGTGGGAAATTGCAATGTAGCCATGCGGCGTCTTCTTCTGTTTGTCTGGGAGGCGGAGGCTGCTTTACGGCATCTGGCTGTCGTGCGTGTCGGTGTACTTGAAGAAGGCTGTGTACAATAGTCCATAATATCGATACCACAGGGATGGAATATCTAATTTAGATACCACTTTTAGCATCGATTTATATCTAGGTATCAATTTTTTTGACAACACTAGACAGAGGTGTTTTCCTTTTATATTTCTCTGCCGGTGTGTTAGCGTTATGAAGCAATCTTCCACCAGGACAGCAGAGACGTAGAGACAAATTTGCCCTCCACTTCTCCGTGCAGTCACCACCTCTAAACTCATGTTTCCTGTAATTTCCTCAGTCACAGGTGTATTAACGTTTTATATCGTCAGACCTTTTCAGCGAGACGTTCAGTCTGCTCCGTTTCCGTCTCTAGACATGTTTGGCACTGGTTTTTTTTTTTTTTTTAGGCTAAACGCTTCTCGAGTTCCCACGTGGACCAATTTAGTGGGTCGCCTAGGGCTGAAGGATCTATCGTTTGTGGACCGAAAGTGCGACTTCAGACGAGGCGATAACGTGATCGTCAAAGCTGCGGTTTATTTGTAGTGCTCCTGACTGACCCAGGATCTGTTGCATCAACTTGTAGACATTCTGGGTTTCCTTGTGTGTTGAGGTGGCAGCAGCAAGCGCCGAGGAGGGGAGGGGGGTACCAGAGCTGAGCCCAATTGTTGAGAAGCACATTTTGGTTATTTTCCCCGTTTTTTATTTCCTTACGTAACTCTAATTATAATAATAATGGCTGTGGCCGTTTGTGCCTCTCAGCACCGTGAGTGAATGAGGAACAGAGACCTCTCCAGCAGCGGAACGGGACTCGCCACAATAACACTAGAGGCTGATTTGTACTTCTCCGTCAGCTTAAGTGTGCAGTCGCGCACTTCTTGTTTTTTAAAAATGGTTTGAATCTTTCTGATGACGCATGATTTTTTTTAAACAAGCAACATGTCAGAGTTTGGTGTGAGCGGTGTTTAACGAGAAAACAGACAGCACAGAAAAACCTCCAGGCATCCCGCCTTGGTAAATAATGCAGGGAAACCTCTGGGTGCATTTTTGTTATTAAATATATTTGAAAGCCGTTTTTACCTTCAGTTTTCCTCCTTGCTACATTAAAGAACAAGCAGAAGAACATGTTTATATAAAACGCCTACCTAGATAAAAATCACAAGTTGCTGCACATTAAAAATAAAACAAAGATTAAAAAGATAACAGGAGATAAAATAATGATAGCTTTGAATGTTTTATGGTATAACTATATTATTATATATCATAATGTGAATAATCTGTTTAACCTTCATTTGAAAAAAATCGTCAACTGAACTGAAATCCCAATTTCTTCTAGAAGAATCCCAATTGAATCTTTTCCTAAAATCGTTCAGCCCTAGTGACGCCCTAACCTTTCATTTCATTAGGTTTTAAATCTTCTGGGTGTGCCATTGTTTTTTACCGAGGCAACAGCATGCACACCCCAGCAAGCAAACGTCCAGACTGCTTATATTCAGGGACGGGAAATTGTGGCACCAACAAGTCATCTCCATGTCGTTTTGGTTCTGCTCAGCAACTGAACCAAGTTCGTTCACTGTGCTGATTGAAATCACCTGGTTTTGTTGCTGAGCAGAACAAAAACACGACATGGAGATGACTCGTTGATGCCACATCTCTGCTTATATTAGAGCAGCTACATGCTAGCACAATTAGCAAGAGTTTACACATGATCTGATTACTAGACTAAACGCCAGATTGACTGGTGACTAGTCAATTATCAAAATGATCATTAGTTAAGGTTGGTTTATGCTTGACGCGTCCGCGAGGTCCGCACGGCAAAATTGCGTCATTTTAACAACCACGCCCCTCCACCGCGTCTCCGCACGGCCCAAAATTTCCGCAACGTGCACCTAGGAAAATTTCTAACCACGCGGACGGTCGGATGCGGAAAAACATGGCGGACCGGCAAGAACTAGTATGGCAGAGGTTCGTAAATGCAGACATTTATATGATTCAGCTCTCAGAGATCACCGTGATCAACATGTTGTTAATAATTCTTGGAGAGAAATAGCTCGCACTGTCGGAAAAGACGAGGACGCTGTTAAAAATGCTGGAATGCCATGTTGTAAACAGTAATTTCTACTTCTACTATGGTGTAGTGTTGGATGCATGCCGTAGAGCTCCATGCTGCCCCCTACAGTTTGGGAGAATATTGGCTCACCGCAGAGACGAGCCGCATGAACCATAAACGCTGCAAGTTGTGAAGCGCGTTCTAGCCGCGAGCCGCATCACCGCGCGGAAAGTGAATGTGTCAAGCATAAACCAAGCTTAAAGAGATTCATATTTTTATTTTATGAATGAAACTTGCAAAAGCAGCATGTAACAATAAACAAAAAAACAACAACAAAAGAATACTACTAGCAGCAACTGAGTGCATCCCTTACCTCTGCGTTGCGAAACACTTTGAGCATATCGGTGTCGAACGCTTCCACGGTCTTGTAATGTCCGGTGAGGATCTGCTTCTCGATGGTGCTCAGGTCTAAAGGGTCGGACACCTTCTCGTAGTACTGACTATTCCTGTTGATGCACCAACACAACAGCATTATTCAGCTTCGGTGTGGTCTATTAACGCAAGAGTTATTATGAGATTAAAGCAAAAGCAACGATGAACCAAATCTGTGTTTTTAGAAGAACACAGAGAGCTGTTTTTGTTTTGATTCAAGCTGATTAACATAAATGCGGGCCGTCACGGCTCAAATGTGTGGTGGAAGATAAAACTGTTACTCTGTGTGGGTGTTGTACACAAACACTAGATAAAGTAGCACTGCTGTTTGGGAAACAGAAACAAAAAATGAGGAGTTGTGCTCTAACCTCTTCCTGGATGGGAGGTTCACCAACGGAGCAGCCAGGATCTGACCAGATGAGTCTGAAACAAGATGACACGCTGACACTCACACATCTGTTTTAAAAGCTAAAATAGATCAGAATAAAGATCGTTTCAATGAAAAAGTACTTTTCTTCTTGTCAGAGTCGATTAAATCCCTTTTTTTCATGGTTCTAACCCATCAAACCTCAAAGATGGACTATTTACTCTCCGAGGAACCGGTGAGTCACGCCACTAACCCTTGTAGCTGGTGATCATGTCACAAATCTCCTTGAAGATGTGCGCGAGGCGTGCAGTGCGTGTGACTTCCGTGTTTTCCTCGGCGGCTGCGAGTCTCCGTGTGCGTACCGAGCGTGACGTCTGCAGAGCTGAAAACTGTGTCAGGAACACGTCTGGTGAAAGAGAGAGAGTTAAGACACTAGAAAAAAGTGTTTTTTATGACTCGTTACCTGCAGACTCACCTGACTTGATGTTGCCATCATCTCTGATGACTCCTCCCCAGCGGGCATACATGGAGAGGCTGCCGGCGTCGCGCTCTCGTTCGCCCTCTCTCTTCTGCAGCTCCTGCTTCTCCCTCATCTTCTCCCAGTTCCGTAGAAGGAAAACTCGGTGCTTTAGCACAAAGTTTCTGATGACGGCAGAAAATTTTGATCTTTTAAAGATGTTTCACCACTTTTTGCTCGAAAGGCTTAGCTGGATTTGATGACAGGAGTCATTACCATGAGCATTAAACAGATTTCTTTCCTCTCGTGTGTATTTACCTCTCTCTGTTGGACATGGGCTTCATGAGATGTGGATAAAACTTGCTGCTGTCACTTGACTCCTCCTCCTAAATTTGAAATAATTTGCATTAAAATCAAGTTACCCCCCCCCCCCAAAAATCCTCTAAAAAAATCAGAAACATCAATCAAGTAATATCCTGATTTTCTCTTTAAACTTGACTATAAACCATCGTCTAATCCAGCTGTAACAGGTGACTCGAACCTCTCGCTGCCTTTATTTACACGAATGACTCACTCTCTTTTTAAGCTGGTGTTTTGACTTCCTTTTTTCCTTGAGCCGACCCAACCGCCGAGTCCCTCCCGTCTTTCCAGGCAGACCGTTAATGCGCTGACTCTTCCCTCCGATGATGCCCCGGCAGCTCTCTGAGCCGCACTTGCACACTTGCTGCAGAGTAAAGGAAACAAGACCAAACCAACAGAACTCAGATGATCAGTGTTTAGGTCCAGAAATTACAAGTGTTGACATTCAGAGGAAGTTGATTGGAATTATTTGGTGCCGTTGTGCTTCACGCTATTTCATTAAAAGTCTACTGGGATCCTTTTTAAATTAAAAATAATAAATAAATAAAAAAGTATTTTAAGTGTTGATGATCAACAGAAAGTGGAGCACAGCAGCACCTTCTGTGTGACAGAAACAGGTTTGGTCCTCACCTGCTCCTCCGTGTTGAAGGAATGAAAGTTGTAATCGTAGGTGAGCTCAGTGCCGCTGCTGATGTCCTTCAGAGCAAAGAGGCCGATCCGGTACACCCCGTTCACCGACCTGCAAAACAGAAGCAAAAGGAGGTTTTAAAAGAAAATCACAAATAACTTTGGACCTGTTGTTTTGTTGTTAGAGGTTTGGCTGATTGGTTTAAGCATTTCCTATATAAAGATTTACGAAGAACAGAACTTCTGGCCCTTTTGTAAGAAAAACATTCTGATCAGTATTCAAACTTAAACTAAGAATGTTGAAAATTATTCAATTTTTCCTCATTTCTTATTTGCTTTATTATGTTGTAATAATTGAGAGTGTATGTAAGTCAAGTCCAGGTCTCTAATTTCAATTATTAACTCATTCACTGCCAATGACGACTGAAGTCGTCATTTGCATTTTTTTACTGTTTGAGCGTCGGAACGAGCCCCCGCGCTGAGAGAACAAACATCTCAGCCCTGAAGCCGATCTTCATCCGTATACATCACAGATCACATGATCAGGAAGCAACACATCCATGTGTTAGGAGATCGTTTTGGGCCGTTCCTGTAAAAAAAGTGAGGCGCGAACCGGAAAAGCGTCTGCCGATCACAATTCGACAACGGATTATGAAAGAACGGATAACGCTCGAAACACACGGATTCTTCCTGATGTAAGAGGTGAGTCTCCTCTTTGTTCTGGCTGTTTTGGCGTCAACATCATGCTAGCGCACAACATTCTGTGACTCTTAAAAAAAAACAGTAAAAACGGTGAAAAACGCTGGCAGTGAATGAGTTAACGGAAACCAAAAGTATTTCTTCATGTTTTCCCTTCTTCACAAATAAAACAGCATCTCAGCTTTTCACTATTCTTCTAAGAAGAAAGCTCTCCGTTCTATTTGATAATTTATTCCTTCTACAGGGGCAAAACGCTGGTTCAGCACTTTGTTTTCAAGCACTTTCCCTGTATCTAAGGCCATGGTGCACACAATCTCTCTTCTGTGACAAGATGAATGACTCATCAGTCTTTGTGGGAGGATTTTTTTTATTCTTTCTCGGCTGAGCCATTCAAAATTACTACAACACACACACACACACAGCCTGCTGCCCTAGATTATGTATTGGTCCTTGTTGGAGCAGAGAACTGCTGGAGGTCACAATCAAATCCAGAAAGCGAGGTCTGCCCAGACGAATCTCCAAATGCGGGTAATTCAGGCGCGCTGTGAACAACACTCTTGGAAATCCAATGAGCTGTTTTGACAGGGCGCAAGCAACTTAAAGCCATTTAGCTCAGGGAGCAGAGGCGAGATCTGAGGTAACCTCATCAGATTACCACAACACTAACACATTAGGAGGGCTGGGGTTTCCAGGTAGAGACGTCTCATTTCCCTGGAAAGCCATCTGGAGCGCTATCCAAACTAGGGGAGGAAATAAAGCTCGTTTACAGTGTAGCTACATAAATAACTTTAGCTTTCAGCTTTAGCTAATCTCATGAGATCTTACTGATTTGCATAAAAGCATAAATATTTGCTCAGAATTGGCATCCTAAATAAAATTCTGTAACTTGTGAAAATGGCACAGAGGGACTTTTGGAGGTGTTAAAAGTAACTTATCTGTTTCTTGCAGAAGAGAAAAAACAAACAGCAAAAAGGTTTAACCGACTCATCAGTCGTGCGAGAAAACAGAACAATGGGTAAAGTGGTCCAGTTTGATAATGTTAGGTGTTACTCGGGCTTTCCACCTGGAGCGTTTCAGACAAGATGTTTCAGCAAGATCACAAGTGAATTTGGCAGTTCACGCAATACCTAGCAAGGAGAAACATGCATCCAAAAGGTCTGTGGTTTCTGTTCTGTTTTTCAGTGGAGCGACACATCCAAGAAGCACCGCTTCGCAGCTGGAGAAAACACACCCATCGACTAGAACGGTGACTATTAGATGCGGTTTGTGCTTTATGGACGTTTGTGATGCTTAAATTACGCATCTGGTGGAAAGCCGGGATTGAAGTAATTTAGAAAACATAAAAGTTCAAATATGAAGCTGGAACTACTTTGGAAGCACCCTGGTAACTAATCAGGCTAACTAGCTTTTAAACACAAACTGGCGATTAAACTGTGATGCTAAGAAAACCGCTCTGTAGATAAAAACAGATGTGGCAGAATTGGTTATCCGTAACATCCTGAGGCCACGGCTCCTGTTTTTGTCCACAACTGGGAATGTTTCTTCAGTGATTGCAAGCCCAAACCACCTTAAACCACAAGCTAGCATGACACCCACCACTTCTGCATCTCACAGTTGGGCTCGCAGCTGTGGTTTATGAAGCGTGCCTCGTTGCCCATTCGGTAGCTGTCGATCACCATCCCGCTGTCCAGGTTCAGACAGTAGTGGCCGCTGTGGGAGAAGTACTGCTGCATCATTCGGTTCCTGAAACAGAACCGATACAAAGCAGAGGGAGATTAAAACCACAAGCTTTCAATTCTAAAATAAACACAATACGGGGGAAAGAAAATCACCTGAACTCCTGCTCGCTGACCACTTCTCCCAGGTATTCGATGATGAACTGTCCAGAGCGGAGAGACTCCTTGGTGCGGATGCCCCAGCCCTTTCCTTCAGCTCGAAATCGCTCCAGACACTGGACCCACTCGTGCCTCTGGATGTGCTGGTTGTCACACTTATCAACGCACGGGCAGGTACTGGGAGAGCACTCAGCAAAGCTCATCCTGGGACATTTACATAAAAAGGTCACATCAGACTAATATTTTTAACATCAACGACTAAACCAAGGCTGCTGATGATCAAAATACATCTGCTAATAACAGACCAGCACAAAGGGTTAGTTACCTGTTCAGACAGTCGTCCAGGCAGCCTTTCTCAGCCACGCTCTCGGGACGTCTACAGCTGCAGGTAGTCGTTTCATAACCGGAGAGCGGCTTCACGTCTACGTACACATCTGTGACGCACAAACAGGAAAATACTGTTTTCACACCTTCATTTCCGTTTCTGCAAATGAAGACCCGTTAGGTACTCACTTGATCGGATCTTTTTATAAAGAGGGACGTCAGGTCTCTTGTGAAGCTGAGAGGGGAAAAATAAATACTAACTTTAATAAATCAACCAAAACGACGACGTTAAAAGTAAAAGAAAGGTTCGATAATCTTGACTACCTGATCGTGTTTCCACAACCATAAGATGTCGTAAGGCAACTGGAAATCTATGCGTTTCTGTCTCAGGTACTTCCCTGTAAAAACACAGCAGATCAAACTTTTTATAAGTTTAAATGATTTAAAAATAAATACATTAAAAAAACATGAAAATCACAACTACATCTACATGTAGAGAACTTTCCTACATCTGGATTGTGTTTAATCTTTCTGCGCACCGGCATGTCTCACCTCAACATAAAGAAAAATGGCTGACTTAAATAAAAACTTTACAATTCATAAACGACTAAAACTATTTAAAAAAAAACTACAGATCTTTAACATTCACACTCACCAACATGTATGGGAGCAGGAAACAGCCCGTATTCATGCTCCCCTGGTATGTACTCCAGCTTCTCCTTCTTTAGCTGCAGAAGCTGGCTGCGGGGGCTGCAGAGCAGGAGAAGGAGCGTTAGAACGGTTCTAGAACCCCGGATGGTATTTATGTGTCTGTAGGACTCACTCTTCAGTCTTGTACACATCAGAGTAAAGTCCTGCTTTCTGAAACTTCTTCTTAGGAGGCCTGGCTGCTCTCTTCTCCCGCTGGTTGGTTATGGGCATGGGCGCAGCTGCAGCTTGTTCCTTGGTGTCGGGCCTTGGGGGTTCTGGAGAACCTGGACCGACTGGCTTGCTTTCCACTGAGCTAAAATAAAACCACAGGTAGGTTTTATGTATCAGCTGGACTCAGGGGCAAGCTGGGAAAGGACTAGAAGAGCTAAAGTAAAGTAAAAGTGTTGCTGACCTCTGAAAGTGCTGATGTTCTTCCTCTGTAGGCCAGCTTCGGATTGTCCCCGTTCTGGACCTCGCTGCCGGGTTACCCTGGTTCTCCTCTCTGTCAGACAACTGCTCCTCAGTGTCTCCCTCCTCCTCCTCCTCCTCCTCTTCGACCTCCTTCTCCTCCTCCTCTTCTTCATCCTCACAGAGCTTCCTCTTTTGACCTTTTCGACGCTGGCACTGGACTACCGTCTCAATAGCAGCCTTGACCGTGTCGCCACCTAACCCTCTTCGTCCCACTAGCCGCTCTCCGCCGTCATCCCTGTGCCGGATCTGATTCAGCTCAACAGCAGGGGGCGGGGAGGGCGGCGGCGATGGGAGGGGGTATTTCCTGGGACGTCCTGGGCCCCTCTTCTTCACCATGTTGTTTCCTGTGCGAGCCTGCCTCTGCAGCTTTTTGGCACGCAGGATTTTGTTGACGTGATGCAGACGGTGTTTGGATGGCTGTCCCCGATGGGAGTGGTGGGACAAGGAGTCCAGGCAAAAGTCCTGAGAGGGAGTGAGGCAGGAGGAAGAAGGAGAGCCGTGGGAGTGAAACAGAGACGGTGGGTGGTGGTGCAGCTGCCGACGGTGCAAAGATCCTTCGAATCCGTCGGACATCGGGAGGGTGACACCTCTCGTCTGAATACCTGATGACCCTGAAGGAACGAAACAATCAAATTAGATCTAAATATTAAAAAAGGGCAGAACATTCTAGAAAAATGCTTTATCCCTCTTTTATCATTTATACTCGATGATAAATAATCTTTCTTTAAATCTTGTGCTTCATCTAGTGCCTCTTTATCCTGAAAATGTCATCATTTGGTACATTTTCAATCCAAAGTTTATACGTACGCAGCACTTTTAAACTAAAGCCCCACATTTAAACGAATTTTAAGTTAATAAAAAGTCGGAACACCATTTCCTAAGCCAACAGGAAATTGCAAAGGGATCATTAGATATCCACAATGGGGTCAAAAGCTCCTTTTACAGACGCAACACGTCATTAACTGATTAATCATGTGCCTTGTGCCAATTATCACCTGTTGCTTTGGTAGTGACGGAAATCTGACGAGGTGACAAATATGCACCGTAAACTTAGCCCAACCCTCCTGCAATCACTTCAGTGCTCCACATGCATCGGAACAAAAAGGAAACGCACCGCCGGGCTGATGAGTAACAAAATAAAGTGATGCCTTAAGCAATTCAGACAATTACTGATGCAGGTTAAGCTTCAAACTGCATTCAGGTCAGAGAACTCCTTAAAAAGAAAAGAAATCACAACTGAAGGTAAAAATTCAGCGGCTTTCAGAATTTAGGTGGTGAGGCGGGTGAAATTTACCAAAATGTTTAAAAGGTTCCGACTCTGGGTGGGTTATTTAAAAAATAAACCGTTTTATCATAATCTGACAGAATACATAATAATAAATAACAATACTGGTAAAAAAAAAACCCTCTTCCATGATTTTACCTGCTAATATAAGAAGTAAAACCTCTCAGCCAAATAGAGCCGATTACAGTCTAGCGATAACAGAGCTGCAGTAACAGGTTTAGTCTCCGCCTACATAAATATTTTACTGCTTTGTTTCTACACAATGCAACATGTAAATGAGAACAAAACAACATTTTACGATAAAAACCAAATGTGTTCAATGGCACGCTCAACAAGGCTTTGTTTTAAACGGTGGCTCCAAAGCAGTGGCTCAAAGATGACAGCTACGTCTCAAAATTCAAACTGTGCAACAGATTTTTATTCCCTTCCGATATGTTGCAAACAACAAGGCAACAACACTTCTCTTTCCCCCACATCAGGATCGACTTTCTCCTCTGTCAGCGTCAACGTATCCGTTTCTGTCACTTCCTGCTGGGCTCATGTGCCAGCATTTCCTCACTCTCCGCCGTCACCTTGCCGCCCGTGGCCGCCGCTCGACCCCGAGTCTTGTGCTGTAATCCAAGATTACTTTGCCTGATTTGAACTGCAGCACATTGCTTTAACGAGACCTTTTTACAACCAATCGACACAAATGTTTGACTATTCTCATTAATGCCCATTTTACGATTGCTCACGTACAAAGCATCACTTATTCCCTAACAGATGAAGCCAGACTGCTGCAGAGTCTTACATCAGCAACATTAACTGGGTCCAGGTGCTGGGCGGCACACTGCTGGATAAAACTGGGCCTCACATTGTGGGCTTTTGAAGGAGAAGACCTAAATATACCACACTAACAAAAACATTCCACCCCTCTGGTAAGATGAGACACGGCAAAAATGCTGCATCAACTGTGGCCCTCTAACCTCAGAGAAAAGTCACTTAAAGTAATCACACAAGCCTCTCTGCCAAGACGGTAAACGTTAGTAAGAGTTCCCAAATGTCTGAGCGTACAGGAAGAGAATATGTTGCTGCATCTTTCCTTTTTTTCCTGCTTTTGCTAATCGGTTTTATTTTCAGATGGAGGACAAACTAAACGGAGGCGGAACTTGTTAATCATCAGCATTGTTTGTTGTAGCCACAACTGAGGTATGAATGGTTCCAGTGCTAACCACAGCACCATCTCCCAACACACGTGTGTCCATGTGTGGAGATCAAACGACGCTTTAGAGCCCACTTGCTGCGCCGTATGGCAGTGTTAGGAGAAAAAAACGCAGCTAAATTCACAAGCTAGGAGTTCATGCTCAATCTGTACCACACAGGGTATCTGCAGGTTTAAGGGAGCCAAATTTAAGACTTTTTAAGACCTTTTTTAAGACCACTTTGACCAAATTTAAGCTATTTTTTTAAATTTTATTTAAGCTATAATTTCCAGCTATTGCCTGGAACCGGTGCTAACCACGTGAACATTAACCACGCGAACGTGGGATTAGCCATCCAGTTACCATTAAACTTGCACTTCTCCATGGCGCAAGCTCCCACTAGCTTAACCAGCTAATGTGCTCATCTAAAAATGGCCCCCTCTCACAACCAACTGAATGTGTACGGTTCCGCTTTTGCCAACATCACACACAAAAAATGCTGAACACTAACTAGAAATTCACGAAAATGTCAGAAATATACTAATCTAGTTTATTGGGTCTTTGGTAATTTAAGACATTTGGAAACTGTATTTAAGGATTATTTGTCATTTTTAAGGATTTTCAAGGCCTTAAATTTGGAAAAGTAAATTTAGGACTTTTTAAGACTTTTTAAGGACCCGCAGATACCTTGGCCACAGTTAGCTTAAATATTAGCCAAACAAAGAATTCATAACACAGCTGCATCATAACGTTTACGGAGGAAAACGTACGATACACAACTGGTTCAGTAACATTTACTGATCTAAAAGTGTTCGACGTTCAGACGGCACTCTGGTAGAACTTACCCAACTCTCTCCTCTCTGCTGATGCAGAGCGGTCCTTCCTCGTTGGCTGATCCATGTGAGTGAAGTTAGAGCTCTCTGGGACCGCCGCGCCTTTTCTGCCTCTGCCGCCCTTCAGTGATGTACGGGTGAGCGCCGAGGCGAAGAGATTTGTAAGATTTGGAGATTTGTGAGTTTCCACTTCCTCCGTAGGAGTGAGGGGTTCCTCGTCCTCGCTGTCTGAACAGCCTCTCGGATCTCCCGCTCTTCCATCTGAGAACGAGCTCTGGCCAGGGGCCACATGACTCCGTGAAAGCTGAGAGTAGTCAGCTTCAGAACCACTCATCCTGAACCAGGATGCAACTGGATGATGGCCCTTTGAGCTGCTGTCCAGTGCAAGCCTAGAAGGCCCTAGGCAGGACAGAGAGCTCTCTTTGCGCTTGTATCTTTCTGCAGATGAGGATGAGGAAGAAGACGGCGAGTTGGCAGAGGTGGTAGCAGTTTGCTTGCTGGCAGCAGTGCTGGGGGCGTCTCTTCCAAAGCGGCACCTCTGTAACGACTCCGCCATTCCCAAACCGACTCCTTTACTTGAAGCTCCTTTGTCAGAAACTCCTCCACCAGCCCGGCTTCCTGATCCACTCCTTGCTGCTTCCTCCCTGTCTTCCTCAGAGCAGCGGTCTCTGTGCTTGTGCCTGTGCTTGTGTTTATGGTGCCAGTTGAAAGAAAGCTCAGAGGACATTGGTGGGAACAGGACGGGGGACCTTCCTCCTCCTAGGTACTCCTGCCTGAGTAGCTTATGCTTTTTCTTGTGAAATTTTGAGGGATTTAGCAGAAGATGTGAGGGATGGTGGTGATGCATGTACGACGCGGGAGGAGGTGGAGGGAAAGACGGTGAGTGGTGAGAGTGGTGAGATGGGGCTGAGTGAGGGGACTGATGGTGTGGGTGAGGATACAGGGCGCTTGCTGGAGGATAGCCTCTGTAGTATCCCAATCCCAGAGGCCCAGACGAGTAAGGAACTCCATAGGATGGGTGGTAGAATCCTCCACTCGAGAGTGGGAATCCAAGTCCAGGTACAAAAGGGACCTCAGACATGGACTCTCTCAGTTTAGGAGGCCGTCCACGTTTCTTCTTTATGTCTGGTTTACGAACATAGTGCAATGGGTCGCAGGAATATGCGGGATGAGAGTAAAACCTGCCAAAATTAACCCTGAAAATTGTAGGCAGGAGGTCCCTGTGAACATAGTGATGAGGAGGAGGACCACTCGAACCCCCCATTCCACTGCTAGCTCTGTTCCCAAGCCCTGGCATTCTACTTGTTCCCGGTGCTATCGCTATTCCACCACCAAGCCGATGCCCCGTGGCGTGGTGCGATATTCGTATTTCACTCAGCATCACTATTATTTCATCAAGTTCGGCCAGAAAGTCGGGGTCAAGCCGTCTAGACCGCATCTGCAAGTACTTCTTCTTTCGTTTCCTCTTCTGTCTCTTTAACTTGTCGTAGCTGGGGCATCCATGGCCGCGGCGTTTACACTTGTGCTTGTGTTTCTCCTTGTGGCCCAATAAGGACGAAGCTGGAGCCGCCGGGTGAGGTCTCCGGGGGTCAGGCGACACCCTTGTCCGATGGGGTGACGGAGAAGCAGAGGGATGTTCCATGAGCAGAGGAGCATGCCGACGTCTGCCTCTGGAATTAAGGCCCATTCCTGGAGCCATTGCAGAACTCATGACACCTGGCATTAGCAATCCACTGCCCATTCCTGTTGGCATCCCCATTCCACCTAAGCCACCAGTGCCTCCAGCTTTCTCTCCACGGTCAGATGTGCTGTTATTGTCCGTTCCTATGCCACTGTCGCTGGGAACCGTCTCCTCACTGTGCGACTCACTGACCGGTGATGGAGTGGCTTCTTTCAGCTCACTGAGAGGAGCAGGGGAGGTGGGATGGAGCGGCCTGGGAGGCGAGAGCTTATGATAATGATAGTGCTGCCGGTAATGATGGTGATGGAGCGGGTACCCACGGTAAGACGACTTTTTCTGGGATGCTGCCCTGGCCATAGACAACGAAGCAGAGCCTAGGACTTTATTAGGGGCGGAAAAGGTCGGGGGAGGGAAGGAGAAGGCGTTGTGCCTGTGATGAGAACTAGAATAGTGAGAGAGCCCTGAAAAGTGCACAGAGCCAGGCTCCACAAAGCTGGCATCACTGATCGGACTGTGGCCCCCACTGGACTGGGAGAGGGAGGGAGAAGGAAAGACCTCAGACGAAAGCTGATGCTGCTGGGACTGATAGTGATGAAGAGGAGAGGTGGTGTTTGGAGACAGAAAGGGCTCTGGTGATGATGATGTACCCAAGAAACTGGCTGTGGCTTTTGGTTTACGGCCTCTTCTCTTACCCATGTATATCGTTCCCTTTTTACTGACATTAATTTGTGGCCCTAATTTCCCCCCAAAGGAAGCAGCTAGAGAGGATAAAGACCGAGTTGTGGACTCCACAGAACTCGCCACTCCACTGGCGCTGCTTTTAGGAGTTTCTTCGGTTCTTGGACCCAAGAGGATTTGACTCAAAATTCGCTTACGCTTCACACTTTTCATCTTATTGAGCTTGCCAATAATTGTTTTCATGATAAGCTGTCCATTTCCTTTGCTGTGAAAGTGTTTGTCTCCCATGTCTTCCTCTTCGGGAGCTAGTGTAGGAGGCTGACCTTCCTGGGGTAGAGTGGGAGGAAGGCGCTTGGGGCGGCCACGTTTTCGAGGCATGGGCTTAGGAGGGTCCAAGTCCACCTCTGGGTGAAGAACAGGTGGGTCCTGCTCTTCCTTGGACTTCAACAAAGATGAAAAGACCTTAGAGGAGACCAGCTTATTAGAGGAGTTCCCAGGAGCTGGGGCATCGAGTCTGGGCATTTTAGACTTTGGCCTCCCTCTTTTCCTAGGCTGAAGAGGGAAAAGCTGCGACACAGAGCTTTGAGGCAGAGGATTTGGTCTGACCTTATTAGGATTTGGTGGCCTACCTACAGGTCTTTTAACAGGTGGCAATGGCATCTGTAATCCTGCTGGTGAAGCCGGGCTGGTTTTGCTTTCATTGAAGAGGCTGTCCTGATGAAATCGTTGACTCTGCGTTGTGCTCATAACATGGGACCAGCGTGGTTTCTTTCCTCGACGCTTTTTAAGGGGTTTACTGTCCTGCTCATCAGGTGAGTCTAGGGATGAATCAGGAGAATCATCTCTTAGAGGTGTGTGTGGGTCTTCTTCATCGTCGTCGTCGTCATCATCATCATCATCTGGCTCACACGAAGAAGGGGTCCGCTGTCTAACAGGCGCAGGAGGACTGCTGCTTCGACTGGGTTTACTGCCATCTCTGCTGGGGCTGGGTTTACTGGGACTAGAGCCCCCCACCCTCTCGACGCGCTGCGATTGATTACTTGCTCCCTTGTCTCTCCCCTCTGATTTTCCTGTTCCTGCTGAAGGAGGGCACTTGCTTAAATCTCTGGGGTTTTCGTCTTGCACCTTCTTACCGGCACCACTTTCCTCAGCCAGAGCTTGGGGGTCTGGAGCGTGGTGTCCTTGTGAGGGAACGGGAGAGCCCCGGTGACTCCCTGCACCAACCGTCCTCTGATCAGCCGAGACGGTGGAGGACGACGAAACGGGGCAAGACGATGAAGATGTGGTGTGTGGCGAGCCGTGAGCAGGACATGACTGTGTCTTAGAAAGAACACCACCGCTGTTCTCAGCGTTGCTCTCCTTTGACAACGCTGCCAGACAGTTGTAAGTGAATGCAGGGCTGCTGCTAATAATAGCCTTTCCAACACAATCCGAGTCCTCCTTCCTTACTTGCATCAGGGCGGACACATTTTCGCAAACGCTGTCTTTGTTCCTAGAACCGTAAGGACGACCAGGTGGTCTTGACACAGGAGGTGGAGGAGAAAGGTGCAACATTCTTGAATATGTGTTCCTGTTGGCCATAGCTCGGTCGCGTTGCTTGGCTGTAGGAGCCATGAAGCCCGAGCTCGCAGGAGGAGGAACAGGATCCGTTTTCATGGGTTTCGTTGGCTTAGGGGTCTTCGATGGAGGGCAAGTTGCTATAAGCTGTGCTAATTTCTCAGTTACCGTGGGCGCCCCCCAACTCTGGACACTCTTGTCCTGGTCTTTCTGACCTTCTGTGCTTAAAGAGTACTGAGGAGGTTTAGCGCCATCGAAAATTGGTTCTTTTGACGCAGGTAGTGGCGAAGAAGATGGTGAAGATATCCGTGGGTTGGTTTGGGGAGTTGGTGTTTTCTTCCCAGAGGAATGAGTCTTGCTGTCTGGTGGGGGGCGGTGAAGGTTAAGGGGTCTCTCAGATGCGGTAGTTGCTGATTTTGAATCAGACTTTGAATCAGGCTTGCAATCCATCTTTGGTTGGCCCTGTGGAAGAAAATAATAATGAAGTGATTAACAAATAAAAAGGATTTGATGTTTTTAGCTCTTATGGAAGGTAATGACTGAAACAAGCTATTTGTCAAAGAAAAATAAAGAAATTCTGCATCGATTAAACATACAAATAAAACCGAACAACAAATCAAAAGCCAAGGTTTGTACTTTCACGTGAATTTCAGTTCATTGATAAAACTTTCAACCTGCTGCCACTGCTGCACGAGCAATCACAGGAAGGGGGAGAGGAGTTTTAGACGAGGTCAGATTGGGGACAGAGAGGGAGAGCTAGTAAGAGGGGTCATGCAGGGATGGGGGGGTGGAGAGGACATGGCCAGGCAGAGGATAGACGACACAGACAGAGGAGACTGGAGAGGGCCATGCGTGATAAATAGAGGCAGGCCAAAAGAGAAAACAAAGAAAGCTAAAGAACAATTTATGCCTGCCCTTTATTTGTGCACTAACACAGTAATTACTGGGGCAGCTTTGTAGTGGACCCCTCCCTCGCCGATGACTGAATATATTTAACTGGAGAACGAAAGATGAACGGAGGTTTGCAGGCAAAAATGACAATTTAGCCAACATGCTGCTGGTCAAAACTGGTGGTTAGCTTCTGTGAAAACGGGAATCTAAACAAAATAAACAAACTTTAAAATTAAAACACGGAGAAAGCTCTTCGTCCTTACCCTTTTTGCTGGGGCAGTCCCATTTACCTGGGAGGGGGGAGGGGTTTTAGCTATGCTAGGTGATGGAGCAGCACAAGGAGGTGAAGGAGTTTTAGCGGAATTAGCAGATGAAGATGTGGCTGGTGGTTTGTTCACACTCGGACTCTTCTCCCTCTCCTTTTCCCGGCCTTGTGAAGGAGCCTGGTTCGGACCGCGTGGACCGTCAACCGTAGCCCCTGCACGGTTTCCACGAGCATTAGCCCCTCCTCCACGAGCGGTGTGCCTCACAGTGGCTTTAAAGGCTGGTCGGCAGACATAATTCTCCAAGATCTTTGGGGGTTTCTTCATGCGTTTTGCTTGAAGGCCGATCTTCAGCTTGACGTTGCCTTCAGACAAACTGCTTTCGTTGATGGAAAACTGAAATTGGTCACCTCCGGCACCTCCTGGCCCACCTCCGCTAGCAGGGGCGGCAGCAGCTCCCTCCTTTTCTCTGTCCCGGTTCTTTTCATCCTCTTCTTCCTTCTTTCCACCCCCTCCCTCCTTCTCTCGCTCCCCGGTGGGCGCACAAGAGAGAAGTGGGGGTGGAGTTGCAACTCTCCCCTGAACCTTCGGATCCATCAAAACTTTAGGGGATTCTGGAGCGTTTTTTGGGGGGGGGAAAGGAGGAAGTGGATTTCAGGTAGAGTTTTTTATGTTTAGGGGTGGGATAGGGATGAAGGGGGAGGAAAAGGGAGAGGGGATAACGGGGAAAGTGAAGCCCTCCTTGTTCTGAAGCAGCTCCTCTCTGTTCTCAGCTGTCCAGCCCTCTTTCTCCGTCCTTCAGCTATACGTGTGGAGACACGAAGAAAGCAGAAAAGGGAGGGTAGAAACAAATTCCACATTAGTCAAACCAACACAGAAAATAACGTTTTGAGAATCATTAAAATAAATTGGTGTAAAGCTGAAACAGGGAAAATCCTTCAATCATCAAGTCGGTTAGAGACTGACCTTTGTCTCGTCTCTGTTACTTTTTACAGCGAGCCTTTCCCACAGCCTACATTAATACACGACCCACTTGCACAGCTAAGGCTCTGCTACCTGAGAAACGCATCATTAGACACAGAGCCTCGGATTCGACCACCTGCCATTTACAAACCCCACGTGGACCTGAGTCAATGCTTAATCCCACAGCACTTCTTTAGAGGTGTTACAGGGAAGGATACCAAATGAGCAGCCACTCAAGCACACTGGTGGTTGTGACGGAGGCTAACTGCTCCTACCCTGCCTTAGCAAAGCAACAGACAGCAGAAAGCTTCCTAATTGTGCTCCGTAGAGGACGGCCCAGTTCAATGAAGCTGTCTACAGCTCCCCATAGCCACTGAGTGATTTAATGCCGATTCACCCCCAAGCAGGTGCTTTCTCTTTGTGAAGTCATTTGGAGGCAATTCAGAACTGTGACCTCAGCACATCAGGTCCTCTGGGACTACCCAGACCATCGGTCCGCCTTTCCCAGCTTCAAACAGCAGCAGCTGAGAGTGCGTGATTAAGCATCAACGTGCCAATGGTTTTCTTGCAGTCTACATTAGTGGAGATCACCAAGTGTGTATCTAAATGAGCCTCGGGAAAGTCAGATCACATTAGTAAATCATCACAGCAGGAGAAACATAATGTATATTTCATGTCTAAGGTCTTCTGCAGGTATGTACACATTCTGCTGAACCACAGAGGGAAGTTCTGACTCCCACCTTTCAGAGTTTACTTTAATTACTCCTTTTCCCCCTCAAAATGTCAAGACTCCCCCTTTCTACACATACCACACTTAGATCACGCCTCCCCCTTTTCTTTAACACTCCATCAATCTCTGTGCTCTTTTCTGTGTATTTTTTGTACTCCTTCTCCCTTATTTCGCAAACTTGGAAGCCACCAGTAAAGGCACACAAACTGAATTTGCTGTGCTCTAACTTTAATCAAAAACACATTTCACCCATCACCCACCCGACTTAATACATTCCCTGCATCCTGCTTACACGATGACAAATGCTCTCGTTCTTTCATTCAGAACACTTGCTGCGATATGAGCTGACTGACGGTAAAAATATGCCCCAGTAGTGGCCGGACTCTTTGAAAGCCAACTGGCACAAGTCTTTAAAAAGAGCTTGTCAAACATTTCTAAACCATGTCAGTTGCTGCTGGTTTTACTGGTATGAATAAAGCGCCACCAGGCTGAATCGCTCCTTCGCATCAGTGGCTTGCCCAGTCTGGCGCTGAAGTACTTTCGTATTTACAAAAGCCGTTAGAATAAAACAACCGAAACGTTCATAACTAGTCACACTGCAATACTAAGCAATAACAACACTGCTAGTTTATAGGACTGAGATTAGTCAACCTGGTGACTACTGTGGCTCTTTCACAACCAGGAATTAAAGCAGAACATGCATGAAAGAGCCCTGCACACCAGGAAAATCAGATCGGATCAACCATAAAAAAAGAGGCAGAGCATGGTTGAACGTAGTAAACAACTTCCCGCGCCCCCTCCCATTTCTTTTCTACTCTTGCTCCCACCCTCCCTGCTAGCTTTTTGCACACGTTGTTGAGAAATGCTGATTTCCCCTTTGGCCACAGCCATACGATCCCACCTAGCCACCCCCCTCTGCACCCACACGAGGGCTGGCGTCAGCCCCATTGAGCTCCCTGTCATTTCCAGGGTTTTTACTAAACAAACCAGAAGCAAAAACCACCCAAATTCCTTCCCGACCACCGACTGTTTTGAACCACCTCCTTTTTAAATTGCTATTTAAAACCAACGGATCGTGAGATGATGAAAATCAAGCTAGGATAAACAAAACAACGATGTGACAGGTGTCAGTCAGACGCACTGCATGCATATTCTGCAGCTGCGCACTGGCGTTGATCATTGCTTATTAATAACAACGCGCGTGTCTTCAGGTTTCATTTATCACGATTTCCGGTATCTTATGCAAAGAACACAAAAAGAGACGCAGCAATTAACCGACTGAGCCAAATTAGTTTAATCTGCATTTGGTGTCCTGTACAGTCAACACTGCCTCTCGGGAGACCAACCGATCGTCCTTAATTCATTTCAAAGCATCGTTTAGTCATAACCAGAAACACAAACTCGCACTCCTCCGTTTCATCCAAATAATTTTTGGAGATTTCCTTTTGCGTAAACAGTAGCATGCCCGAGGATCTGCTTCACTGGCAAACAAAAAAAAAGCAAGCAATCAAATTTAAATACAAATTATTTAGACTCACCTCTGAAAATATGTCCAGAAACGGTGTTCACATTATTCGGCTGTGTGCTGTCTTCATGTTTATCAACGTTGTGGCCACATTATTTGTCATTTATATTGAAATCGTCCCAACTGCTGAAATACCAAAACACACGAGGCGGTCAGATCTGGGTCATGTTCTGTTTGACTGAGCTGCCGAACATCAAGAGCAACAATTGAAACTGATCATCTGAAATACGTTTTCGAAATAGCCCCACACGAGAAATCTGTAATGTTTAGACAATAAATCTAGCTAGCAACATTTGAAACTGATTGCCTGCCTACAAAACAAAGTTGCCGTGATGGAGGAGGAGCGCCAAATGGGGCAAAGCATCCCTCCGAAGCGAGGATTTTAAATATACTTAAGAGGCAAAAAAATGTTCACTTTCTATTAAAAATAACTACAACAATATGAAAGGTTTGGTTATTAGCTAACTGGCTGCTACCAACCTTCCAATAAGAGCTCGTGAATTTAATGGCTCTGGCAGACGATTTAAGCTAATTTCGACAAACAGAACAGGAAATTAAACTTTCTTACAGCAAGAAATATCTCGCAAATATCTACAACTTTAGGGAAATTTGTGTTAAACGAAAACATTTGTCACAATTCAGAAAAGTGATGTACATATCCACCGTCACATTCTCGTAGGCACTCGTGTTACTACGTCTCAGCTACGACGGCTAGCGATGCAAGTGAGCTAAAACAGGAAAAAAAAGGTTCTAACGCGGTTTCAAACGCAAAACCACAACCGCATCCACACGGACACAGATTTCAGAAAAAAAGAGCCCCTTTATACGCCCGTGATAGAAAATAGCAGACGCAGCGCCGTGTAGGTTATTAAAATAACACAAACTGTCAACAAAATGGCGGCTGCGTTGAATCAACAGAGACCTGAAATGGATCTCCCTCTATTTCTTCTTCCTTGCGGCTTAAATCGTTCTTCCTTACAGCAACTGGTATCCGTAATATCTCCAGAGATGCTCTGAAATCCACAGCGACTCGCCGTTAGCTAGGCCTGGATGTGTCAGCACGGGCCTCTCTCGGTAATCGGGCCTCCATGTCTGCTCAGCTACTGTGTCTGTGCAGCTCGGGCATTCTCGGTCCCACAGAGGAGGGCTGTACGGAAAGCCGTTGTTACATGTGTTCAATTTTAACGTTAAAGGTGCAGCATGTAAAATATATAGTGAGGATTTTAAAGTGAGAAAATCCTAAAAGAGTCTAATGTTTGGTCACTCCTTGGAAAGAAGGTCATACTGAAACATATTTCATATCCAGCTGGCTTTTTTTTTTAACAAACAGGAATGAACAAATGTAAAGAGGGAACTGCGATACAATAACTAAAGAGTGTCAGGGGGTTTAAATACATTATTGAATTAATAAAATATGAAAAACAACATTATTTTAATTTATGTTTATGTTTATTCATTTAGCAGACGCTTTTATCCAAAGCGACGTACAATTTTTATAACCTATAGGGCATGTTGTGATCTGTGGGGGAAACCGGAGTACCCGGAGGAAACCCACGCATGCATGGGGAGAACACGCAACTCCACGCAGAAAGGCCGCAGCCGAGTTTTGAACCTGCAACCTTCGTGTTGCGAGGCAACAGTGCTAACCACTGCGCCACCATGCAGCCAATTTAAAGACATTAGTTGACATACAAATTTCAAAAGTGCAAATTGCCTTTTGGTTTGGGCTCTTTGCAATAGATGATAGATATCAGGGGCAGACTGCCCCCCCCCCCCCCATGCTCTTTCACGCTCCAGCACTCTAGGTGGCAGCACTGCACCTCTAATTTGGATGCCAGCTATTGGCTGTGGCCGCCAGGCAAGGAGAAAAAGAAGCTGAAGCGGAGAGGAGGCAAAGGCAGTAGAAAAAACCATGCAAAGCCCAACTAGTAAAAAAGGAAAGAAAAGGGTGGGGCTGAGAAGGTAAGAGAAAAAAATTGCGAGCATGGACGTAATTTTTTTTTGGGGGGGGGCAGGGGGGACATGTCCCCCCCCCCCACTTTTTCCAAAGTCAAGTTTTGACCCCTGCACTTTTTACCATCCAAAAACAATATTACGCTATATTAAATTGATACTGGTTGAGCTCTAGGACCAAGCAAACAACCGTTTGTGTTGAAGCCAGTTTCCCATTAGAACATACTGTAAAGATACCCCCCGTGTCCCCCCCACTTCTAAAGTGAAAATTACGTCCTTGATTGCGGGCATTAGATGCTGAAGCCTCTAAGTGTCACAAATTAACCGACATATTTAGCAGCACGGCCAGCAGCAGCACTCCGCAGCAGGTTCACAGCAGTGAAGAAGTCAGGCAGATAGCTACACAGCAACATGCCAGCAGTAACGAGGGACAGAAAGATGTGCTGGTTCCACAGGCAGATCCAGGGGAAGTAAGCATGGAATGTAAGGAGAAACATTTGCAAGGTTTGATGTTAGGAATTCATGTTTAGGTTGCAATTTTATTTTATGATTACAGCTAAATTTCAACATTTTAGCTGTAAAAGGCCACATGCAGTGGGTAATAAGAAATACGTTGTGGTTTTACGTAAAAAGGTTGGTAGTAGTGTTATAGTTAATGCTCACAAACTTTGAAAATCTTAAATACAGAAGTTACATTTGTAATGTTGCATTTTCATTTAGATGTGGTATTATTTGAGAAGATTAATTACTGCATAAATTATTAAGCTTATCAGGAATACAGCTTTTAATACAACATAGTCAACATTAGCTCTGTTGCTATAATTTTGATGGTTTGACCACATATTTTTGCTGCCGCGAATTTCCGCGCGCCGATTACTTTGGGCCGGGCCTAGTCAAAGTCCAGGGCTGTTTTTTAGTCCCAGTCTGTTCCTGATAGATATAGTTCAATTTCATGTATCACTACAGCGGAAAACGGATATGATGATGAAAATTTGCAATTGTGTACATATCACTTACTAGAAATAATAATTAAATTAATTACAATTTCTTATCACATAATATCCAGCTGGCTGAAGTGCACTGCGGGTTGAATGTAACATCACCACATGTTGATCAATTGGCTATGTCTAACACGTTCATTGCGGATAGGAAGAATGACATTCTAAATGGTTGAAAAATTTCGTTTGGTTGGAAAACTTTTAGAACAATTTGTGTTGAATTAAAATATAAGTTGGACATTATATGATACGTTTGCTTGCCAAACAAGGGAAGAGAGGAGGGTGGAGGAGACGGGAGAGGAGGAGAGAGGTGAAGGGAGGAGAGGAGAGGAAATATCCACCTTGAGCGTTCCTTGAGCGGTTCCTGTGGTTTTTGTTCACTTACAAAAATGCCTGTGCCTTCTTATTTGGCCATTTTGGTGGCCGTGTAGAGCAGTACTATACGGACCGGTTCTGGGTGTGTTCGCTGGGGCGCAACTAGGCTCGGTGTTTGGTTAGCGGCCAGTCAGCATGACGTTACAGTCAGTGGGCTTGGGAGGGAACCACTGGTCTTTACTCTGCTGGAATTATATCAGAAACATAAAATAAACAAATATAATCGCAGATATTGTAGGCAGAATTAGTCCTTGGTTGAGTTATTGTTGTTTTGTTATCAGATAAATAAAAAAATGAATGAAGATGTTTGTTCTGTTTTCCCTAAATGATTTGTTTTTGACTGCTTTTGACTTGATTTTTTTTATTCAGGGACCTTGAGCTCCCTGGAAGGCACTAAATAAAATGTATTATTATTATTATTATTATTATTATTATTATTATTATTAGACTGTTTTTGAATAAAATTAAATAAATCCTATTTTATTCAGGGAAAGTAGAACTGGAACTGAAGCTATTAAAGAGTTACAAACTATGGGACATACCAGTGTAAATGTTGAAATGGGATTATTAGGCCCTTGTTTTAGCAGCCTATCAGAAATAAAGAATTTGTTCAAACATAACTTAAAGTAGTATTTAAGCCACCAGACGACTCTCAGGGAGCTGCAAACCTGCAGTAAAACTTGATGTATTATCTCTCAGGTCAGGTTCATGCAGTCAGGTACCAGAGAGAAAACAGGTGAAAAGACGACAAAGATTTCAGAAAACATAAAGAACTCAAAATGTTACAGAATAGAAACAAAAGCTGGAGAAGTGAAGGATGGCTTCAGACTTTTGCCTTTGTTTGCCTCTAAGGGTCGTTTTATATGAGCAGCTCTCAATGCAAAATATACTGTTTCTCCATTTAGAAGGTTGGTTGATTAGTTATTTTTATGACGTTTCTGTTCAAATCAGATACCTTTTTATATAAATTTGACTTTAAATCTTTTTTGTTGACTTATTCTGTTTCATTAAATTGTACTTTCCTGAATGAAGAGACCTTTATTCTATTTCTGGTAATTAGAAAGACAAACATATGTACAGAAGGTGTGTGTGAAGCTTTATTAGCAGCTTTATGTTGATGAAAAGTCAACAAAAACACCAACACTGTCTTACTAAGACAATAATCAAAAGATGTTTCTTCATAACTGAGGGATTCTGTCATTTTGACAGCCCCTTGCACCTCAGTGGAGATTACATTACGGCTTAAAGGCCAGTCATTCAGAAAACTGCTTTAGAGGGTGGCATAGTGGGGGAAAAAAGCGCAAATCTCTTCTGAATCTTGCTAGCAATCCATCTGAGTGGTTTGGCGTGAAGTACTGGTTAGGTTGTAGCAGAAAACACGAGCGTCCTTTGCAGAGACAAGTGACCGACATGAGCTCTGAAGGTGATCGTAATGACAGTGTGAGGCATTTTATCTAAAAGCTGCTGATCTGACATGAGTGGCTGTTAGAAAAAAAGAAAAGAAAAGAAAAAACATTCAAGAAGATGAAGTCAATGACTCTTCCCGTATCGCCTGCCTCTCCTGTTGCTCTGACAGATCACTATTCTGGGGGCTCCGATGTGGGTGGGAGGCTGTTGTCAACGCCATCAAGACTTTTGCGGCACACTGGGCAAGAATTGTGCTGTGAGGGGGAAGGAATTGTGTTAATCAGCTTCAAAATATAACCAACGAAGGATTTAAAGAGCAAGTCACCCCCTACAAGAAACTTACTTCACTCCCTCTTCATGTTTGAAAAATGTAACAAATGCTGTTGCCTAGCAGACCGAGAGGGCGGAGCCGCTAACAAATACACACACACACACAGGCTCACAACGGCATTGTGACATCATAAGGACCAGTTTACATCATAGCATACCTCTTAGCCAATAGCGGTGGCAGATTCAAATTCTAATGCAGTGCAGAGTTTTCACCTGACAATGGCACAACACTGACAGTTTTAGGCAGAAAATTACAATTTTAACTAAAATGCACTAAAGTACAAAACTATTTTCTACGATGAGAATGAACTAGGGGGCTCGCGCTTGCCCTCACGGGGCACACGCAGCGGTATATATGCTCGATTCCTGGAAGAAGTGGAATGTCATCTGTCTCTCTCAGCTGTCCATTGAGGACGTCGAAGATGTGTGGATATTTGGCCTGATGATCACTGGATTTCTACTGATTGGAGTGGGAGGATATCTGGTTTTCCGAAAAATTGGGATGACGGGAGCGATTGGAGGGCAACCCGCAACCATGGACAGCACCGTCCGGGCGGAGACCTCACAGACTGGGACATTACTCGAGGTGAATCGCAAGCTGGACGTCTTAGCTGCATTACCGGTCTTAGTGCGCAAAATGGATGTCATCTCGGAGAGGGTCAGCGGACGGTGTGGAGATGTTTAATCACCGAATTGGCTTCACTGGAGGATTTGAATGATCAATACAGACTTTAAGGCAGAGAGGAAAATTATCTCTGCCTGACCCAAACAAAGTTCTGTTATCCAATCTGACGCCATAAGCAGCCTTGGAGTTGCGTGCAAAAAAACCCCACGATGGAAGGAATGCAGACAAATGCTGTGAAACCCTACCTACCCTCCTGCCTTCAGATTGTGGTCTCCACATCGAGGTCATCAAGTTGAAGGCATTCACTGTGCTCTGTGCTTTCCCATGATCTCCCACCCACCTGTGGATTCAGTTGGACGAGCGCCACACAGGCTGCTCCCGCTGAGGAAACCAGGGTCCCAGCCCCTCCCCCCTACCTACTGGGTCTCATGTTGTGAACTGTGACGTTCGTGCTTATATGTAGAGGTGGTTTTTTGCATAGTAGAGCTACACCCAGCCGGTGTAACTCTGTTAATGCCTTTTTCTCCCTCCCCGAACTCTCCTCATGTAATCCCCTCTTCATCTATTGAAATGAGCGCCGTTATGGCTGCTCTCGTGGTCTGCCTGTATCTGTCCTGTCTATATGTGTGTGTGTAATCTTGGTCAGGCTGTTCTGTGGAGTCTAGTTCCTATGCTCTGGATCGCTGGAGCGCTGGCAATAAAATTCTTTCTGATTCTGATTAACTACACGTGTCTGCAGCACGATTAGACACACATTTATATAGTTTATCAAAAAAAACAAGTTGATTTGGGGGTGACTTTAATGATTTCTAATGCTTACCAGCTTCAGCCAAGGCACTATACATTCATCGTGGAAGAAATGGAGGCAGGGAAGCTTCCTGACAGATTCTCCTGAAGAATATTCCTCCCTGCAAACTGGACATCCTAGTCGGCAGTCTGAAAGAGAAGAAAATAATCTTTTACACACAAATGGTCTCCTTTTTATTAGTAGTTTGCTTTGTCCAAATTCATGATTTTTATGCAAACCCATGGCTCATAGATGTGGTTTTAATGTGGCCTGGGGTTAGGACGAGTTGAGATGAAGCAAAACAACAAACCATACATTTACAGCATGTTTTCCCGGCTAATACTTTTATAATGATTCATGGGTCAGAGTAAAGAAAACAGCTCAAGAATGCCCAAAAATTTAAAAAAAATTCTTTAGAATAAAAACTATAAAGTATTAAAGAACGATTCAAATTAGTCTCTAAGAGACACATATTTCAGTGGTCACAGGACAATATTTTCTACATGACCCACTAGGATTCCCACCTATCTGTTCTTGAGAGATGCAAACTATTGGCAGGGAAGAGATCTCCTCCTGCGTTGCTGGGGCTGGGCCTGTGTTCTCCAACTGTCCAAGTAACTGAACGAGTGAAAAAAGGCATCACGTGGAACAAAAATGAGTCTGTAAACAGAATTCTTCATGATCAGTACTCCTGCTACCGCTGACCTCAGTGACGACCGTGTCGAGACCTCCCAGACCCCACGCGTAGTCTTCTGGGTTTGAGTACATCTGTAGCATGCTGGATCTGAGAGACAAACCGACGACAGCAGAGGGAAAGAGAAGATGGGTTCCACGTACCATCAGAGTCAAAAGAAAAGTAAATGACATGAGTCATATATTTTTAAAGATGTGCTTACAGTGAAGTTGGTCCAGCACCAGGACTTCCGTTGTTCGCAAAACTGTCAGATAAAAACTGATGCATGATGCTTGGAAAGAATGAGAAACCCAAAACAACTGTGTTAGATTTAAAGCCCCATTCACTCGTTATTTACATTATTTGCTCTGGTGTCTAATAGGGATCTAAGAAATTATTGATACATTTAAAAATCGAGATATTTCTTTATCGCGCAAACATTTACTATATTTGGAAATGTTGTCTGGCTTTTAGTATTGCAATATATCATATAATCTCCCCTGTAATGTGATATATGTTGTAGTAATGTAAGAAAATATCGATATAGCAATATATCGCAATATATTTTCCTGCGATATATCGATGTTCAAAAGCTGTGTATCAATTTTTTTGGAAGAAATTACGTGCAAACATTTGTGTATTTTCTTTTTTTTTGTGCAAATCAAATGCCGTCCTCTAGTCAGCAGTAGTGTGCAATGGAGTTTGTTTCCACCACTGAAATGTAAATCCCTCTGTTATGGTTCAGATATCTCATGTTAATCATGTTAAGTACCAGTTTGGACCGTTTATTGAATTTTCCTACAAAATTTTCCTAAAAAAAATCGCTAACATCGTCCGACTGAATGTATCGCAATATATCGTGATATATCGTATCGTCTCCCCTGTATCGTGATAAGAATCTTATCGCCAGAATTTCACCAATACACATCCCTAATATATTGTATTTTTGCCAATACACACCCTAGTTTCTAATGTGAATGAATGCCTTGAGAATTGCTTTCCATGGAAAAGAAGCTCTCATGCTCCTCTTACAGGGGGGATAAGTTTATCGGGGGAATGTGTGTGGGGTGATGGGATTACAAGTCTTACTCCTTATTATTTATGATATGCAAGCACCTTGCCTCTGATTGGCTAACAGCAATGCAACTCTTCCCCTGCCTTCCTTTGTTCTTCTTTCTTGAGTAAAAAATGCTAATTTGATGTGTTATCCCTGCAAATAACACAAGCCCAAACGCGTTCTGCCATGTTGTGGAGTTGCTAATGGTTAGCTTCTACTAGCTGAGACTTGCTCTGCCCTCTCCTTCCCGTGGGCGATCGCAAGTCAAGGTGGGCAAGGCTGTGAATGCTAATTTTCCCTGTGACGTGGAAAAGACTGGCTTTTTCTGACCTGATCATTTTCTCATCTACAGGTTCATTTAGTTCAGTAATTCCTCTTGGACTGCGAGACCATTTAAAGGCTCAGGAACCCTTTGCGGATGTTTTGGATTCATTATCAGATTAGATCGTGACACCTTTGAGTCTAGGTTATGAATTTGGGGTTTTCATAAACTGTGAGACATAATCATCACAATTATAACAAAGCTTAAAATTTGTCGCCTTGCGTGTAACGAGTCTACCTGATGTATTAGTTTCACCTTTTAAGTGGAACTACTGAAATAAATGAACTTTTTCACCATATTCAAATTTTTAGAGTTTCACCTGTAATTCCTTTCTGTGGCTAATAGGACAAAAATTCATGGCTGTAATGAACTCTAGATAGATAGAATTTTTTTTTACTGTTTAATAAACACACACCCATCCATTGAGTTGTTTTCCTCAGGACTAGAGGCAGTCTCCCCCTCAGAGACGGAGGATGACTCCTCCTGCTCTTCTCGCTCTGTGGCGACTGCAGACGGTGAAAAAGTATCGTTCTGACCCGCATATTCCTCCTCAGCATCAGTCCAATCAGACTCGGTGGAGGACGGACTCGACAGCCGAGCAGAATTCTCTATGAACAGCAGCTGAAATAACTTGAACAGAGATCGGAGAACATTAGTTGTCCAACACTGACCTGAGAGACAGAAGAGTGTTTTATTAAAGTGGGATTAGTTTCACATACATCTGAGAGCAACGAGCTTGAATTGTCACTCTCTACTGATGCCGTGCTGTCCCGCAGAAGGCTAGAGAAGTAAATGAATAAATCAGATAAATATGAAAATGTTTTTTTTAGAAACAACATAACCTTAAATAGATTAAACAGTTTTAGATTTAGATGCATCCTCTGATTTTATTATAAAGAATGATCTGTACCTGGAATTGGCTGGCACCTCCTCAATAAAGCCAGACTTGCATGCAGGACAAACCAAATCCTGTAGGGGGAGGGGGGGGGGGGGGGAATCACCTTTAGAAATATTTTCATTGCGTTTCATTACTTTTTTGTGAGAGATGCAGTCATTTTCGTGAGTTTGAAATTCATTATTTTTATTTTATTGGCATTCGAAACCACAATACCGGGGTTTAAAATAATTTATATGATTTCCAATGTCATATGGTCTTCTATATGCGTGGCAAGGTGGAGAGGCGAGGGCCCAGGCGGGATTTGATCCCCAGACTCATCGGTGAGAGTCACGCTCGCTAACCCAGTCAGCCAAAGGGATATCCCCGTGGCCAAGTGGTCAGGGCGCATGATTGGGGTGCAGTGACAGGACACTCATCCTGTCACACGTCTTTTATTATACAAACTGTGATCATTAGGACCCTCATATACATAAAAATGTGATACAGATAGCCATTTATTCTTAAAATTACAACCAGAAAATAGTCGTATTGAATTAAAAAATATTTCGATAATTTACTATCTTTTAAATATGAATTTGAAAATCACAATTATGACTTTCCATTGCATAATTATAACTGACTTTCAAAGTAGGAGTCAAGACCTTTATTATGATTAGAGTTTGACTGATATTGGTTTTTCCATAGCCAATATCAATGCTGATAGGTAGGAAATATGGTGAGCCAATGGCTGCTATGCAATGGTGATTTTTTATGGGCCAATTTTTGTGGTTGATATCGAGACATTTATCACCTTATTTTCATGCTAAAATGTCACTAATAACATTAGTTGATGCACAAAATTTCTAAAGCTGAATCAGTTTTTGAACTCTAAAGTTAACTAACTGTTAAAGGGATACTATTCAACTTTTTCACTTTTTAAAATTATTTTCATGAGCCAGTATGTGCTAAAATGACCCTTTACAGGGTTAATGAAATGTCACTCCCACCGCCCTCTGTGGCCAGAATATTGCACTTGCAACTTCAGAGAACCAGCACCTGTTACACTTAGAAAAAATTGGGCTTACATACCTGGCACTGCAGTCTGTTTCCAGTACGTTTCCTGTTTGTTTTACACTGTAAACACAGCTGATTTTTTTTTATTTTGGTGAGGAATGACTCTTGTAGACACTAATGAAGGCTGAGGAGGAATTTCATCAGTTTGATTAAGGTGTTAAAAAGACGAACGCATGGTGAGGAGATAGGTTTCAGTTTTGCTTTGACCACAGATTATTAAAACTGGACACTAGGGGGTGCTAAAAGAAAGCAAAACTGCTAACTGTGCCTTTAAATCTTAACATGCACTTCTCAGTGTTAAAGTCGGACACCTAAATAAAGTTAGTTATGAGTATTTATTTTGCAGATGTTATTAATGTAAAAATACATTTAACTTAAATTCTGCAACTGCACCAGGCTACTCGAGGATATGCCTGACTTTAAATCAGCTTTACAAAGGACACAAATTGGCTGATATCGATGTATAAAAAAATACGGTAAATACCAGCATGATATATCGGTCTACCCCTAATTATGACTTTTGAAGATATGATTATATTCATAACCTTTCAAGTCATAATTAGGATTTTGAGTCTCATAATCACAACTTGGGGTCATAAATATGAATATCTTTAGCGGCAATCTCATAACTCAAACAGTACTTTTGACAAAAAAAGAATGTTAACCACTTGTCTTATGATGAATCGGCTTGCCATACACTTGATCCACTCACACAGTTGACAGCAGACAACTGGAACCAGAAGTGGTGTTTCTAAAAATGGCCAAGTGAATTGCCAAAGTTTTACTCGCAGTCTTTAACTTAACAGTTTAGCACATGCTGCTCATACGATCAAAAACATAAAGCCCATAAATACGACTTAAAGAATCCCCGGTACTACAAATGTGGTAATAAGTAACGATATTATATAGACGACAGCGTTGTGAAATGTGTAATTCCTCGCTGTAGTTGTCTGATCACGTGAGTAAATAACACTCTCCAAAAACACTCACCGGTAGTTTGGGATTAGTCTCACATTTACAATAGTGACAGTAAAACTGGTGTTGTGGTGCGTTCCCAGCCTCCGCCATCTTCACGGTGAAAAGCAGTCCGACAAAGCTGCGGCAGCCCATAAAAGTCTCAAGGAGGGTTTGACAAGTCAGGAAATCAAACCAATGAACCATGAGTAATCCCAGGGCTGTCTGATAAAGCTACTCAAAATAGTCGATGGAAGCGTCACGTGATAAACTATCACGTTAGCATAGCTCTTTAAACAGTCCTAATCAAAATTAGATAAAATAAAAATAAAAAACTTAACACTCAGCAAGAATTATATAATTTCCAACGTTTTAGTCGTCACCAAAACAAAAAAAAACAGACATTTTTAATCGTTTAAAGCTATTATTTTTAGCATTAGCATTCAGCTAAAGTTAGATAAGCGTTCCAAATCTAAAAATCCAATCAACTCCGTTTCCTAGCAACTCACTCTCAGGTCACGTGACAGCGATGTAATGGGATTTAGCCTTTAAAAAGGAATAAGATTTCCATTTTTAAAGCACACGCACAACAAAATTCATAAATAATCTTAAAAAATATTGTTTTGCCACTCAGATAAACCAACGACATTAGCAGCAAACTGCGAAAGCATGACTGTATTTCTTTAATTCTTCTAACCAAGATAGATATTTGTTATTACTCTTAACAACCACAAGAAATACAAACAAAACTGTCATGGATACTGGAAAAAAACAAACATTTGTTCATAATCTTTACAGCATGAGATTTGACATTACAGTAAATACGGGTGCTCATTTGTATGGATGAAATAACTGGTTAGTTCACAGATTAGCAAAAAGCAAAAACAACGTGCTTTCTTAGGTTAAGCCTCTCGATTAAGGGCCAAATGTTACATTAGCATTACTTCAGAGTGAAGATCCCATTTTTTGCATTTTTCCTTCAACACAGGATCAAAGTTAATTTAAAAAGTGGTGTACGAATAATACAAAATAACAAGGTTTTCCCTGCATTCACAGACACTTTTTACAGCTACACCAATGCAAAGGCTTTTTGATTTGGTTATTTCCATTTGGCAAATTCGGCATCTTGTCATGTACACTTTTCAAAGTTAGACATGCCTAGAAGGTAATTAAGTAAGACTTGGCTCCTCCCATAAAGCATACTTAATCAAGCGGACAGCCCCCTCCCCATCCTTCATCTGTCCCCATCAAGGTGTGGTGAAGGCCCCCTGGGCAGCAGAGGCAGCTGCTTGACGCACAGCCTGATTGGACATGAAATCGGTGGCAAACTCAGCCTGGGCCTTCTGAAAGCTGGCATCTGTTTGCCTGTACATACTGTGGATCTGGAGCAGAGAGCAGAATAGTGTGTTACCATTGAAATACGTGAAGTAATTCATTTTCATTTTCCGAACACCGATAGCAAAAAAAAAATACCCACAACCTGACGTTCAGTTTTTTTTAAGCAGTTCTTTAATGAGTATTTGATCACAAGACAAAGATTGGAGCCTCTTATGGGAAAAATAAATATATACCTTAAAAATATGCCTACATTTATGAAGCAACATTTACATAAATACAACTTTATTCACACGAGGGCATCTTTAATTGACTTAACATGTATTTTTAATCATGAGGACTGTTTATTTTATGATATAAATCTAATTATCCTGTTAATTTAAGTGGCACATTGGTTCTTCTACAATGACTTTTAATCTCTTTGGCTATACATGAGAAATAAACCAACTCGCATCTTTCTAAATATAGATGTAACTTTTGAAAGCATGCAGGTTTATGCAGCTTTTCAGTTTTTTCATGGAATAATTGTATTGACTGACACTAAAATACCACTAATGTTTTTAGATCCATTTGTTTAGTTTTTTCCCATTATTTTCTACAAACATCAACATCCCACTGAAATACATCCATACTCTTTTTGATTTTAAACCCCAAAACTAAAATTTTGACCCATTGATTAAACCAACATACAGAATAGTAAAAATATAATTGAGTTATATGACTCTTTTCTCAAAAAAGGTCACAATCATGATTTTATTCTCACAATTCTGATTTCTTTCTCAGAATTTTCAAATTATTCTTAGAAATATGTGTGTGTGTGTGGGGGGGGGGGGGGGGGGGGAGAACTTATTTTCAGTGGCCCTGATCCTCTTCTTTGGAATTTCAAAAATTTTTTAAATCAAAACAGATGCAGATTTATCCTATTTTAACTTCAAGGACCTGAGAGCTTTTTGGATCGCAGTGGCGCCACCAAGAGGTGGCCAAAGGTGGCAATGGCCACTTCTGGAAAATTGCTGGCCACCCCACTGGCCTCCAGGTAACCCCCCCCCCCTTAATAATTTGTGTTCATGTTCACACAACCCATACATTCATCTTCTTTAATCAAGACATTAATATTAAAGCCAATAAATAATTTTAGTTTAATAAAATTTGAATAATTTGTTTTAATGAATCACATTTTAACCTCCTAGGGCTGTGTCCACTTGGGAGATTGGCCCCTTTCACTACAACATTTTTTTCCCCTTCAAATTAGACCTTTTTGTTATTTACAGACACTTGATGTTGGACTTAATTTGAACACTTTTTTGTTTACTTTTATTTTTTTGGAAATTTGACAACATTTAATTTAAATTTTTATTTTATTTAAAATTTGTAATTGTGTTTCCAGTAATGAGAGTCAACTACTCTGTAACAGCACACCAAAGGTCTCAGGGGGTGAAATATTTAAATGTATGTAACTGAGGCTCAACATTTAAAAACAAATAGAAACCCTAATAGTTTTTGTGGATATTTTTTCAGCTGCTTATCCAATCCGGATAAGCGGCTGAAAATGGATGGATTTTTGTTGAAACAGAAACATGCTGATTAAACCATTTTAAAATTCTTAAACAATAACCAAAATAACTTTTTGAACTTTTGTCTTTTTTCTGAAATGTTTGTGTTTCTCATTTTTGATGCAAACGTGTTGCATGCATAGGTCTTTTTTTATTGAAAAAGAATAAAAGGCGCAAAGGAGTAAAAACTCCCAAAGTTGCAACACGGACCAATTTGATAGGCCACCTCAAAATTGCCACTGGCCCCCCTATGAAAAATTTCTGGCCGCGCCACTGTTGGACTTGTAAAGGCTGCAGGCTTCTGATGTAGGACTTACAATAGGACTGATGTGGCACATACAGCGCTAAACTGGCAACACCAGCTGTGAGTTTGCACCAAAAACTGACCTTCTTCATCAGGACCACCCCCATAGCAGCCTGAGCGGTAAGGAGGATGGAATTTAAAATCATGATGATACCAACAGCTTTACTGTTACGAAGAGCAGCCAGGCTCACAATCCAACCACTAAAGGAAAGGAGAGAGGGTAATGTAAAAGAACACAATTTAAATAGACTTGGTTTACTTGGAATGCTGCATGGAAACAATAAATACAAACATAGCAACAAAAATGTCTATTAAATAAAGAAAACCATATTTACCAACATTATTCTGACAAAAAGAGTTAGCAACAACAACAGTCTAAATCTAGTTTTTGATGTTTTATTCATCAGTCATACCTGAATCCCGATCCAGGAATGCCGATGGTCATGATGATAAAGATGCCCACTTGGACAAAGAAAATGAAGAAGAAGACGAAGAAGTTGAAGGAGCTGTCACTCCTACCAGAGGGGAGAAAATATTGCTGAATGAAGTGACCTTCTTACGTTTAATCAGCAGAGAATGAGACGGAGGTATTCACCTGAAGGCCTTGTACACGGGTCGATACCAGCAGACGAAAGAGCAGGGCGTGAAGAGGAGGGCCCAGAGGATGGCGAGGCCAAAACCAGAACCAGAAGTGCTGTCCACACAGAACAAGGCCAAGGAGGAGATCAGGTTGATGCCAAGTGTGAAGGTGCAGACTACGTGTTGGAAAAAATAACAAACATATATCAGAAACAGTTATTAAAGAGATACAGTTTTAAAAGAGAGGATGAAAACACAGATAAACTAAAACCAAGTCACTCATCTGACCCAAGAAAGAAAACTAGATGTTGCCATCAGACATTATTTATTAGCTTTTGTTGTCCTCGGGTCAGATCTCAACCAGAACAAAGTCTTTTTGATAACGATTCCTGTGCGTTTTAAACTATTTTAGTAAAAATAAATAAATAAATAAATAAATAAAAATTTACATTTATAAGGTGGGAAAAATATTTGTCATCATTATTATTCACAACTATAAAAGTATCCTCCAAAGTTGGTGCTGACGAGTGTTTGAATTAGCAATGAAACATTAGATTTGTAGAAAAAAGGACAGCGTATGACTTTAAGCACCTTCAAATGTGCTTTAAATGAAGACAAGAGAAGAAAATCTTCCTTTTAATCAATTCTAGTGATTCTTTTCCTAAAGTAAGATGGCCTCCAAGAGCTCAGCCTTGCGGTGAAGTAAGAGTTTTGTACAAATGGACTCTGGCAATGGCAGGGAGGAACAAACACCCCCTCCTAACTCTCTGAGTGAAAATCGCTTTCACTTCTGATAACACCCCCACCCCCCACCGCCGCCGAAGAGCTGCAGCATGATGCTGATGCTCCAGGAACTTTGGGACTCACACAACCAAAAGTAGTACATGAAGGTGACGATCCGCTGGAAGCGCTGACTGATCTCCACACTGATGTCCTGGTAGAAGCAGGGACCCACGGGGCAGAAGGAAGGCAGCGGGGGCCAGTTATTCTGTCGAGCTGAAGAAAGAAATAGGTGGATTTTTCAGCCTACAGTTCATTCTGATTACTGATTAATGCTGTTCTCTTCACTCCAGCTCTTACTGGCTCCGGGTCCGAGGCTGTGGGACTGCAGCTCCCGCTCTCTCCTCTCCAGCTCCTGGGCTTTCCTCTCCAGCTCCTCCTGCTTCCTCAGGAGCTCAGCTGTGGTTGCACTGACTGCAGGCTTACACAATTAAAGAGCAGACAGATGAGAGTACATTCAGATAAAGGAGAGCCACCCCAGATATATACATAGGGTTAAAAAGGTACCTATAGTCATTTGTTCTCTAGGGTATTTTATGCAGTTCATTTTATTTTGAAATCCTACCAGAAGGGGCACCTCCTGTTACTTCCTGGCCACCGACAGAAGTAAAGCGATGTATTTTAACAATTCTATGTTTAATTCTATGTTGACCCATCCCTGTGGGGAGCAGTGAGCTGCAGCGGTGGCTGCGCTCGGGAACTATTTGGTGCTTTGAATAGTTGGAATGCCAGGGGGTGGAAGCAAAAGGAAAACCAGTTTAGGCCCTGAAAATGGCTTGGGCTGGCCCTGTTGTGAGATGATGGTTATCTAATCAATATGAGGGCAGAATAATCTAATAACATCTTTAGCTGCATATTAAAACCTATTCCAGAAGGATGAACACTTGTTGACCTCAACTTTGCGGCAAAAATACCTGGGAGTTATAGGAGCCATAGTTGCGGGGCTCGGTGGGGGTGGTTCTGCTAGGCGGTGTTAGTGCAGGTGGAGGTGGAGGTGGAGAAGAGGATTCATACGGAGGCGGTGGCTGTAAAACGGTTCAGTTGAAAAACATTAATTAGTTTAATGAATGACCTGAAACAAAAATAAATTAAGGAATTCATTAACATTTGGGGATGAAAATGAACGAGAAAGCTACAAACGTTTGTGGAGAATTCCATTAGGAGTCATTTCACAAATTCAAATAAGAAAAATGTATTTTCACATAAATATTATGGTATTTCTGTCTGGTTACACAAAAAAACCTGACTAAACCCGATTATGTTAAATAAATTATTATTTATACACTTATGGACTAAATTCTTGTTTTGGTTTTAAGTATTTAAAACAAAAAACACTTATAAAACACTAGCAAGCATTTTTTCTGTTTTATTAAAAATCGTCTTTCTGTCCAACATCACAGGTTCTGTAACACATTTTTTCTCCTCCTGTGTGATTTTGACACCTAACTGTGAAACGTAGCAGTTCAAGACAAGCACTAACACCAAACCAGCACCCGTGTGGATCCTTATGTCAAAGCAAGATTAAATATGAACTAAAAACAAAGTCGTGCATTGAGCATTGTGCTTCAGATCCACAAAGACCTAGTTTGTGTTGCTGCAGCTTTCACTAATAAACAGGCAGGAAAGACATGATGTGGACCTGAACTGTTTCCTAGCAACAAAAACCCTAAACTCAGTCACATGAAAGTGAGATGTGTGGCATGTTTTTTGAATCATTTTTGAAGAAATGCTTTGTGGTGCCAATTATTCATTTTTAAAATAAATCAGAAAACATATTAAAGGGTTCTATTTCATCTAGTCTTAGCCCTTAAGCTAGCTGCTATTGGAAGGGTGATCTCAGCATTAGCCAATCATGAAGAGCTTAAATGTACACCCACCAATGGTGGGCACCCCTGTGGGTATATAAGTGGTGCGACTCCACTGTTCGCCTCCGTTATCTCTTCAAGCCAAGCTTAAGAGCTTTCATTAAAGAGCAATTATCCAAGAGCATTAGGCCCTGTCCACACGTAGCCGGGGATCTGCCAAAACGTAGATATTTTTCTACGTTTTGGCCTGTCATCCACACGAAAACGGATCTTTTTAAAAACTCCGGCCAAAGTGAAGATCTGTGTTTTCTCCGTTTTGGGTGTCTGCGTTTGGACAGACAAAACCGGAGTTTTAGGGTCCACAACGTCACTTTCCGCGACAAAAAAATGCTGACATCACGTGTGCGACCTGTGTTTACACTAGCCGACAGCATGGATGCCCTCAGAGCTGCGCTCGCTTTATCAATTGTCCAAGCGCTTCTTACTCATTTGTTTTTGCAAGCGGAATTACTGCTCCTTGCAGAAGACCACAAACGAAGGACGAGGTTAAGAACGGGGGAAGTACTTCCGCCTACAGGTCTGGCATGTCCTTAACAACGTATTTATCCGGGTACGTGTGGACAGAGTTTTTTTTTTAAACGAGGTGGTGTGGATGCAAGTTTTTGGAGGGGCGGATATTCGTTTTTAAAAAAACCCGGCTACATGTGGACTAGGCCTAAGTCTATTCACTGACCATGTCCAGCAACGTCAGGACCTGCCTGGCCTGCCAGATGGGCTGCATCTCCAGCGGCGACCTGCACGTCAAATGTGAGGTCTGTCTCGGGGCTCATCACGCTGGCCTGGCCTTGACCCCCCAGGCCTCGTGCCCGTTTTGTGCCGCTCTGCCCGTGGCTGAAAAGACCAGCCGGGTTGAGTACTTCACCTCTGCCGCCGAGGAATTTCCAGTGGCTGACACGTACTCGCTGGACAAGGCATTACAGTTTTTCAACGTCGGCCAGGAGCCGGCTGGCTCCAACCGACTGGACGATGACATCAACCGTGAGGAGTACGAGGAGGCTGGCTGCCATAGCCCTTCTTCCCTCCTGGACAACATGGAGGTCAACGAGCCTCCCTCAGCAGGTTCCTCTGCTCCTTCTCGCTGCTCCCTGCCAGCAGTTAGAGCACTGTTCCAGGAGCTACCTGCCATCATCTCCGCGGCTGCGGTCCGCAAAGGGCTAGCCGTGCCAGAACCGACTCCGCCTGAAACAGATGATTTGGCGGGAATTTTCGGGGCAACACACACGCTGTCCAGACCCCATCTGGCCGTGCTTCCCCGCTGCCATGAGCTGCTGGTCCGCCGCCTTCTCCATGCCTGCTAAGCTCAAAGCACCAATTTCCACATATGCGCCCATTACCAAAGTCGAGGGCTTCTCCGACCAGGGCTGGCCATCCGTTCCTCCACTGGAGCCGGACCTGGCCTCATTGTTTGGCGCGAAGAACCACCTCGCTGGCCAGTGAGCAGTTCCCGCTTCTAAGCATGACCATCTGCTGGCGCGGCTCACCGATCGCGCACACCAGTGTGCCTTCCAGACCGGCGCTGCAGGAAATAACATCGCCCTTCTTGCCTTTGGCGCCTCCAAAATGGTGGTGGAGCTTGACGCTCCTGACGAGTCAAAAACCATCATTACTAAAACTGCTGATGCCATTCTCAATCTGTGTGCTGCTGTACTCAATGGTTCTGCTTGCATTGCTGCCTGGCAGACCCTTATCCAGCGGGCCTTGTGACTCAAGGCCCTGCCCTCCATTCCCGAACACCTGCACAGGGAGATGCTGGAAGGCCCCATCACCTCTGACGTTCTGTTTGGTCCCCATTTTTGGGAGTGCCATCGAGAGGGCTCAGAAGACAGCACAACGGTCAGCCACGGTTCGAGACCTGGTCCACCCCCGGTCTACCTCTCACTCAGGCCGTTCCTCCAGAGGATGGGATGAACGGCGCGGAAACTACAGACGCCCAGCTGCACCGCCCGCCCCGCGGAGCTGGCCTCCCGCTTCGGTTCCACCTCAGCAGGATCAGAGAGTTGGCAGCCAACTGTTTCGAAAGGGCCAGCAGACACTGTCTTGGCCGTCACAGTCGCAAGAACCTCGCCGAAAGCAACCATGAAAATGACTCGTTGGGGGGATGTGTGTGTTTATGACTGTAATGTTAACTCTGATTTTGGTTTTGAAATAAAACCCAAAAAATGTCACATTGAGAGCACAATCCTACAGTCCTCTGCAGAATCTTCTGCGGAATCCTCACACGTTCCCCACACCAAGCACTACGACACACCTGCATGTTCACGCAGTCAATCATATGACACATCCACAGCCAGCTGTAAGGGTGTGCTCCATTTGCGCACCGGCCCTAGCTTCCTGCCAAGCCCAACGCATCCTGCTCCCCCCACAACGTAGGGTGGCACGGGATGTCATGGCGCTATCGCGACCATGCGCAGCTCCATCCACTGGCACTTTGTCGTCCCCGTGCACGAGTCCGGCTCCCACTCGTCCTTCATCTTTGGACACCACGCTCCGCGGTGCGGATCAGCCTTTCCAGCCCCTCGAGCGCAACCCTCCATGGGTCGCTCCCAGTTCTCTGGTGCGAGCGACGGCGGTAAGGGCGCAAACCCAGTCCTCAGATGTCATTCACGTGACCTCGAATATGCGTCCGCTGTTGGAACGCGCACAAGAATGGCGCCGCCTTTGTCTCATGAGCAAATGGATATTGGACACCATTCAGTACGGTCACCACACCTTTTAAGACCACGCACCTTCATAGGAAGACATTGGTTTCTTCCACTATAGGGCGGCTGCTCTTTTCAACTTAGACAAATTTTTATTATTAAAGACCCTCAATTATGATTTTTTATTTATTTCGGCATTTAACTTTATTTAATTAAGGAAATGTGTCCACATTCTTTTATTTAATGAATAAGCAAGTATCAGGATCTCAGACTGCGTTTATCACAATCGTCACTCTCATGCGCCTGTCTGCTTCAAGAGCTATCAATAAAAACCTTTCTGATTCTGGTCATTCATGGAACATGTTATTCAAACAAGAATAAGCCCATCAAGATAAACATTGAAACAGAATGACAAGTTTCTATTTAAAAGTGTGTTTTATACGTCACTTACCCCGGCCGGTTTGTCAAATGGGTTATACAGGTCTAGGGTGGCATATCCTGTGTTGTTGCTATGCTGAGTCACTGCAGGGTCCTAGACAAAGAAATGCAGTATTGTTCAGTTAGTGGTAGTAAACAATAGTAACATTCATTTAGCAAGCAGCCAAAAGTGTCAAAACTGAGTTCATTTATATTGTCAGTAAATGCCACAAGTGGGTTTGTTGTGTAAAATTGATGTGACTAAAATAAATAATGCCCATCTTCTACGTATTTTTGACTGGGCCTGAAATCAGTCCTGAAAGGGAATTTGTTCTTTTATGTTTCATTTGTTTTGTGTATTTATTTATTTTGTTGAATAATTTATTTTCTTGTTTAGACCCAAACTTGCTTTGTTTTCATAGAATAAATAATGACATAAAATGTTTAAATGGATATTGTGTTATTTTGTTGGAGATTTTCAGTCATTTCAATGAGGGGGTCCAGCACTGCCACCCTGCATCGCCCCCGATGATCGCCCCCTCCTGTACAACTTCCTAGATCCGCCTCTGTAAGTTTATTTCTATCACATCGGACATGTTGGTTGGTACAAGTCACCCACCTGAAAGGGATTCTGGTCCTCCGTCGGTTCGGGAAAGCTTGTGTATTGTGACATGTCGGTGGAAGTTCCCAGGAGACCACCACTAACAGAGAAGCAGATGTTAGCTTACTTCTAACAAACAGACAGTTTCTGGTTCAGAAATCGAACAGGGCGGCTGCTGTTTGCAGTACGCTAGCTAAAAGTAGCTCCCGCTGCTCGGTGCTCATCCCTCCACGGTCAAAATAACGCAGCGACTGAACAAACCCACCTTTTCTGTCAGCACTGAAGGCCAAAAATCTAGTCAGAAGTCTATGAAGCCACCCGCAAAGCAGAAGAGATTTATTATTTTTCTCGTGGAACAGGAAGTGTCAATGAGGAGGCAACCACGTGACTTTTGCTGCAGCTCAAAGTCACGTGAGAAAAGAATCAAGGGATGGGAGGGATGTGGTCATCAGTTTCTCCTAAATATTAAAGGATGTTTTTTTTTAAACTGCTTTTACTTATGAAATAGTTTTGGCTTTGTGCAAGCGGTTACAAGCCACGAAGCCCATAAGGGAACATGTAAGGTAATAGTGTTAATGTAGTAAATAGTAAACAAATAAATTACTTTTTAAGGTTTTTTTTACTGTGCCCTTATATTGCAAAAAATGATGTTTCCTCATGTTTGAATTTACAATTGTTTCTGCAAGATTTGCATTTAAAAAACGTTCTTATCACATAATGTGTTTTACACAGATCTTTCAAAAGTGCTTTTACTAAAGGTTCTGGTTGTGGGAAATGCAATGATCTTTTTAATGATCACCCTAACAAAAAATACAACTACGAAAGTTTTAACATCTTACTCCAGGTTACATCATAAAAGAAAATGTCTGCTTAGAGCTTTTATACGACAGTGTTACATGAAGCTCATTTGTCCCGTTACAACAGATGTGTCCAACCCTGGTGGTCCTCCAGAGCCCCTATCCGACAAGTTTTAGTTGCACCTGCTCCAACACACCTGATCAATTACTCACAAATTAAAATCAGGTGTGGTGAAGCTGAGAAACCTTTAAAATATGTTGGCTGCCTTATGCCAATGTAACAAATTTAGAGGACACCTCAGATCCTGATGACAAGAAGGTAATTAAAACTTTGTCCAGCAGATGTCCCACTTTTTCATTTTGGGATCTTCAAAAATAAAAAATGAAAACTGTTTTTCTAGAAAATGCAATTGTGTGAAGCTCAGCAAGAACACCTTAGTGTTTTAGTGTTTTATTGAAAATATGGGTATCAACAAAAACCTCTAACATAGTCACAGGAAATTTTAACATTTCACCATACTGGTACAAGTCTATAAATAGTTTTAAGTGTATAAATTTGACAGTAAATGTAAATTATTGCGCACGTGTCTCCTCTGAACACAACTCGTTTGCAGCTTTAAGTTTCTCATCTGTGACCCCAGAGCTGCAGGTTAAACAGAAGATGGATAGATTTACATCTTTACCTTTACCAGTTTACGCACATTTCAAAATCCGGTCTGGTCCCTTTTCATTCTCTTCCCCTACAAGTCACATGGGGTCACATGGGTGAGGACAGTCATGAGTTTTCATCAAAAACACACCAAACTGCTAAACCTTCTGACCTGTTCATCAGTTTTCTCTTACAGGTCATATCCTAAATCGGGGTCAAATTAAGGCATCACAGAAGACAAATAGCTTGTTTTCCATGGGTTTAATTTAATAAAAATGAATTTTTAGATGTGTAATGCTGGTGTGACAATTAAATCCTTCTGGAGACATTGGTTTGTCTTCCATAAAATGTACCCAACAATTATCAAACAAATATATTGCTGAAAATGTCCTTTGTTCTATAAAATAATTTATTTTGATAACTCTTTATCTGTTTTTACGATGAACCACAAGGACGCAAAAGCCAGCTTGAGCCGTCTTCATAAACTTCTGCTTTGTTTGTCTTTATGGTCTCAATTAGTAGCTTTTGTCTGACTCCCGTGACTCATCGTTTTCTTTTATTGTGCCTTTTAAAGATCTGTCCAGATGGCCTAAAATTAAACTGGAATCAAGTGCCTCTGTGGTCCTAAAACCGCAGCATTCCTCCTCAGCCAATCGAGCATCTTCATGCTCCATGGCATCACTGCTTGAGGAATGAACTGGCATAACAGTTGTGTGCGGAAAATGAGCCACCTCAATGGGAACAGTCATACTCTGCTCAAATGAGGCTTACAACCATTTGTCAAAGAGGTAATTAAGGTAGAATCTTGCATCCTGTGTGTTTGAATGTGAACGAAAGTGTGCAAAAGTGATTTTCTTATTGCGCAAAGAGGAGGAAACATTCAAAACCCTTCCTGAAAGCAAAAGGGAGCTGTGGTTTTGAAACTTACACAATGACATGGATTTCTGTAAGGCCACAAAACATGCCCTCTGGTGACAAGACTAGCACGTTCAGCTCTGTGCAAAAGTTACGAGTTACGCCTTGTTTTTCCTCAAATATTTTTGCAAGGAAGGAGCCAGACTTTCTTGTAATCTTTAAAAATGATCTGAAACAGTTCACGAGACTTTTGATGATCTTTGAGTGTATTTTCTGGCTGTTTTCCCATTTATTTTTCAGTCTACTTGTTGGCATTCTAGTTCCTTAAGATTGTCTAGAGAATATGTTTTGTTTCATGTATAGTTGTGTTGTATCATATCTTATGGTATTGTATCATATCATACCATATATCGTCATATTGTATCATATTCTTCCATATCACTTTGTGCTAAATTGGTGTATCGTATCACATCGATACGAGTGTTGCGTCACATCATATCGTACTGAATTATTTTGTACTGTATTTCATCACATTGCATTGTATTGTATTACACTGTGTCATTTTCTATCATGTCAAATCGTATTGTATCACTTTGTGTTGTATTGTATCGTGTCATGTTGTATCATGTCATGCTGTATTGCATTATGTCATTCAATGTCGTCACATATAATTTGGTGTTATATTGTATAAGCCTAAGGTTATCATGTGATTCCTACTTTTAAAAAAATTGTTCAGTATTCTTTTGCATTTTCACTTTTTCTGCCTCATAACTTGACTTAAACTAAATCACATATTAAAGCAACAATCTGGAGTATTTTATATCTGACAGCACCATCTAGTGGTTAGACAACTGAACTGCTAATAATCCAAAATTCCTTTTCAGTATGGTTGCCAAACTTACACAGAATTATAGCTCTGAACCATCTATTCCCTTAGCCCTCAGCAGCAACGACTTTATGGGATTTTTCACAGGTAAAATTAATTCTATTAGAAGCAAAATCATTAGCATCCTCACTAATGAGATTTCTTCTTCCTCAGTAAGTGAGGCAGCATCAGAGGTAACTGAAGAACCTCATCTGTGTTTGAACCATTTTGATTCAGTTGAGCTTTCAGAGTTATAAAAAATATTAGCTTCTTCTAAATCTTCAACTTGCATTTTAGATTCAGTCCCAACCAAATTATATATATATAAAATTATATAAATATAAATAAATATAAATATATATATAAATTTTATATATATATATATATATATATATATATATATATATATATATATATATATATATATATATATATATACATATATATATATCAGGGTTAATGGATAGATATAACTGAGTATCGTCAGCATAACAGTGAGAGTTTATCCCAAAGACTTACCTGTCCATGAGAAAGGACAGACTCCGGCATGTGTCTAGAAATATCCTCAAAGGCTGGCAAATACTCTTTGATTGACAGCTGTATGTATGCTGATGTCTAATTTTATTGGTCAATGCTGAATGGAGCTCAGTTCAAATTACTTGGGGCTATACAAGAAGGGCTTAGCAAAAATAAAGAAAATGACGTATTGCACTTATTATATCACTTTTACAAATAAAAAAAATCATACATAAATCTTGAAAGGGGAAAACTCCGGATTGCAGCTTTAACATAAATTTATTTTACATGGATCTTTTTTTTTATAAACAGATATTTTTGAGAGCATTGAGTGTGAGCTCTATCTGCTTGCTCAGCACTGTATTAAAACTGGGAAGCAGACCAGACAAATGCTGGCCTGTATGCCGTTTGAAAACCTGGAAAAACCATCATCGCCCATGAACCGTGGAAGCACTCTAACTAGGAAGGGCCTAACAGGCCCAGTGGTTCGCTTTTCATGGTAACAGCCACAAACTGAGCAAGGGTGTTATTTTTTTGTTGGTTAAAATCAATAATTCGAAAAGATGGCCTGGCATTCTTCATACCGGTGTGAAAAATCTGAGTGGAGTGAAAAAGATTTCTTAACTTCTCCTGATGCTTTGAAATCCTGTTCTCATGGTCAAACTCTCCGTTTCTCTTACTCATTTTCCTTTCCACTCCCTTTTTCCCTCTTGTCCATGCCAAGTGTCTCTCATTACGGAGTCCAGAAAACATGAACCGTCTTGGGGAGTTTTTTTTTTAAAGTAATAAACCACATATTGTAGTGAGCTTTGATGACAGAGATCACTCAGAGGACAAGAAATTGTACTGGAAATGGAACATTTTTAAAGGAAAGGGTGTGGAGAATGAGACTGACAGACATTTGCAAAAAGCAACTAATAATTTCCAAAAAGAAGCTTGGGAAGAAACAAGCAAACAGGATTTCATATAAAATTGTTTATTATAATCTTAAAAAATAAGATACATACTGCTGAAAGAGATTTATACGGAATGTAAAATTTGACTAAATCAGTCATCTAGAGTGAAACTGATGACTAAGGCAGCTTGCTCCCTGCAGAGTTCACCGTTTGAGAAAGACCAATCAGTTCTTGGTAGGAGCATGAAGATGACGAAAGCAAACCAAGTCAATGTAAGCCATGCAAAAAGTACTGTGTAACGGTACAATGAAACATACGTCCTCATTCCCTCTCATAAACCCTGGTGCAGACCACATCCCCAGCAGTCATTGTCTGAAAGAAAACAGCAACAACAAGAAAAAGAACGGACTTAACTTTTGGAACCACTTTGCGACGGGACTTCCTTTACAGAAAGTTTTAAAACTGTAAACAAGCATTTAACAATCATGTGCAACACTTTAGTAGAGAATGATGAAAACATTGTTTGGGTTTAATATGAGAAGGAACAGTTAGGGACACTTAGTAGAGCGGTGTCAGATGCGTCTGTTTCAGGAAGTACAAGTCAGCTGGGGGAGAAAGTAGCTCCAGATGCAGGATTTGGACTCTTATTTCCTGATATTTGGACATCTAACCTCTGATTGGCTACTAACTACACAACTCTACCACTGACTCCATTTGCTTTGCAAAGTTGATGTTTTATCTCCACAAACAACAAAAGCCAGGAGGACTTCTGCTGTGTTGTGGAGTTACTAAGGATAATAGCTTTTACTAGCCTAGATTTTCTCTGCTGTCTCCTGGATGCTAAGTAAACAACAGCCTTCCCCATCGCGAGCCAAAATGGGCAACGCCACGAATGTTAAGTGACAGTGTGTAGATCTGTCAGGCTTTTCAAATCCTAGCTTTTTACCATCTATTTTACATCAGAAGCTAATGCAGGAGATAGGTAGCCTGGCAAGCCAGACTAAATAAATGTATTATTTAGTCTGGCAACGCTCCATTGACGGCTCTCGGTTGTGGGGCGGGTTCTACCGTTGTCTTTCAAATGATCTCCGCATTCCACTGGACAATGTGTGTGACATACTCTTGTTTCACTCTGTTGCATCATCCCACCCACCAGGCTTATAGAGTGCCCTGATTGGCCCACAAAGTGGATAAAGCTTTGTGATTTGTTCACTAAGCAGATAGAGCACTATGATTTGCCCACCATTATGGACCAATCACAGCTCTTTATGTGTTTGAAACCCCTCTAGAGAGCTGTGATTGGCTAGCCAGAGTCCTGGTAGGAGCTGCTGAGGTTCCAATGGAGCATGCCTAGACCATTCATTGCAAAGCAAGAATTTGGTCTAGTTCACTAGGCTAGGAGATAGGTGTAGGAGACTATTTTCATGCTCAGCCGGCATGTTAAACTCAGAGTGACTGATTATAGTCAGAAATAATAATTTAATGAAGTTTTTTTTAGTGAACCACACCTTAAAGATGGCAGCAATCCACTTGTGCCGAAATGGCAAAAAGAGCTCTTTAAATAAATAATTTAATTGGGCTATTCCCCTCAAACAGCAATTTAGCATGCTAAGAACTGAGCATGGTGCTTGTTATGTACCAAAGGGGTTCAAAGCTCTTTGTAAGTGAGAGTTTTTTATTACCTGGGAATTCATTAACCCTCTCAGGCTCAAAATAAGTTTTAATAAAAGGACGAACAACTAAATCCTTCAGGGGTACTTCTGAGTTAAAAAATGCTCAAGAAATAGGTGTGTGGTAGGTAGGTTTTAACGTTGCAAACAGTATTTCATGTAAAATTGTTTATTATTATCTTAAAAAAGAAGATACATACTGCTGAAAGAGATTTATACGGAATGTAAAACTTGGCTAAATCAATCATCTAGAGTGAAACTGATGACTAATGGGCTCGACACACGGGAGGCGACAAACGACCGCGATCAGCGAAATTTGTCTCTGTCGCTTTTATTACCTGACACACGGGAGGCGATCCGCGGCAGCGGCCAGCGGCAAAACCGTCTAGGCGTTCTGTTCCATGGCGAAATCGAAAATTCCGATGTTTTGTTTGGCTGTGTCAGGTTGGAGGGAATTAAGGTTATTTAAGCGGTTCAGAGTTAAAAAAGCGGTAGATATGATGTTTCACTAAGTGCTGCTAGAGTTATGTGAAATCTTACTCCTGATTTTACTATATAAAACATAATAATCAACTTCTCCATGTTTGCTCATTGGTCAGTGAATGAAACCTCCGTTGATTGGTCCTCGTCCGAGCGACAGCGATGAAAAGTTGAAAATGTTTCAAATTTCTGGGATTGCGTCGCTGGGTCGCCTGTGCACGACACGTGCACGAGCGCAAAATTTCACACGCACGTTTTTCGCGTTTCGCTTGGTAGGAGGGAGACCCGCGATTATCGCTTTGTCGCGCATGTCTCATTGAAAATGAATGGAGGAGAGGCGATGTCGCCTCCCGTGTGTCGAGCCCATAAGGCAGCTTGCTCCCTGCAGAGTTCACCTTTGAGAAAGACCAATCAGTTCTTGGTAGGAGCATGAAGATGAAGAAAGCAAACCAAGTCAATGTAAGCCATGCAAAAAGAAGTACTGTGTAACGGTACAATGAAACATACGTCCTCATTCCCTCTCATAAACCCTGGTGCAGACCACATCCCCAGCAGTCATTGTCTGAAAGAAAACAGCAACAACAAGAAAAAGAACAGACTTAACTTTTGGAACCACTTTGCGACGGGACTTCCTTTACAGAAAGTTTTAAAACTGTAAGATTTATCCGGAATGTAAAATCTGCAACGCCTGCCTCCAGAGGGTTAAAATAATAAAGACAAGGTGTTTCATTTGCAGTAAGCATTACGCCCTTGGGAACCCTAAATTTTAAAGACTCGAACAAAAAAAGTTTTCTAGAAACATAAGACCCTACGCAACCAGAAATGTGGAAACATTACACTGTAATTCCTAAAGTTGTCCTAAGGTTGTGTTAATGCATTCTACAGAATGATTACCAGTATGAGCTCTCCATTGGTGGTCAGTTCTCGGGTCCAGGATGTCTTTGGCCCGTCACCTTTCAGTAAAGTCTGTTCACAGCTGATCTTTTGATCCGTTTCCCACTTTGGAAAACTCTACAAGGATTCAAATGAAAAGAACAATCTGCATTACTGAAGTGATTTTCAAACTTAATTTTTTATCAAAGTTAAGATATGGTTGTAACTGGAGTTCTGACTGCCAATAGCTAGTACGTGAGAAAAACTTTATGGCCTGTCATGAACCATGAACATCACTTGTTCAGCACGAAGAAATGTAAAACAGATCTCTGTGTTATGACTCTGGAGTTGCACTAAAATCATTCCCATATGTTGCCTTTGTGCAGAACTGTGTCCAGTTACACTGTTCTTGGATAAACTGTGGTATGCATGTCGTAACGTCACAAAGAAATGAGGACAAAGAAAGGTCGTGTACCGTGCAGGGCCGGCCGTCCACGGTGGTCTCGTCGAACGACTGACCCACAGTGAAGGACACATGGGTAGTGCGAACGCTGGTGGATGTCTTTATGGAGAGCATTTCTTCTTGCTGAGTGATTTCTACAGTCGGACTGGAAGCAGCCGCCACTGCAATCTTCCTTAGGAACACGTTCACACCTAACGATTCACAAACACTGAAGTCAAACTGGCAGCTGTGGAAAGATGATCTGCAGCGAGTGGAATGAATGTAATCACAGCTGTGTATGCCACGCCAGTGGTTTGGAGTTTTATTTTGGTAGGCAGTCCATCATGGTGAATCTTTCACTACCTTTAGTTAGTTGAAAGTTATACAGGTAAAAAAAAGAAAGCACTGTATGGTAATTCGGCCGCGATCGATGAATGGCTGGAATTTTCTGTCTTGCTTGAGGCTCATTGCACTTAAGTCAACAGAAGCTACAATCTTCAGTTCATCTTTTAAGTTTCGTCGTTCCCTTAACAACAAGCCTTTTTAACATTTTCTGCTTCGTGGTGTACACGTTTGATGAAAAAAAGAGCAACAATAACAACAGTGAGTCATGTTTGGAAGTCTAAATGAACCTAAACCCAAGAATGTTAATCTAAAGAACACATGCATGCTTCAGAGAAGGCTTGTTGACCCATAACATTTGTGCTTAATGAAACACAGCACAAACAACCGGTGTGGTCCCTAGAAACCACTAATTACAGAGACTGTTAAACTTGTACTTTGCCTCAAAATTAACCCAAAACCTCCTCTGAAGATGGTAAAATTCTTAATTCCTGTAACTAAGCATCATTTAAACAATGGGTGTAAGTTTTAACATAGTCATAAACTACTTTTTGGTTTTGTTTTGACAGCCACGAAGAAATGTGTGCGTGGTCAAGAACATTAAAAGAAAACCTCAAAGTTGTTTATACTTTCCTGTTTGAAATTTCTAGTAAAGTCGTTTAAAGCCATAAACCGCGATTAGTTCTTTAACCCTCCCACTGTTCTAATGGGTGTGACTCCGCGAGGAAAGTTGACCATTGAGCAGGGTTGATGGTTTATCCCTTGGGTCCATGTGGCAGGGGTGAGGATTGAGCACCACCTCACCCCTGCCACATGGACCTCAAGGACCATCATTCCTGCTCAATGGTCAACCTTCCTCGCGGGGTTACCCATAAAGACAGTGGGAGGGTTAAATGTCATTTCTGATGGTTTACAGCAGTGGCTCTCAAACTGGGGCACCTGGGCTCCCAGCGGTCTGCGAGCCATAATTTGGGGTTCCATGAAACATATGTAGTGGGACGTAAAGACACACTGTGTTTGCGTACTCAGGGTAGCGCTAATTCATACAGTTGACATAATCTAAAGTCCGTCCGCTTCACCAAGTATGGTAAAAATGGTAAATGGTGCCTTCTTAGGGTTCTATAACACCCCAAGGCGCTTCGCAACACAATCAGTCATCCACCCATTCACACACACATTCACACGCTGGTGATGAAAAGCTACGATGTAGCCACAGCTCTCCTGGGTGCACTGAGGGAAGTGAGACTGCCAAACACTGGTGCCACCGGTCCCTCCGACCATCACGAGCCAGCAAGGTGGGTTAAGTGTCCCAAGGCCCAAGGACACAACAGCAGCTTTCTCTGGTGGAAGCCAGGATCGAACCTACAACTTTCCAATTGCTGGACAACCCGCTCTACCTCCTGCGCTACTGCTGCCTAATGCAAAAACCAAACCAGCTGAAATTAGTTTCATCGAAAACAACAATGAAAAAGACAAAGCATGAAGCATGAAACTGGCCGGGTTAAGGAGACATCTCAACAAAGCAACCTTGATGAGTTTTTCCAGCATACGGGTGGGGATTACACGACCCTGGCTACAACATATAGGAAGGTCCTTGGAAAACATTACCCCCTAAAAAGAGCCTCTTGACCCAAAATGTTTGTTAACTCCTGGTCTACAGAGACACAGTCCTCCCTGCATCAACTTTGATCATAATTTTAGTTCCTAGATTTTTTGTAAGCCTCTGAACCTTATCAACCAGTTATTCTCACCTGCACCAGTTCGATTATCTCCACCTGTGCTACTCAAAAGCTTCCAAGCAGCTCACAAGCCTGCTCTGGTTCCAATTTGTACACAGCCAAACCAAAACAAGTCAGTCTGTCAAGCCAAGGCTGTGTTGTTAAAGACCAAGTTCTCTGAGACACTTTTTTTTTACTTGTCATTTTTTAAATATGATTGATCACTTTAAGTTCAATACGTAAGCTGAAAGTGAAAATACTCTTCTACCACTATTTCCTGCTTTAGTCAATGATAGAAGATAGATGGGGAAGCGTTCGGATTTGAAAAGCCACGCAGATTTATGTCACACAGAAAATTAGCCTTTATAGACTCATCCACCTTGGCTCGCAACGAGGAAAACTGTTGTTAATTTAGCCTCCAGGAAACAGCAGAGAACGTCTCAACTAGTAGAAGATAACCATTGGCATTAGCAACTCCACAACATGGTGGAACACATTCAGGCTTGTGTTATTTGTGGAGATAAAACATCAACATGCAAAGCAAATGGAGTCAGTGGTAGAATCTCCTTGGTGTTAGCCAATCAGAGGTAAGATGCTCCATAGAAGCCTGAGAAGGTCTAGCATTGGCCTGAGTAGTGTTGTGTTATGCCAATCACAGCGCTCTATTGTGGTAGGTGGCATGGTACAACACAGAAGAACAACTTAGATGGAAGCGGCTCATTTGAATCGGCTTTGGCATCCACTTTGGACTATTCAGACTCGAGCTTTTCTTTGAGTCAAGATTAGATATAGGTACTTGAGTCCTTTATTTAGAAAAATTATGTATTTTTGTCTTCTTTGACAGAGTATGGTGGACTGCCAGGTTGACTGACATCCGTAGTGGTGAGTATATCACGTTGTTCATCGTCTAATGGCATTTAGACAGTTTGAAAGACAACTGTAGTTTCCACCCCACGACTGAGATCTGTTTATGGGTAATAGTGAGACTGTCTATACATATTTAGAATGGCTTGCCAGGGTAGAGATATCTGAATGTCAAGAAATAATAATGAGTAAGGCCCAGTCCCAATACTCGTACTTTCAACTTTGTGCCCCTCAATTCCCCGTGGGTGTCCCAAATCCCAAGTGTGGACCTTGGCCCCGCTCTTTTTGCAATCCTTGATCTGCACTTTGCTGATAACAATTATGGGAGTGGATGGTGAGTTTAAAAGGCTAATAATATAAAAGAAGTTAGCATAAAATGTCAATTCTCCCATCATTTTGTGATCTTGCAAATCCAACTATACGGAGCCGCTCGGCGTCTGACACACTCCTAGTATGAACTGATGCGCTGTGGAGCTTATATGGGTGTGTGTGGGTAGACTAAGGCCTAGTCCACACGTAGCCGGGGTTTTTTAAAAACAAATATCCGCCCCTCCAAAAACTTGCATCCACACCACCGCGTTTTAAAAATAAACTCTGTCCACACGTCCCCGGATAAATACGTTGTTAAGGACATGCCAGACCTGTAGGCGGCAGTACTTCCCCCGTTCTTAACCTCGTCCTTCGTCTGTGGTCTTCTGCAAGGAGCAGTAATTCCGCTTGCAAAAACAAACAAGCAAAAAGCGCTTGGACAATTGATGGATCGGGTAGTGACAGAGCGCAGCTCTGAGGGCATCCATGCTGTCGGCTAGTGTAAACACAGGTCGCACACGTGATGTCAGCATTTATTTGTCGCGGAAAGTGACGTTGCGGACCTTAAAACTCCGGTTATGTCTGTCCACACGCAGACACCCAAAACGGAGAAAACGCAGATCTTCACTTTGGCCGGAGTTTTTAAAAAGATTCGTTTTCGTGTGAAAAAACTCCGTTTTCGTGTGGATGACAGGCCAAAACGTAGAAAAATATCTACGTTTTGACAGATCCCCGGCTACGTGTGGACAGGGCCTAAGCCTAAGACTCCAAATCCTGCCGTCTTCTGCTCCCCTTTGCTCCGGCTTAACTCTACTTCCTGAAACAGGAGCGTGAATGTTATTTTCTGACAGAGATCAACTCACAAGACTTTCATTTACACTAGAGACCACTGCTAATATATAAAAACAAGTGAATTTGATCTTTAACTCCAGTCATGTCACAACCTGTTTTACAAACACCACCTTGAACCAAATCTAGAGTTCTTTCCCTCTTTAACCCTGAAGCACCAGGACAGGACCTCTAGATGTGCAGAAAGACAAAGTTCTACAGAAATGTTTAGCCAAAGGAAATAGCTACCGACTGAATAAATAACTCACGTGATTAGGCCAAGAAAGTTCAGACGTATGATTTAGTTCAGACCATATTTGCTCATGCTGTGATGCTTTGAGAAAGAAACACACACACACACACACACACACACACACACACACACTAAAAGAGAGAGTTCTCCAGATTGCCCTGGGCACTGGAGAGCTGGTGAAGGAAAGTCAGACTCAGAGTTGGCTGGCTGCTGGGGCCCATGTCGAGGCTTAGTTCAGTTTACATTGGCTGTAATTACAACCGTATGAGAAGGACGCTGCTTTAGATGAGTCTAATCGAACGTTTATCCACAGGCTATTTGTCTTTAGATTATTTAGGGATGCCACTGGATGGCCTTTGCTCGACCCCTTATTCCTAAAATAATGACCTAAACCTGAGTTTTAAGACACTTTGTGCTGCTAAAGAAGAACAAAGCAGCAAAACGGAAAAACAATTCTTGGTTTACCTAAAAGAAAATGTGGATTTTCACTTAATAATCTCTTGACACAATGAGAAAAGGTAGGAGTCTATTCCTTCTTTTGGTGTTTTCTGTTGTTTTTAAAATTTAAATAATGATACAAATTGCACACATCAGAAGTCATTTTGGGACTCGGTGTAAAAAAGAAAACCAATTAATCATCTAAGCTGGCTTAGTCTAGTGCATTCCACTCACAACTCTAATGAAATCATTTATTTCAATGCAGCTGCAACAGATTATTAGACATTTTGTTCATGAATGAGATAACAGCATTCAACATTTTCCAAACTCTAATTTGCATGGGTGGGTTTGACTGGTAGTTGATCAAAAAGAACCTAACAATTCCCAAACTCACCCAGCGCTTTCAAAAGTTCCTCAAAGTTTTCAGAAGACTTCATTTTCCATTTTCCACAGAAGTTTGTCATTTTATTCTCCATTTTTGTCTGATGCAGATTAGCAGTGGATTCTGATTGTAATCCCTCTGGTCGGAATGTGTCCGTCCCAGTTTGCAGAGCCGTCTTCTCTGCTTGCATCTGCAGCTCGGCTCATTGGCTGACAGCGCGCCCGAATCTGATGATGCTCCAGGGGCCGGAGGCAAGGCGGGACTTTCCGCCACCCCCACCACCCCAGCTCTGGCAGGGGGGTGAAAGATTTGGATGCCAGCTGGAGAATGTGCTTCCAGTTAGACTTAGATGTTGTTGAGCAGCCAGCTGAAGGAAATAAAAGTGTTAATTGTTTTGAGATTCTCATTTATCCAAACAAGTTCAACTCCAAACCTTAATAAATGGTGCAAAGATTTTAAAGAGTTAGAATGTGAAATCAGATATGGGGATAATGTTTTCAGCTCCAGGGTGGGAGGTGGGGAAGATGGCAATAGATGAGCAAAAGATAAGATATCCAGCAGGAGGTATCCCTCCATCACCACTGTCACCAGAAAGAGGACATCTTATCTCATGTCTCCATTAAGAACAACACTCACACACAATCACCATCCTGTTTAAATAAATTATCTTCTCTTTATCTGGAATAAAATGTTTTTACATTGCCTCGATTGAATAAGTGAACTGAAATATTTGGTAATCCATTCATGACTTTAAACAGAGATGGATCTGCAACAGCACAAGATTACTTATACACGAACTACAACTCACAAACTAAGAAAGAGAACTTTTCTGTTGTGTTTCTGAACAAAGTTTAGATTAAGCTGCTGTGATCTGAAGCTAAAAAGCCAACGTATATGCACGGGCATTAGCTTACCAAATACAGCACAAGCAAACAAAACATTAGACACTATATTGAAAAAAACAAAACAAATGCATTTTATGTGCTGCATTAAAAACAGTAATGTTGCCTGCATGGATGTAAGGATTTACTGAAACTTTCAAAAAACAAACATTAAAGATTCACAGAGAAACTGTTTTTACTAATTTAAAAAATAAAACGATCGGTCACTCTGAGTTTAACATTCAGGCTAAACGTGAAAACAGGCTTCTTCCCCTTTTTTCTGAATTAGCCGCCGATAGAAAAAAGACAGGGTAACATTCGGATTAGAAAAACCACTCAGATCTGTGTCACACAGAAAATTTGCATAAATGGACTTACCCATTTTGGCTCACAATGGAGAAGGCTGTTGTTGGTTTAGCGTCCTGGAAAGAGCAAATCACGTCTTGGCTAGTAGAAGCTAACTGTTAGCATTAGCAACTCCACAACATGGCAAAAGTCCTTCAAGCTTGTGTTATTTGTGGCAATTTAAAAAATAATCATTGTTGCAAAGCAAATCGTCAGTGGTAGAGTCACGTTGCTGTTATCCAATCAGACTCCAAATCCTCCCATCTTCAGCTCCCCTTTCCTCTGGCCAACTTCTACTTCCTGGAATAGGAAGGTCAGAGCTTTTCCCTCCACTGAGATTGACTAAAAGATATTTATTTTTACTGGAGTCCATTGCAAGTCCATTGAAAAATGAGTATTGGGTTTTAATAAAAGCTAAATATGTAACAAGTTTGACACAAATTTTAAATTTAAAGCACACAGATTTTGTTCATTTAAAATAATTCCAAAAAGCATATTTTACAGGCAATGTTAACAAAAATAAATCACTAACAACATTATTTTAATGTTGAGGATGTTCTGTCATCCTGCAAGGCTTCAATCATGAATGTTGCACAACTTTCTATTTAAATCGGCATGAATGAATAATTAGCGTACCAAAAGTTAAAGCTGCTTTCCATTAGCATCTTCCCACTCCGTGCTGCACAAAACATCTGCTCACACTTTTCTGCATTCACAATTCTATCATTTTTGAAAATATTATCAAAAATTCTCAAAACATTGCAAATAAGTTTTTAGTAATTTCTGTGGGACTCACCAAATTAACAATTTAACAGCACTGTAGCATTTTAGCTGCAGGCTCGGTCCATGGGGGGCATAATTTTCAAACTAGATCTGTCCAAATTGCCTCCAAGCATAGTTTTGGTAAGTGTGCATTATTGTTTAAATGATAGTGCATGACAGTAGTCACATAAACACTTAGCAAACTCTTCTTTTCTGTTAGGAACTGAAGCGAGCTGCAATGACTAATCCTCCAGATAAACATCAGGTTGCCATAGAAACAAAGAGAAGGATCAGATGAAAGTGTTTGTTTGAGGTAAATAAAGGAATTTGTTGTTTAGATCTGTTCTAAGACTTTCTCAAACGGATGTGTGTGTGATTATAGATGCATATGTTCAAACTGTTGAAGGAAACAAAATTCAAACTTAGCTTTTAGCCCCATTATGGGATTTTTGTCTCAGAAACAGAATCACACAGTACCAGGAATACGTCGTCAGGTCTGGGTCAGATGGGACGCCCGTGGAAACATGAGGAACAGAATTCAGCCAACAAAAGGAGTCATGATGTTATTTATTCAGGTTGTGTAAGCGTCTCTCCCAGTGGCACTGTGCAGTTACAGTACACCCTTTGGAGTTCTGGTCGAATGGGAATTCAACTCATCTGTGTTTCAGGAAGACAAAGGGTGCATAAAACACACTTTGGAATGCAAATTAGATTAACCTACCATGACAGCGCTCACCACTGCCTGACCTGCAGGACTAGATGAAGAGGCAACAGCAGCTCAGGGCTGAAGGAGGAGAACGGACACGATGATAGCATCACACTGGACACTAAAGTTGCTGCTAAGGAGAAAAAAATGTAGTTTAATCTGCGAGTTTTCTGTCCAAATTTATATAGAAAATAATTGTTTTCCTTTCTGTTTTTCTCTTGAGGAATCGCCACAACAAATCATCTGTTTCCATTTATTCCTGTCTTCTGCCTCCTCTATCCTCACACCATCTAACTTCGTGTCCTCTTTCATCGCATAAATCTCTTTTTTGGGGGGCTTTTCCTCTCAGCCTAGTTGCTCCAGCATCAGCATCCTTCTACCTATGTAATCTCTTCCCTAGACAAGCTCAAACCATCTGATTCTGGCCTTTCTGACTTTATCTCCAATACATCTAACATGAGCTGTCTCTGTTGTTGACTTATTCCTGATCCTATCCTCATCACTCGAGAACCTCAACAGCAGCCTCCAGGTCTGCTTCCTGTCTTTTCCTCATTGACACTGTCTCTAAATCTTATTTGATTTGGCTTAAGTTTTACATTTATCCCTACATGGGTCCAATATAAGGAATCACCAGCTTGTGACCCCTTACAGATGTATGTTTATGCAGATTATAATAACACACACTTAGTTTTCTGATCTGAAAAGATCTGAGTCTCTGAATTACGTATTAGAAGATATTAGTTCACCTAATGACATGCTGCACACCAGCTGTTATGAACAAAATTAGGATGATTTTAGAAAAATGTTAAAAGGTGTGGATTTTTTCAACAATAAGATCATTGTTAAGATAATGTGTTATTATGATAGTTCTTGCACAATCCTTACATTTTGCAATAACATCCACAGAAGTATCTGGTTTTATTTATTTATTTAATGCCTGAAGAATAATTCCTACAAATGCGAGTTAATTATTATTTTATTTCTTATTAGCAACACAATTACTTAATAAATGAAATGCAACTAGATTTGAGTAACTTTTCTGGATTTTTTCAACCAAAGGGCAACTAAGTTTGGGAATATATTTTATATTAGTTGAGTGAAGCGTCACCTAGCGATTGCAAAGTTTATTTTTCGACCCGGAACCGTTATACCGTTACGTGTTCCCTTACGGTAAAAATTAAAAGATACTCCCATCCGAAAATGTCGAGGCACCTTCGTTTCATCGCTCGGACGGTCATGGTTCCAGATGGAAATATCGATGCAGCGTACAAGGCTTTAAACAGGTTAAAATAAATAACATTTCACATGATTTCTTTACTGGTTTTGTTGTTATTGTTGGAAGGATTAGCCACGTTAGCTTTAGCCTTTAGCTTAATGTCACAGCGTTGCGGCTGCGCAGTGGACGCCTGCGTAAAGAACAATCCCGATTCCCAATTTAAAAAAATGCATAAATATGAATTAAAACAGGTTGAAGTGTGTTGATCGTGGACACAACTTAATAATTTCTTTGGATTTTTTTAGCTTTCAGTTGAGTGGTTTTCTTATTTCTAAAGATGTCAATTTATTTTGACCTTGACTTGAATGATTTCTAAGTGAAATTACACGATATGTTTATTAAAACACTTCTTTTCTATATGCAGGGACTAGATATGTATTGTTGCTTTTAGCCGAATTGTGTAGGTCTGTCATGTATGTAAATTTAAATGATTAAATATATTTCCATTTGCATTTGTTGTTAAAACATTACTAAGCAAACAAAAATGAGTAGTTTAGGTACATTTTAAATTAGTAAATATATAAATAATATAGAACAAGTACCACAAACTAAAGATCTATACTCTCAGTACTATTTTTCTCTGTATTTGTTGAACGGAGAGTTTTCACAACCAGATTATTTTTCTTCCCATTCTCTGCAGGGTCCTGACCCAGGATGGGATCATCGACACAGTAAAGCGCAAACGCTACTATGAGAAGCCCTGCAGAGAGAGGCAACGAAAGAACTTTGAGAGATGCAGGCGCATATACCACTCGGAAATGGCCCGAAAACTAGCCTTCATCTCTAAGACAGACAGAGAGGATCCCTGGCTTGGTTGCTAGTGAAAGGAAAGTTGTTGAGGCAAGACAACAACGAACAAACTAAGCAAAGTGGAAAGAGGAAACAAATCCAGCATAATTTTTGTTACAACTATTGGGGAAAGAGTGGCTGTGAGAATGTCAGATTTGAATTTAAGAGGAAATTACTGATTCATTCATTGTAAACTTTCTTCTCTAAATGCTAAGTAATATGTGCACATGCTCATGATTCTACTTAATTTTTGCCCTCAAAAGATTTGTTCATTTATTTAGTAACAAAAAAATCAATCCAGGATTTTATTTAGTTTCATCTCCAGAGTATTTTGCACATTTCCTGCAAAGTGTAAAATAAAACTGGAATGTCTTGAAAATTCCTGCAAACTGTGAACTTCAGGAATTGCATTTTGATTACTACAGCATGCGATAAAAGGAAACAAATAAAACCTGCTAAAATATAGCCAACTACTATGTTTTACTCATTAGGGTGTCAAATTTTGGAATTTTGTTTAAAGCTACGTTGTATTGGATTAATAAAAGCAGTTTAAGTCATTTAATTTGTATTGGCTTATTTAATGTTTGCAAAGTAGAAACACAAAATAATTGTTAAATATTATTTTTTCTTTCATTACACATGCCACTAAGGTACGGCAACAATTATGGACATTTCACATCTTTGGCAAAATGCTGCAATGTAATGAAATTAACTACCGGTACATAGCCTCTAAAATAAATATATGGCTAGTGGGAATATGTATCTGGATGCCTCAAACTTTTGTTTCCTCGTGTGATTTCCTTTACCATCACCAAAGACTGAAAATGTGTAGATATATTTGAATAAATCAAAAGTTTAATAACTAGCGCTGCTCTGTTTTGTTAGCAGAGATGTCATCCGCTCTTGTTTCCACGTTTAGCACTGAAGCTTGAATGAAACACTGCATAGTTTAGGTTTGATGCTAATTGAAACTGTAGGATATAATCTATAATAAAATCTGTTGACAGCCACTTAGCAGCACAGTACAAAATCACTATGTAGCATACATGCTAACAGCCATATTATTTATTTTCATGATGTGTTCTGAATATCTATCTGCATATGCCTTAAAATAACCATGGTTTATCAGTTTGAGTAGCTCTTTGCTGTTTGAATCTGCATGGTAACAGTATCTGCTGTGTTGCAATCAAAGAAAGAACTGAATGTGCCTTTAAACATGTGTCATGCCGTTCACTGTTGCAGACTCGTTTTATTTTCATAGGAATCCTGAAACATCAGGAAACGTGAGTCCATCTGTTATCTTAATGTTGTCTCAACTAAGAAGACACTGTGGTATGATCTAAATCATCTCCCTTCTCTTGTTACTTCCTGTTTAATGTCATTCATTGATTGCAAACAGTAATAGACAAACTGTTACCCTCTTTCATGTAGCATTCCATTTTGCACGTGACTTAAGTTGTGATCCACTCCTCCAGTCTATATCTTATTATGGAATTATGTAAGACTGCTATCCAAGCCTTCTTTGTGAAGGTCTGCAAAAATCCATAATCCTGTCTATATATCTTGTTGACAATAAATTCAACAGTGTGGGAAATTAAGATGGAGTGATTGGCATTTCCTCCCTTTTCTACTGTTCTAGTAGAATAATTACCCCCACAGAGCATCTAATGACGGATTGACGCTTATATATCAAACTGAGTTGACTTAGTCACAAAACAAGAATGCCATAAGTCAAATTCCTAGATATACAAAAACATAAGCGTTTTTGTTTACATTTCTTTTCCTGTTTTCATCACAATTTGTATTATTTAAGGCACGTTACTGATTTGAGTGATTTTAAAAAAATATTTGTATTCAAAGGATTTGTTTTTCCCGTTATGTGTCTCATAACAGATTAAATGTGACCTGTTATGAAAAGCAAAAATGTAAGCAGATGCGAGCACGAGTAGCCGCGTGCTGTCCCACTCCTCCTCGAGCCACACCGCCCACACGTGCTGCTCGTTGAGGTGCGTTGACACGTGCTGCATGAGCAGCACGTCGATCCGCGCGTGTTCAAGCAACCAGCGCTCTGGAGGTTTCCTATTGGTCGGCTTTCAGCCAATCAGAACGGAGCCCTTCTTCCTCTTGGCCAATCACAGCAACAACGTAACTGAAGAGCACGCGCAGCAGCTGTAGTTGAGCTTGGCAGGTACCTCGTGTTGGGCTCGGAAGGTTCCCAACAGCGAACAAAACACAAACACCGATCAGAGGAGAAGCAGAACCGGACTGTGAGTTAACGGGAGAGCAGGACTCCTAAGTGTGCTCGCCGTTTGCTCTGGCGAGGCTTTTTCTCTGGAACAAGAATAGTTTATCTACCGGAATTCGAGTTAGCAAAAAGGTAAGAACTTCTCTTTTAAAAACGGTCTTTTCCAAACAGGACTTCAGCGCATTAAACGCAACATCATAAACAGCCGCTGTTACGTCACCTCATACACGTCGAGAATTATGAATATTGTGAATTCACCTAAGAATCACACACGTGTGCTAGAAAACAGGGTTTTGTGTCAAGTAATCGCACACATAGGATGTTTAGTGTCACAGGCTAAAGGCTGTAGAAGAATATCAAAGTGAGCTGCAGACGGATCTGTTATCAGACACTTTCTGTTGAAACACTAAACGTGTGGAAACCATCGACATAGAAATAAGTGGAAACTCACTGACCGATGCACTCAGGTTTCATAGGAACAGCAGCGTCTTAATTGGTTCCAGGCTGTTCGTTTTCAGCTTCCTGATGATCTTTTGCCTCCTTAAAATAAAAACGCGATCCTGCAGGCACTATAGGTTTTATGTGATCTTGTCATCACTCGTGTCTGGTTTGTGGTGTTACCTGTTTCAGTGATTCTTGCACCTAACTTGTAAAACTTCGTTACAACTTTTTACATGTTTAAAAATGTCTCTATGTTGTTTTTCACATTTATGCTTGTTGATCAGCAGTAACATTACAACCATAAAGAATAAATATAATGATTTTATGTGCAATTTGGACACGAAATGAACCTTAAATGGTCTTTTATTTAATTTAATTGTAATTTTTAGCTCTTTATGGTTGAAAATTGTAGGTATTAACAGTATTTTAGAGATATAATAAGAAAAAAATGTAGATTATTATGTTAATTCAAATAAACATGTAGTATGAAGGCAGTAATGAGCAATTAGAGCTGATTATTTTTTCAGGGAAGATTTTTTGAACCAGTTTCTGTATTTTTATATAAACATTTTAATCTACAATGGAAGAATAGCAAAATTGTGCTTTTAACGCAAACACTTTTTTTTTTACTTTTGAGGGTGTACGCAGAAGCATTTCTCCAAAATGTAGAGAGAGGAATGGCCCAAAACTAACTCATCTGTTGCCATAATTAAACCTAAATAATCATTAAACCCCAACAAGCTCCCTGGCTTGATTCCTATTTTCTGTGGCACCTTTATGAGTTGGTTCATGTCAGGTGAGGGGCCAAAGTTTGCTCTGTTTCAGTGTGATAATCTACCAATGTTGATCACCGACCGTGTCCTTATCTTGATTACATTATACTTGCTCAGACATGACTCACAACTCACCTAAGGTCATATACTCTAATATGTTCCATATTAAGCCCACAACAATCTAGCTTTTGTTGTGTTGTTTTGCTTTGTAATGAGACGTCAACATAATCGAGGCTGAAACTCATTCACTCCAGTTTTCCGTTCAGTTTATTGGTGAAGCTGCAGTGACGAGTTGGCGGTTCCTGACTGTTTGCCTCCACAGATGAATTCGTTGGGCAGTTCTTCCAAATGGCCGTCCTATGACTCGCTGCCCTCCACCTCCAGCTTCCTCCACAGCGAGAGCGAGCAGACCGAGGATGAAGCAGACGTCTTCTCAGATGGAGAGGGGGACAGTGGGATCAAGAGATCCCCCTCAGCTGATGAAGGAATCACGCTTTCAGAGAATTACCTCCGCGTGCCGCCTCATTGGGACTCAAGATTCGTCCGAGATCAGTCGGAGCTCTGCCCTGACGAAACCAAACGTCCGGATGGAGCGTCTTCACTCACTACACCAACCTCTTCATCACCAGGGGATCTGGCCTTCGCTCAGAAAGTGAGCAGCTTTGAACTAAAGTTCTAGATTGAAGCATTTGTTTCGACCAAATAGCAGATTGGCAGCATAAACCTGTCTTTATCTTTCAGTGTGCTGATTTGCACAGGTTTATCCATCCGCTGCTTGGGCTTTTGCGTGGACTGAAGAATGGGCGGTTTGAGAAAGGTGAGGAATAATAAAGTTTTTATTAATATGATTAGTGGCACATAATACGATGCTTATAACTGTTTGTGTTGTCAGGTTTGACCAGTTTCCAGCAGAGTGTTGCCGTAGACAGATTACAGAGGATTCTTGGAATCTTACAGAAACCTGAAATGGGGTAGGACAATCCAAAGTTTTTAAAGATCATGTGACCTAAGTAGCAAAGTTTTGATAGCATATACACGTGTCCCAGCATCGATATCACTCCTCTTGTATTTCTGCAGTGAGAAGTACCTTCAGATCCTGGTGCAGATCGAGATGCTGCTGAAAATGTGGTTTCCCCAGAAAGCGTTTGAGTGTAAAGACACGTCCAGCCCGGCCACCGCGCCAACTCTCGTCTCACACTGGCGTCAGAATCAGCTTCACATCCCCGTCAAGGTGAGCTTCTTCTTGTATCTGACATACGCGTGTGTCTTTAGAGACGGTATTCCAAAACATCGCAACAAAGGTTCTTTAGAACGAAGAGGTGACGAGAAACCGAGAACATCGTTCGGTTTGAGTGTTCAGGGTTTGCTTCAGTCGTTAGGAAGAGCGCTGTTCTCCTAAAGGTTGGTTTATGCTTGACGCGTCCGTGAGGTCCGCGTGGCGAAATGGCGTCATTTTAACAACCACGCCCCTCCACCGCGTCTCCGCACGGCCCAAAATTTCCGCAACGCGCACCTAGGGCAATTTCTAACCACGCGGACGGTCGGACGCGGAAAAACATGGCGGACCGGCAAGAGCTAGTATGGCAGAGGTTCGTAAATACAGACATTTGTATGATTCAGCTCTCAGAGGTCATCGTGATCAACATGTTTGTTAATAATTCTTGGAGAGAAATAGCTCGCACTGTCGGAAAAGACGAGGACGCTGTTAAAAATGCTGGAATGCCATGTTGTAAACAGTAATTTTTACTTCTACTATGGTGTAGTGTTGGATGCATGCCGCAGAGCTCCTTGCTGCCCCCTACAGTTTGGGAGAATATTGGCTCACCGCAGAGACGAGCCGCATGAACCATAAACGCTGCGAGTTGTGAAGCGCGTTCCATCCGCGAGCCGCATCACCAAGTGGAAAGTGAATGCGTCAGGCATAAACCAAGCTTTAAGCAGCTCCAACCTCATAAATTTCACTTAACACGGTTATTTTGGTAGAAATGTTTGTAAAAGTCCCCGCTGAACTTGACCCCTGGATGTACCAGAATGTTCTATTACTGCCGGTGACGTTTTTGCTTTTAGATAATCGTGTAATTCAGAATTAAAAGCCTCTTTTATAAAACAATGCCACCTATTTGCTGCAAAGCTGAGCCGGCATGGAGCCTGAAGTAATTTCTAAGCGATCAGACCACGGCGTTAATGTGGCACAATCGTTTCTTTTTTTCAAATGATGGGAGTAAAAAGGGGGTTCGGGGGCGGTCTCTGCGCTGCCACAGACTTCCTTTTATCTTAGACGTAACTTGCTTTTCATTATGATCGAAGACGTGCTCCTTATGTTCTTTTGACAAGCCGCTCCTAAAGACGTCTGTCCTCCCCCGGCCCCATGAACGGTCTGGTGATCTGAGCTCCAGCTCTGGCGGCGAGAAGCTCCTGGAGCTCTGCATCACTCCAGTTTGCCATCTCAGCTGTTAAAAAGTAAAACTTACGGCCGTGTTTACTTTCATTTTAAATATAGTTGCCGGCCCCAAATGGAGGAGTTTAAGTATCTCGGGGTCTTGTTTACGAGTGAGGGAAAACTGGAGCTTGAGATCGATAGGTGGATTGGTGCTGCATCTGCAGTGATGCAGGCGTTGTACCGGTCTGTCGTGGTGAAGAGAGAGCTGAGTCAGAAGGCGAAGCTCTCGATTTACCGGTCGATCTACGTTCCTACCCTCACCTATGGTCATGAGCTTTGGGTAGTGACCGAAAGAACGACATTGCGGATACAAGCGACCGAAATGAGTTTTCTCCGAAGAGTGGCTGGGCTCTCCCTTAGAGATAGGGTGAGAAGCTCGGTCATTCAGGAGGGGCTCGGATTAGACCCGCTGCTCCTCCACATCGAGAGGAGCCAGTTGAGGTGGCTCGGGCATCTGGTCAGGATGCCTCCTGGACGCCTCCCTGGTGAGGTTTTCCGGGCACGTCCAACCGGGAGGAGACCTAAAGGTAGACCCAGGACACGGTGGAGGGACTATGTCTCTCACCTGGCCAGGGAACGCCTTGGGATTCCCCCGGAGGAGCTGGCTCAAGTGGCTGGGGAGAGGGAAGTCTGGGCCTCTCGCCTTAGGCTACTGCCCCCGCGACCCGACTCCGGATAAGCGGATGAAAATGGATGGATGGAAATAGTTGCTGGCCGGAGCTCGGCAGTAACTCCCTACATGATCAGGACTCCTCCTTCTATTGCGCCAAGACATGCATTCACAAGTCAGTCGTTGCGGTAATGTTGCTACAAATATAAAGTCTTCAGTATTGGAGCCATTTTAAGATGGCAGCAGTTTTATTGGGACTTTTTGCTGCCGCACCTTACATTTCTTGTGTTTTACTGTTTTTTGCTGCTTCCCATGCTGAGTAACCGAAGCCAAATTCCTAGATTGTGTAACAATTTTGGACAATAAAACCGATTCTGTACTCTGATTTTAGCGGTGCTAGAACTATTTCTTTAAAAAAGACATTTATTCGAACTGAGGCCTTTCGGGAAGCTTTCTATGCGTCTGCTTTTTTTACTTTCTCACAGAAATTCCCCTTTTAAAGCTTTTGTTTGTTGCTTTTTGTTTTCTTCTACATTAGGACTTATTTCATGCCTTTTTTCTCAGAGACCTTAGTCACCGCTGTTATTTTTGGTCGTTTGCTTCCATTGCAGAAGAGAAAACTGAGCTGGTCTGACCTCGATGTCGATGACAGAGTCCCAACCAAGCATAGCCACCATCAACAAGAAAAACACGAGTGCTGCCACGCGGCCACTTCACTCGACACCGTCTCTACGCGTCTTCCCCCATCTCCTCAGAGTCACGCCGTTCAATGGGCTGAGGACGACTGCGCGGCCAGGCTGAAGTTTACCGACAGGACCGGCCTTTTGAGCAGATTGTCGTGTAGCGGGAGAAAAGACGAGAATCAGACGCCTCCTGAGACTCCTCTGCCCTTCTTGTGTGGCAGCCCGGCCACGCAGGACTGCTCGGTGTCTTCAAGCAGCAGCGTTACTCCAGCTGACTCACCTTAATTGGCAGTGGCTGACATTGCGATCACATGGAGGTACCGCAGCACGTCAGCCAGAGTAAAGGCAGGGGGCGGGGCCTGATTACATAAGCATGGAGTACGGCTTTGAGCCAGTCTGTGATGCCTGCGAGGCACATTAAACCAGAGGAGGAGGAACACACACACGCACGCACGCACACACACACACACACACACACACACACACACACACACACACACACACACACACACTTATTAACCCTTAACCGCCTGGAGTGGGTTTGATCAGGTGTTGCACTAAAATTCTACAAGGAATGATTGTTTGTAGGAAGTTTACTTCTGCATAAGTAGCTAACTTGATACTTTACAACCATTAAAGCAGTCTTTGCACTGTTATTTTTATCTTTTTATATCATGAAAGGAAGTCCTTCTGTAGCAGCATGGCTTCATTACTTCTATTGATGTGAAAAAGCACAAAAGATTTGTTGTCCTATTTCATTTTGACGTTTTAAATTTAATTTGCAGTTACTTCAAATGAGCGACATCACTAATTTCTTGCATTTTATGAACAAAATAGTTTTATTTTTCAGCTTGTGTTGGTAAAGTTGTTGTTAGAAGCACATTTCCTCCAGATGTTTTACAGCTGCCAGAACCTGGAGCCCAATTCAAAACGATTACCTCTCCACCGGTTTGTGTAATCAAACACTTAGAGGCAGACTAAATAATCCCCTCCTACTGGACTTTAACCTGTCAATAATGTTAAAGGAAAACTATCATACAGATGATTAAAAATAGAAATCAGAATATCAAAAACATTTTTTTATTTACCTGATTGAAGGATATAACGGACTTAAGGTGGAGCTGCTGCCGAAATGTGCCAACCGAAACCATTTTTGCTTTATCTTATTTTCACCGAGCTTTGTTTCTGTCGGCACTAATTAGGAGATTAGTTGATTGACTATTAATATTTGACTTGTTTGAATGTTTTTCTGTCTCTAGCTCTTTTAGCCACTTTATTTTCAGTTTGAAAATCCACAATTCTAAGGAGAATATTTAAGTTTGAAAAGATCTATTTAAGCGTTTGTGAATTTGATCTGATGCCTCTGCACTTTGGACGAAAATGAGGAAATGTTACACATCTGAGATATTATTTATGAAACAGTACTTGATATTTTTGATTTCATCAGCTGACCAGTGGTGCCGGTTGTTGTTGACGGGCATCAGAATGAGAGATTTTTCTTTAATGACTTATTTTTTGGCACTATCACGGGAATCTGTTTAAATCAGGATATGAAAAACAAATTCAGACTATAAAACTGTTGCTTTTGTAAAATTTGTTAACTTTTGAGGAAGCAATAAGAACTTAGCTTGGTGAAAAGATCCACTTTTTCCATTCCTGAACTCGTTTTTCTCATACTTTTTTAATATTTGGGTTTTCTACCGTCGTGTTTTAAGTCCGGTATCATTCATGTTGAATGGCTTCTCATCTCTGGTGGTTTGTCACCGTTCAGCCTTAGAAACACAAACAAAACCACATAACTGCCCGACTTTATGAAACAGAATTTTTAAAGTGTACAATTACATAAGTGATGTAAAATACCACAGTGTGTTATTGCAAACCGAATGTGCTTCCGTGCAGATGTTTCTCAGGCTTTGTCATGACTCATTTATGTTATTTAACGTGAGAATTGTGGGCAGAGAACGGGACAAGTGTTGCATTGTTTTGGGAAATAAAAGGAATAGAGATGCCTGGTGTTGATCGGGAACGGCAACTATTTAGCAAAAACATAAAATTCAGTTTTTTAGGTTTTTTTTTAATCTGTGAATGAACAATTCCCAAGTAGCAATAACAAAAATCTGACATTTCCCACAGTCTATAAAAGCACCGTTACTAAGTGCTAATTTCCATTTGCATTACCAGATCTTCCATGTGAAGTTTTCACCTCCACAATCCTAAATCTTATATCCTTTTAATTCCAGCCCTTTGGGTAAGTCGGCAAGCCAATACTGTACATAAGTTGGAATTCTGTATAAACTCACATAACCAGAATGGTTCATTTATAAAACAAACAGTTCTAAAGGGTTCTGCCCATTTTAGAAACAACAGTAAATTTCATTTCACACTTGTATGTGTACAGTTTGTCCTATTGTTGTTTGTAGGGCTTTTTTGTGTTTCACAAGACATTGTCCTGCTTGATAAATGTATTTTTATATATAATAAAAGACTGAAATGAAATATTAATCCTACCTTGTTTGAAGTCTTTCTGTGAAACATTGATGTTGCAAGCTTCTGTAAAATGTTCCGTTTCTTCTTTTCTCCATCCATGCTGTCTCTTTGTAGTTGGCAGGGATTCTGGCTCATTTTCAACAAAAATTGTGAGGTTTTTTTTTCAACTAATCTAATAACTGCTAATATATTGTGGACAAACCCTCCGCCCATAAGTACTCATAATTTCAAGGTTACATTACGTCTAAATGGGCTGGTTAGAAAGAAATTCACCCCCTCCAGATTGGTCATGATGGAAAACTTGACCTGTTAAACCAAAAATATTTTTTAGTTTAAAAAGAGGCTGTAGGAGGTGAGCATGTTTATTTCTGCTGTGAAGTTGGCATTTTTAACATGGAACTTGCTCCTTTCTTGATCCAGCCTCCTAGTGGACGAGAGGGGAGCTGCAACACCATTTATGTTTAAAGATTTTGTAACTCTGGTACTGACTGTCATTTGTCATCGTGCTTTTGTTGTAACGTGTGACTACCTCTGTATTGTTCTTGTGCTGCCTTCCCGGACCAGGTCACTCTTGCAAATGGTTAAATACAGAAAATAATAATAAAAAGTGGAAACAAGGTAAAGCATTGTAACCCAAATGTGAAAAAAGCTCCAACTAGTGGAAAGGTTCTATAGATTATACTGTTTATAAATACGTTTTATCAAAATAGGCAATAAAAATGTTCAAATACATTATTACAGCATTTATTAACAGATAATGTATTTGTTAATGTATTTTCAAATTTATCCCCTCATATATTTACATATTTATTTGTTTACTTATTCATATTTACGTTTTGTTTACTTTCATATTTATTTCTTCATTTGTTCACGAGTCTATTTTGACAGGAAGAGCGTTCCACAAACGCCTCAACAGAAACGGAGATGGCTGGTATGACATTCCACGTCGCTAGGGGGCGAAAGCGTCGTAAGGTCGCCGTGATTGTGGAAGTGTCTAACTCCGCACCAGGATGTTATAGGGCGCTAAGTTTTAACCATAAGTGGTAAATGATATTAACAGTTATCTGTGACAAATACCCTCACACGGGACAACTTATAATTACAGAGCAGAAAAAGCAAAGAGAAACCAAAGTTACTAGCAGTTTCCGCCGGTGTGAGAACACAGTTGAAGCTGAACCGCTGTTGGTAAGCCTTGGTGTCAATTTAGCGTCAAGTTAGCATGCTAAGCTAGGTGCTAGCCCCGGATAAATTGATTTTGGAATGAGAGAGTGCAGCATAAACTCCTGTGGACATGGCAGCGGGAGCTGGAACCGCGTCCGGTACATCTCTGGAGGCAACACTAGAGAAGAGGTTTCGAAATGTGACCAACACGATGGACTCAATTCAAGGACTGTCAACATGGTGCCTAGACAACAAGAAGTACCACAGTCTCATTGTGCGACACTGGATGAAGTGTTTAAGAAAATGTAAGTACCTGTAATCGGTCGTTCATCGACAGTTGGGGTGATCGGAACAGCTTGTTGATCAACAATGTTTTAATTATTTTCACTCCTCAGAGTATGAACCCCCAGAAAACGAGTTTGAAACCTGCTGTTCAGCTCGCGGGTTTTAGTGTATATGGACAGAAGCTAATTTATACACACAGCCTAAGAGTGAACACAGTTTTATTAAATGTATATTACTTTGTACTAGAAGTCTTGGGTCAACCAATATTGGTTTTTCCATTGCCGATACCAATATGTAGGATTTGGTTAGCCAATGGCCAATATGCACTGCCGATTTTTATGGCCTGAAATCTAGACTAATGTCACTTATAACATCAACTTATGCACACCATTTCTGAAGCTGAATCAGATGTTTATCTTCTAATTTAACTTATTGTTAAACCTTACCTTTGTGCACTTCTCAGTTTTAAAAGCAGACACCTAAGTAAAATTGATTTAAAGTATTTATTATGCTGATGTTATTACTGAATGTGAAAAAAAAAACATTTAAATTAAATTCTGCAACATCTCTGGGCTGCCTGAGAATGCGCCTGACTTCAAGTTGACTTTAGGACAAAAATTGACTGATACCAATGTATAAAAATGGTGAATATCCCCCGTTTAATTGGTCTACCCCTATTTTGTACTCTGAGGACTGAGTCAGCTGGGTTACAAAATGATAATTTGCCTTTAAATAATGTCTGAATCAAATCAAAGGAACCACTATGAACGTCCTTTGATGGTACACATGAACCAGGGTTGTAACGGTAACCGGTGTAGCGGTAAACCCCAGTAAAAAAGTTGACAATAATAATAATCGTCTTGTTTTAAAAAATATATATATCGGTGGATTACCATAGACGCGGTGACCCATACCAGCCTCCGTATCATCTGCTGAAGTTGCCGGCGGCACATGCGCACTTTATTGTTTACAACAAAAACTTTCTTGAAGCTAAAGCTGAAATAATGGCCAAAGGAGGAGACGGCAGCGCTCAGGACATTTATTATCCCTCAAAGAAGACAAAGTCAGAAGTATGGGCGTTTTTTGGATATTTGAAAAATGCCAAGGGACAGTTGATAGAAGACGGCGATCCTGTTTGCAGTATGTGTAGAAAAAGTGTCTGTGAAAGGCAGCAACGCTTCAAATCTCATGACACATCTGCGTGACCATCACCCACAACTCTACAGTCAACGCAAGGCAAGCTAACATTAGCATTTTAGCTAAAATGCGTGATCCGAGGATTTGGGTTGAGGGAGAATGCAACGAGTCGCTACATAAAGCAGCCGCAGTGCCGCTACCTGCATATACAGGTGCTGGCCAGTAAATTAGAATATCATCAAAAGGTTGAAAATATTTCAGTAATTCCATTCAAAACGTGAAACTTGTACATTATATTCATGCAATGCACACAGACCAATGTATTTCCAATGTTCATTACATTTAAATTTGATATTCATAAGTGACAACTAATGAAAACTCCAAATTTGGTATCTCAAAAAATTAGAATATTCTGAAAAGGCTGAATATAGAAGACACCTGCTGCCACTCTAATCAGCTGATTTACTCAAAACACCTGCAAAGGCCTTTAAAAGGTCCGTCAGTCTTGTTTTGAAGGCACCACAATCATGGGGAAGACTTCTGACTTAACAGCTGTCCAAAAGACAATCATTGACACCTTGCACAAGGAGGGCAAGACACAAAAGGTGATTGCTAAAGAAGCTGGCTGTTCGCAGAGCTCTGTGTCCAAGCACATTAACAGACAGGCGAAGGGACGGAAAAAATGTGGTAGAAAAAAGTGTACAAGCTCTAGGGATAACCGCACCCTGCAGAGAATTGTGACGACAAACCCATTCAAAAATGTGGGGGAGATCCACAAAGAGTGGACTGCAGCTGGAGTCAGCGCTTCAAGAACCACCACGAGGAGACTCATGAAAGACATGGGATTCAGGTGTCGCATTCCGTGTGTCAAGCCACTCTTGAACAAGAAACAGCGCAAGAAGCGTCTCGCCTGGGCCAAGGACAAAAAGGACTGGACTGATGCTGAGTGGTCCAAAGTTATGTTTTCTGATGAAAGCAAGTTCTGCATTTCCTTTGGAAATCAAGGACCCAGAGTCTGGAGGAAGAGCGGAGAAGCACAGAATCCACGTTGCATGAGGTCCAGTGTAAAGTTTCCACCGTCAGTGATGGTGTGGGGTGCCATGTCATCTGCCGGTGTTGGCCCACTCTGTTTCCTGAGGTCCAGGGTCAATGCAGCCGTCTACCAGGAAGTTTTAGAGCACTTCATGCTTCCTGCTGCTGACCAACTTTATGGGGATGCAGACTTCACCTTTCAACAGGACTTGGCACCTGCACACAGTGCCAAAACCACCAGCACCTGGTTCAAGGACCATGGTATCCCTGTCCTTGATTGGCCAGCAAACTCGCCTGACCTTAACCCCATAGAAAATCTATGGGGTATTGTGAAGCGGAGGATGCAATACGCTAGACCCAACAATGCAGAGGAGCTGAAGACGACTATCAGAGCAACCTGGGCTCTCATAACACCTGAGCAGTGCCACAGACTGATCGAGTCCATGCCACGCCGCATTACTGCAGTTATTGAGGCAAAAGGAGCCCCGACTAAGTATTGAGTGCTATACATGCACATTCTTTTCATGTTCATTCTTTTCAGTTGGCCAACATTAGAGAAACAAACATTTTTTCATTGGCCTTTAGAATATTCTAATTTTCTGAGATACCAGATTTGATGTTTTCATTGGTTGTCACCTATAAATATCAAAATTAAACGTAATAAACATCGGAAATACATTGGTCTGTGTGCATTGCATGAATATAATGTACAAGTTTCACGTTTTGAATGGAATTACTGAAATATTTTCAACCTTTTGATGATATTCTAATTTACTGGCCAGCACCTGTAAACCGTGTCGCGGACACCCCCATGTTGAAATGACGCTATGCATTACGGTGCTTCCAGGGGCAGATAAGAGTTGGTCTCTCTCCGAGAATAATTATGAATTTAACAATGATTACTGCCTGATGACATTTTCCCACATCTGCAAAGCTCACTGGAAGGACACAAACCGAGGACAATATTTTCCTGATATAGGTTTTATTACTCAAGTAAGGGTAAAAGGGTATCTGATTAGAAGGCTACTTGAGTACCGAGTATCATCTGGTCTAATATTTTTTAAATGACGACATCAAACAGACAAAAAATAAGAAGTTATGGGCAAATATTGCTATTTTAATGACTAAAGGGAAAAAATGTAAACAAATAAACAACATAATTATAAAATAACAAATTTTAGGCAAAATTTAGACACAAACTGAGAACAATATTTTCCTGATATACAGGGTTTATTTAGTTGTCTGAAAATGTAACACATTTAAAAAAATACTGCGATAATACTGAAAACCGTGATAATTTTGGTCACAATAATCGTGAGGTTAAAATTTCACACTGTGACAACCCTAATACCAGCTCAGTGACCAAGTGGTAGAGTGTCCGCCCTGGGACTGGGAGATCGGGGATCGATTCCCGGTCAGATCATACCAAAGACTCTAAAAAAGGGACCCAGTGCCTCCCTGCTTGACACTCAGCTTTAAGGGGTTGGATTGCTGGGTTAAACCACCAAATAGTTCCCGAGCGCAGCCACTGCTGCAGCTCACCACTCCTCATGGGGATGGGTCAAACCTTTATTTACCTTAAAATGTCATTAATGAAACTGTTTATTTTTTAGTCAAGAGATTAGGGCTGCAACAAACGATTATTTGGATAATCGATTAATCGGATGGGGTCTCGACACGATTAATCGATTAATCGGATTACATGGGGAAATTTTTAAAAACTGCTAGGGAAACGTTATTTCTCTCCTTCCTTCACTTTATTTAACACAACATTATTAGAAAACAGTTCAATAGCAGAAAAACAACATGCCATCACCTAAATTGTCTTATAAGGTGTATAGACAGAGACCCTAAGCTACATCTATCTGTGACCTAAAATGCTTGGTCCAAGTTAAACAGCTTAAGGGCAATTCTCATCTGTTTTGTTTGATCTCATCTGTTGACATTTATTTTAAATGTAATTAAACATAGGCTGTGAATTAATCAAAATTGATCACTATTTCCAAAAATGACTGAAAAAATACCAAATAAAACAAAAGTAAATGAATGCCATTCTCCTTGCGATGATGCCCTGGGCAACTGCCATAAAGTCACATCAAGAAATGCTGCTGATCATTCCAATGATCCCAAATAGACTCACATTAGGCCACATGAAAGCAACTGAACCCAAAAATATATTAACCAGTATATAACTGCACTCTCACACAACACGCCTGCAGCAACAGTTAGGACTCCTCCCTCCCTTTTAAAAGCGTTTTTGCTTCCGAGGACATTGTGGTTGTAAAACCACATGCTAGTAGTCTGGCCCCGGTGTGATCAACCAGTTTCTGCGGGAATGTGACGGCGGAACCAGGGCCAGATTAACACTTTGTTGTACCCTGGGCAACAATATTCAAGGGCTCCATCATCACGACCCGAGGATCACCATAATGTGGTCACATACAGAATATTTTACTGTAATATGCAGTAAATATACTCAATACTTGAATGCCTGACAACACGTAACCCGCCCAGAGTAACCTTTGACCCACCTCGTGTGGACTGACCAATGAGGAGAGGGTCTTAACTTGAGGCCCTCTCTTCATTGGTCAGTCTGCATGAGACTGACTCTCAACTGACATTCAGTCGTAGGCAGCAAAGCGTCTCTGTGCAGTGCAAAAGCCCGGGTGGACAGTTTGTTTAATGTAGGGTGATCATATTTCCATTTCCAAACAAGAGGACAGGGGATCTGTGCCTATGACGTCACACTATGGCAACGCCACACAAACCATGTTGGGACCCATTTTTTGTAAGAACTAAATTAATATCAGAATCTGCCAATAAAAGGGCTCTAAAACAATTCATATGTAAA